CTGTGACATTACGCAGCGTCTTGCCTCGTACTCCCTTTCCCTGGGGATAGCTGGCACTGTGCCCTTTCCCCCTTCCCGTTCAAAACCCCAGCTGTCATCGCGCGTGATGAATCACTTAGGATGTGCGTCCGTAGGGGCCTGCCTGCCACAGAGCTGAACACCGCAAGACCAGGCCTCGCATAATGAGGCTTGAGTGTGTCCGTGCTTGCGTGCGTGCATGTGGCATGCTGCATCAGCGCTGCCGATGAACTTCCACGTGTGCGTTTTCCTATTCGGAATATCTAAAAATATCAAAAGATTTTTAAAAAAAATATTACGAATGTTTCGTTTAAAATACGGGAAATTACAGCCATTCTTAATCCACCAATGAATTAATGCCACCTTATGCCATGTTTGTCAAGGGGTTTTATTTTTTTCCCCTATTCTTCACCACACTGTTCAGTGCACGTGAAGGGGCGTAGAGGCAGGACTGGTTCAGATATAACTTTTCCACTGATGTTTGTGGGTTCACAGAGCAGTGCTCGCTGATCACTGTCGTGTCCTGCGACTCCACCAAGAATAACATGTTGAATTTTTTAAATCTTTTTTACGTCATTAGGGAGCCCTAATTGTAGCTCTGTCGTCCCGACAGGTTTGTTCCTTTCACCTGAAGAAGGCCACTTGTGTTGGGGCCGAAACGTCGTGAGAATTTTATTGTTTTATTTTATTATTTTATTCTCATTCTACGTGACTTTACCGAAAGAACGAAATAACCAAAGAAGAGAAAAAAATATTTACTAACAGCACACGTCTTAGATGTGTAACTTTCCTCTTGTATAGTGCCAATGTCATATCTTAATTTGTTGACCATTATCATACCTATTAATATATAAATAAACACATGTACATTTTTTTTTATTATTAACAGTAGTCAAACCTAGCACTGCTTACAGTAAATAGGAGCCCACCCAAGCCCCAGGTGTTTTGCGCTGCATAGGAGAACTCAAAATAAGCTCGACTACAATAGTGTTGGGTTTCACCGGTGGTGCCAGGGTTCTTCTGCGTGCCTCCTGCGGATCGAGGAGGGGGTCCCGTCCGAACCTGGATGCAGCTGTCGCACGCGCAACATTTTCAGATGAATGGTTGACGCGTCGAGAAGAGCCGCGGTGCTACTTGTGGACTTGCTGTCACGTGTCGTCAGCCGTCGTTTTTTTGTCGTCGGGCTTTTGCCCCCGCTGCTGCACGAGAATCTTTCTGCTCACACGCCCAACGAGCAATGATGCTCCCTGCGGTTTTGATGCTGGCACAGTCGCACGCGTTGCCAAACTGGGCCTTCGCCTAATGCGTAGATTAATAGATTGAAATCAATGCTTACTTACGTGCGCATACATGTCAATCTACTGCTGGATGAGGTCATGAGGGCTGTTTGGCCGAAACTTTACTGCGCTGATCGGTGCAGATTGGTGAAGAATAATTAATATTTTGTACGAATTATATTCTACTATCACATTAGCATATCATGTGGAGGACTGGTGCAAGGGTTAGTGCTCTGTGCGATGAACCCAGTCCTGGGCTCCTTCAGCAATTTGCACCAACCAGCGCGGTGAAGTATGGTCAAACAACCCCTGATGACAGATACGGCTTGGGTAGGTTTTCATCCAGCCGGCAGTGGATTGAAATTGTTAAGTTATTATTGTTATGGGTGGAACAATTCACCCCATATCCCAGCGATTCATGGAATTTTTACGATTCAATAATCTATATATTTTTGACAATGCTGTGAATAGGGAGCCATTCTCGAGGAGTAGTATGACCAAGGGTTGTAAAAATACATGTAAAAATAATGATGGCGCAAACAAAACTGTCTAAACAAGAAATAAAAAGTGAACGAATATAAATGAGATGGTAAAAAATAAACGACTGCAAATTACTCCACTCAAATAGTGGAAATTAATTTAATTGCCAAGAAAGGGTGACCCATTTCTAACCCTAAACCCTAACCCAAATCAACTATTAATATTATGCATTCCAAGCCAAAAGTGCAATCACGCCATTTAGCAGCAGAAATCTGACACTTTACAAACGCAATTAAATATTTCATTTTGGCTTGTTCACAGTATTAAACCTTTTCTCTTTCTTTGAATCTTAAATACCCCTACAATTTCATCGGGGATTGTCATACAGAGAGACGAAGTGTGTTGAACGAGAGGTAAATGTGATACCACCCATTTAGTCCTAAAGCAGTGCGATTGTAGCTTGCGTCATAGTCGCAAAAACTAAAACTCGTTGGGCGTTATGAGTTTAGATGGTGTCCTGACCTCGACCAACACAGACGGAAACAATAAAATGATAAGTGACCACCCAGGACTGATTGCTGTTTTAGTGTGACCTACCACATGACCCACGCCTATTGGGAAGTTCACATTTTGTTTAATTTGTTTAGCAAATTGATTTAAAAGCACGTGAGAGCTTGTACGTCGAGACGTGTCCACAGTGGTTAGTGTGCCTTGGCCTGAGAGTGAACCCTTGGTTTGACAATCGCAGAAAAAACACCGCAGGGCACGCAGCTGCATCAACACCCTGACACCATCTCCAACACTTTCTGCATGCAGTGGTCACATTTCTACGTGCCATTCATGTATAGCTCCTCCGAACTGCAGCATTAAGGAAATAAACCGTGGCTATTTGATGATTCGTAGAAGTAGAGGTGCAATGGTTTTTGAATATGTAATCAGGGTACTCGTTTTAACATTGTTGTGAATTTAAAGTCTGCAGCTGTCACATAAATCCATTACAACATATCCGAACTGAGAGATCTATATTCTTACTCACGTGAATCGATGCATGTGTCAATATAAAAAACAATATTGTCACTCAAGAATTGTAATATATGCATTGTTACGCTTCTGCTTAGGAGTGTTTGTGAGCTAATTTTGCTTTGGAAAATGGGTGGCACACGAAGTGGAGGTGGGAGGGGCTGTGGGGGGACAGTGAAAGTGTACTCGAATTGTGAATGTTGTGGGTTTACTCTCCAACACACTAGTGCTGCTGTACTAGTAACAAATTGTCATGTTTTGTTTACGTGACGAACCTTAAGAATTGGCTGCCGGGTGGTGGCGGGTTTAACGACACATTTATATTTACGCGATCTAAACCAAACACCTCTTATGGAGTAGAACAGAGGTTCACAAACTGCTGTATGAATCTAGTGACCCGAGTTCGATTCCTAGCAAATGACTTATCAGCCATGAGTAATATCTGTACTAGTTTTTCAGCCTCTTTCCCCCCCTCAATCCTTTCACTAACTCGCACTGACCAGTGTAGTTGGGTCAAACAACCTCCCACATGACTGACGTCGTGTGGGGAGGGCCTCCTTCAGCAAATGAACTGACAAAGGGCCGTAAATTGTTATCACGAATACAACTTTATGAAAATTAAAGGGCAGTGGTTTGTTGCATCCAACAGTAGGTCAACAAAGGGGCTGTAAATTGGGATTTTTTTAATGGGTGGTGTACGGATTTGCAAAGTGTGTGTTGGTGGGGAGGGTTCATTTAATTTACATGGTCAATTTCACTGTGATACCACGCAACACAATGGGCTGCTCATGTGAAGAATGTCGTGGGATTGCCAAGATGCGTAAGTAAACGGGACATCCGGCAGCTTCAGAAGGTTGGCGATCACGCTAGCGAGCCCCGAGCCTGCCTCGCTGCTACGTCCGCCCTGCGAGTTGTTTGTGCAGGTTTTTTTTGCAGGAGGCTGTGGGCGGGTGCGTGTGTGCGTGTGTGGGTGGGTGAGTGGGGAGCGGTAGTGTGGCGGTTAGCGCGCTGCTCTACGAACCCGGCGAACTGAGTTCGATTCCCGCTCACGGCCAACATCAGTGTTGATTATCCGAACCGGTCCCGAGCCTCCCATAGGTTGACTCGGCCTCAAACGTGTTGAGTGTAAACATCGTTGTTCGGGAGACAAAGGTGGCCGGGCGTGGTGTTGGCCACCCACCCCCTCGTGTGCCGTGCCGGCCTTCATAGGTGCTCGCTAACAGCACTTGCCCTAACAGTCTTTTAAGGCTATACGGGGTCTTTGTGTGCGTGTGTGGGTGGGTGTTCCTTTCAACCGGACTCTCCTCAGCCTCCGGTTGCCCAGAGTAAACAAGCTATTAAACGGTTCTTTCTACCTGTGATGTATTTTACGTGCCCTCCCCTGTCAGGATGATGGTGCAGATGCCCAGTTATCCGTCTGTTTTATTGGAGTTTCTCTGCATATTAGGTGTGCATCCCAGGGGGGGGGGGGGGGAGGTCTTCCCATTAATGCACCATTTAAAGCAAAGAGCATAGAAGTGGGGGTGTGGAAGTACAGTACAACTATTAATTTTGCTGCACCATATTAGTTCGTGGTAAAATGTGATTTTCAACCAGATGAAAGCCCATGGAGGCAACACGTCTCTTGTTGCAATGAAGAACTGTGTGAGTGCATGCACACACACACACACACATTCACGCAGTGCAGTACAATAACTGCAATTTGTATGTTTAACAAAGAAATACTGGCCTTGGTAGGTTCTCACGAACAACACGCAGCGCAGCAGTTTACAAGGCCCAACAGGAGGATCGAGATTTGCCTTTTAATGCTTTTCAACTAAGGTTGAAAGCGTTTATGCCAGGGGTTGGCAACCTGCGGCTCCAGCGCCGCATGCGGCTCTTTAAGGACTCGCTTCGGGAAGTTATTTATTAATGACCACCACCGTCTCGTATTCACATTGCATTGCGGCTCTTGAAATATTGAGGTTTGTTTTTACTAAATTCGAACAAAAATTGCTCCTCTCGTTATTTTGGTTTATGCAATGGCTCCATCCGTCCGTCTGTTCGTAACGAGGAGGGGAACTTTAACTCCCTTAACGATGATCCAGGATGAACAAGTCGGTAATATAAAATGGTTGCTTTTAGGGACTTGTGTTTTTTGCATACTGACCAAATTGTTCAAACTATTGCCCAAATCGTGGAGAAACATATCAGAGCATATCGGACTTTTTTCAAATAAGCAAACATTTTAATGCTGACAGCTAACAGTACTGATAACTCGTGTTGGAAAGCGTTACATAATCCATGCGGTACGTGTGACTTTTTCCAACTTGTTTTTTATCATTGTTTTTTTTTTATGGGACTGGAATGCAGGTCTGCAACGGCAACCGCTACATGAAGATTTCGGGAGCAGACATGGCCAGGGTGGCTGTGACGAGGAGGGAGCTGCTGCGAGCAACGGCGGGACAGGACGATCCTGAGCCGGGCTACGGCGTCGTACTCGGAGACGACCTCGCGGACGAGGCCCAGGGATGCGTCGAGCCCGGCGGTGTACGTTGGTCACCGACGGTGGCTCCAACCCAAGGTGAGGCGTGGAACCCTGGCTCGCGTGTCGACGCTGTCAAAATAATTTCACAACATTTCAATATCAGAAAGGTGGAGAATGAGCGCCGAAAACTTTGGCAAGCATTTCGAGGTTACACTGCCCTCGGTGTTGTCAGATTTTAGTTGAAGGTTTGGCAGCTTCTTTGCTCGTGTAACTGCTAATGGTACTGCAGGCAGATGTGGTGGCTCTTAAAGTGCACGCACACCTCCTCTGTACTTCTCACAGATGTGCAGAGGTAATTGTGTATAGAAACATAGCTACGATGAGGGGCATTGACACAACAGTTAGCATACCGCTCTGTGAACCCAGCGATCTGAGATTGATTCCCGGCAATGGCTGCCATTAGTCGTGAGCGATATCTAAACTGGTCCTGTCCCTACCTCCCACCCTTCAGCATCCCACAATTGCCAGTGTGGTGATGTACAGCTAAACAAACCCTATAACTGCAATGGTATAGGAATTCCTTCATACAGCAGTGGATTGACAAAATGTTGTAGATTTTTGTTACTGTCTAGGGGATGGGCGGAGCATTACAATCTAAGCAATTGTGAGTAAGGAATTGTCTCCTTGAGGCTGTAATCTGTTAGTGAACTATGTGAAGTAAGTGCCTCATCGTCTAATGTATCACATTTACTGCAGGGAGTAGCCCAGGACCGGTCCAGATATCGCCCTCTACCAATGTTACCCATGAGTCAGAAATCAAACTTACGTCGCGCAGGGCGCTAACCACTGCAATACCGCTTCATGTCACATTACCTTTATTACCCCGCTGAGTCGTGATTCCATAATTCATAAGCAAGTCGATAACTTCCTTTTGCTACTTTTTCTAGAAATGCTTTTCTTTCATTCTCAAAAACGAAAAATGTCACCATTTGCTTTGCAAGATTTTTCCCATCGCCTCCCGTGGTGGATTTGGGCCTGAACGCCTGGGACACGCTGCCACAAACAGCAGCCTTAACAGAGACGTCTCTCGACTTTTGCCGCGTCAATATTTGTTCACCTGAGTTGCCAAAAAGCCACACGGCAAACACGCCGGGAGGAGGTGCCCCAACAGACACTCGGCTTCAAACGAAGCCCTGTTTGGTCCTCCGGTCGGGCTGAGAGCTTGGGCCACAGCGGTCTCTCATGGGCGCAGAATCGTAGCACAGCTCAAGGCTTGCCTTGTTTCGCCGTAGACTTGACAAATATCCACATTGGCCCCAGTCGTTTACTGACATGAGGGCGCGAACATCCACAGGTCTGATGTTGAGTGTGTTTAGCGGATGTCAATAAAAGTTAGCCGTGTTTGTCAAGAGCCTCTTGCTTGTTGAGTATGGTGGGAATTGGACTTGGGTTAACAATTTTCGTGACTGTGCTTGTATTGTTACATATCCATCAGTTTTTTTTCTGGATTTCAATTTTCTGAAAAAAATTCAAGAATAAAACTTGTATAACTTAACATGTTGGACTTTCTCTTACTGCAAAACTTGATTTTAAAAATGTGTTCTTTTTACAGGATAAAAGTTACCTTGTATATAAAATAAATACGTCCATCAGATTTTTGGAATTACATTGAGGATTTTAATTCAAATGTTGTATTAACCTTGAGACATTTAGAAAAGTTTGGAAATTACCCAAAGCTAAGTTCAGTGTCATGCTATTTATCATGCTTATGATGCCCCGCCTCTACCGTGTTTGTCTTCTTTACATCTGCAGATTTTGCGGGTAAAAGCTGGCGAGGTGTGGTGGCACTCCCCGGGCCAGAGAAGACGATGTCAAGGGCGAGCGAGAGTTGGTCTTCGCGGACACCACGATACTACCCGGCCTGCTTCGTGGACAATCAAGAACTTGATGCAAACACAGCATCATTCGCAGACGGAACCGCGCTCCTGGCCGAGGCAATTCCCCCAGGTGTCTTGGAAACGGTGCAGCTCTTTTACTGCTGCGTAACTTGCGGGAAGGTGTTCTGGGAGGGGTCGCACTTTTCCCGCATCCTCTCGCAGTTTGCCGATGTGCTGTCCACGGAAAGCGACACTTCCACGTTTTATGAATCGTAGAATTAGCAAAAGGTGGGTGTTGCAACAAAAATAATTAAGCTTAAAATTGTTCGATTGCTTTCAACGGTTGAAGTTAATCTTTATTGGTGTTACGTTAGTTTTAAAGTCTTAAAATTTTAAGATAGTCTTATTTGTCTATTAAAGATTAAAGAATTCTTTCTAATTTTTTTAATATGAAACCAAAGTTTTGTGGGATGTTTTTAAGCATGGTTTAATCTTTATTAACAGTCAGATGTTTTGGTTTTGAGTGTAAAAGTTCTCCATAAGACTTAAGCAGCCAATGTACATCTGCATTTGCTTAAAGCTGTTACTCTAGGTTTATTGCAAACATCACAACACGATTTACATTGTTTTGTGATAAGAATCTGGTGATGAAAATAAACGCTTTGATGCTTTCATATTGTTCCAGAATTCTGTCCACTGACACTGGTCGTGATGAGGTCAAATGTCTTTATCTCGGCATAGCATATGCTCAGCAGATAAAGCTGAATCCACAAATGCTTTCTTGCCTGTGTTTTGCAGCACACTGATGTTTCAGTATCAGAGTTGCAAAAATTCCAAACTTTGGTGAATTCCCATTGTGCTGTTTCGGGTCAAAAGGTGCATGCTCGAGTTTAGTATTTCTGAAATGAAGGCTTATGCTAAACTGCAACGGTGTGTGTACATCTCCGTTCTCTTTATACAGCTTAATGATTGAATCCAGTGTGCTGATTTTGGCTGCTACAGGCATGGAATATTAAAAAAGAATAAAATGTTAAAAGACTATTTCTTTACACGTGAAAACATTTTGCTGTATCTGCAATTTTCACGTGCCCTGGATCATAGCAAATCACTCAAATGTGCCTGTTGAGAACATGCCTATATATTTTTTTTATCAGCTTCATTTGGAAAACAGAAACCCAGTGGGTTCGCACACCACGCCACAAACCCCCAGCTGCTCCGTTCGATTCCCAGCTACGGCTAACATCGTTGGCGAGCGATATCTGAACTGGTACCCACAGCCAGCCCACTTCACCAACCTGCACCGACCAGCGTGGTGAAATATGGTCAAACAGCCCGCAAGACCAATGCGGTGCGTGCGAGAAGGGCGTTCATCCAGCAATGGTTTAACAAAGGGCTCCATATTGTCGTGTCCATACCAAATCCAGATGACGTGAATCAACCCACACCAGTCAGCTTTTCAGATACAGCCCCTTACAAGGACACCAGCCTGCAGAGGCACGCGCACTCAATCGGGCATTGGCACAACCGCAGCGGACCTCGTTCACTTTGCTTTACATTTGTTCCACATTCGTAAAGATAGGGCAGCCCTAAGGACCAGCACAGATGTGGAATGTTACATGTGGCAACGTCTCCCCCCCCCCACCCCTGCAAACGCTTCAAACACTGCTGCTTCACAAAAACCGAGTGTAAAGACCAAACTATTTTTTGATCTGCCAAGACCTCTGAAAATTATCAGCGTTCTTTGCTCAGCCACAGTGACTTCTTGTGTTTAAACTCAGCTGGAGATTTCTTACCCCCCCTCTACCCTACAGTAAATGCACATGTTGTTTTGGGTTTATAACTCGGGAGCTACCGAACAATTTTTCAAGCCATATAATACCCCATTATATTTATCCTTATCTCAATCGTGCATCTGCTCCGTGGTGCATTGTACAGTGACTTGCAGATGCAGCTCACTTTTTTTTTACTTGCGCGACGAGTGATGAGCCGATGCAGCCGACTAGAGTTTGCTTAATAACAGGGAACCGAGGTGGGGGGGGGGGTATTGTATTTCAAAAGGTTACAGGTTTTAAAATTGTGTTTGTCTGTTTGTCTCATTATTCTCGTGTGGCTTTTGTAGCCCTTGCATTTCTCACCCCACGGATTCGCCCTCTGCAACCACAGAGCCACTGCGATTCGGAAGGCTTGGTTCTCCATTTCTGTGAAACGCCGCGCCAATGGAGTTTGCGTTGTGTCTCTCTTTCTCCGTGGTGGCGTGGATTTTTCTCCGGGTCCTTCGGTTTTTCTCTCCACATTTAGAAACATGTTTTTAGAGTATTTGGGCTGATATATATTTCCACATAAGGCCACTTCGTTGAGCTATCAATCGTGGTAGCCAGGTCGCTTCTGAAAAAGAGCTATATAGCTCAGTGGGCCTTACCTGTTAAAATAAAATTGAAACAGTGATAATGCAAGCGGTGCGTCAAGGGACAACACCAAACTCTAGCCCACAACTACAATCTTTTTTTTAAGTTTTGGGTTTTTGTTCACCCCTTCTTCCCACAAAGCCTGCGAGTGCCCCAGCCCCGAATTACAGTGCGTGACTGTGCGTTGCTAAACGTTGGGTGTAATTCCTCGGGTAATTAGGGGGAAGGTTTATACCACACTGCGTGCACTGGGGTGTAAAAATACGACGTTTCACCCACCCACCCGCCCATTCCCCTCTTTCGACACCGGTGGGCTCCCAACACAATTCAGCTCACAACCAAGATCCGAAAGATGTGGCCCGGTCCTAAAAGCCACAACATAAATTGGGATTGTTTTTCTTTCTTTCGAAAATGTCCTACCAACCCCAAAAAAGCTCAGTGGGAGGAAGTTTTCTCTGGCACACAGAGTCCGTCTAAAACTCGCGTTGGCCCCTATTGTGTGAAAACACCCCAGTTGATGGATTCGTGTTGATTGTCAAGCGGAGGGACCGGCCAGCTCTTAACACCTTTTTCAACAAATCCCAACTCTCTCCTTGCAGCCACCGCCGTATTGGAAGGGAAAGAGGACGACAATCCTTGCCCACAATACCGTACTGAAGAGCGCCCCCCACCCCCCACCACTCTCTCATTTTCTCCCAGACAGGCAAAGGCAGGCAAGGCAAGGCAGCCCTCTTGTACTCACAACCCCGAGCACACCCCACCCAAGGCACAAACAGCGTCGTTCGTGCACAACGCTGGGCACCCCAACAGATGCGCGGCCATCGCTCGGCGCGCCGATGGGAACCAGAGCGGGAGATTTTCCCACGCCTTGACGTCACCGCCGACATACCAGCAGCAGCGGCAGCGGCGGCAGCGGCAGCGTCGTGCAAAGGGAGAGAGGGGAGAGAGAGAACGGAGGCGGGACCGAGAGAGGTTGGGGAGGGGGGTGCCGAGCGGGGTGGATGTTGGGGGAGTAAGGCAGAGGAGGTTCGTGGGGGTGGGGGTAGAGGGTGGGGTGGGGGTGGGAGGGTGGAGGTTGGGGTGGGGGCGGCCACACAACCGCCAGGCCACGCCCGCTCAGCATTCGCGGGCGGACCAATGGGATCGGCGAGCCCCGCCGGTCGAGGGGGGAATCTCGTGGAGCGGCGCCGCCCATTGGCTGCCGCGAGGGGAGAGGAATGCGAAGTTCCCACGCCCAGCGGTGAAATTCAACGCGGGGAGCGGCAACTCGATACAGTGGCCGAGGTGGCCGTGGGCCGCGGCGTCTGTCTGTGTGTCTCTCTCTGTGTCGCGTGTTGTGTAGCAGCAGCGGCAGGAGGAGGAGCGCCCGCGAGACGAATGAAGTTTCGCGCTCTTTTTTTTTGTGTTCTGAGGTGGGGTTGGTGATGGTGGAGGATTGCGTAGTTAAATCTTGACTCAAGGCTTTCGTGACTGCGGGAATTAATATTATTTCGGTAAAGTTACGTAGAAAGGTTCAAAGAAAATAATCTTTTTTTAACAAATTTTTTTTTACGACGTTTCGATGGCGAGACGCGAGGCGTTCGTCGTCGGGAAGGAAAACAAAAGACGACGAACGCTTCGTGTGTCGCGATCGAAACGTCGTCGTAAGTTGTTTTTGTTTTGTTATTTTTCTTTAAACTGATCTACGTGACTTTACCGAAAGAGCCAAAGAATAGGAAGACGTAATTGTCGACCCATACGGTTTAACCCCTTAATCTTGTACGGGGAAATATAATTTGTAGGTCCATGCGGTGCTGCGGCCGTTTCAATACGGGCAACAACAACAAAAAACACATGTTTTTGTTGTTGTTTGTGTTTCTTTGCAGGGTGAACGTCAATATGTATTAGGTGTGAATTGGTCTGTGATAAGTTAAGAGTGCTGGACAAGGGATTTGATGTTAACTCCCTCGCCTGGTATGCAGCAAGTCGTCGCATCGATCCCCTGACGCCTGCTGTACAATTGGAATCAGAATATTTTATAGTGGAGGAATCCGATGAGCTATAAAGCTCTTTTTCACAGACGTCCAGTAAGGGCGTGTAATAAAGTTACAACACAAACACGATAGTTTGCGGTGCCCTCTCTTCCCGTGCTCGAGTGTTTTTTTTTTGCTTCCACATATATATATTTGGCTGCTATACATGTCCACGTTATAAGGCACTTAATTGAACAATACATTCTGATAGCCGGGTCGCTTCTGAAAAAAGAGCGATATAGCTCAAGTGGGCCTTACCTGGTAAAGTAAAAATAAATAAGTAATATATTTTTTTTCACCTTAAATTTAAAAAACACGCTTTAATGAAATGTACCGTACTGGTAATGCAAGAACTCCACGACTTCAGGAAGTGGCCCCGAAGTTTGCCAACAACGTAAGGGGCCCGTGGTGATGTACAGCCAACGTGAGTTGAGCGTGGACAATTAAGAGCCAAGCCGAAACATAACATAAAAAATAATGTTTTAAAATACTGTATATGTTTTTTTTTATGATAGAATATAGTATTGTCATCAGTATGACAAGTATATACCAAGTTTGCAGTCGATACCACATTGGGAAGTGGGTAAAAAATTTAGTTACAAGATTTGAGGATACAACAGAGAGTTAATAAAAAGCGTGTAAGAAATAAAGAAAATGTGTTCAGTATGCACTCCACTGGTGTGGCAAGCAACCACATGAGCATATCAACGGGACGATATGCAAGCCACATCTCTCCTTCGTAAATGTGACAATTAAAAGTCACCATCTACGGGTAGAGTGCGATTTTGGCCGTGCTGCCTAAACTACGGAACCATATAAAGCACTGCAGTAAAGCCATAGAGGCACGTGGACTTGATGATACATTAGAGACAAACACCACAGTGCAAGTGGCCATACAACACAAACTGGACTGTATTTAGTCCTATAAATCACCGCAAGTCTGCGCTCCTTCAGTGGCGAAATCGCAAAACTCGACGAACTCTCCCATCCAGCCCTCTCGTGGCCAGCAAGCCTCAATATTGGCGTTGACCTCCTGGACATAAATTTTACCCAGGACACTTGTCAGGCTCCGATTACGGAATCAGACATTTCACATCTTTACTTCGTAAAGGGCCAAACATTTAGTACGTTCGCTTGCGTATGGGGGTGGGGGGGTCTACTGACAATGTACGCATAGGAAACGGGGGTGTGGGGGTGTGTGAAGCCTCGATAATTTGTCTACATTGGCCTTCAAATGGGTTAGATAGTCCGGCGGTGGACTATCTGTTTGCTTAAACACGTTAAAATTATTCAGCCTTGATCGTTTCTGCGTGGATTAAATATCGGCCGTTCTCCAGGGAGGGGGTCAAGTTTTGATAGATTTTTTTTTGCGTACGGACTGAGTGGATGGCCCCCGACGGTTTCCTCCACGGTCAGCTTCATCGTCAGCCATGGTCAATCCACTGCTGGATGAAGGCCTTCCCAAACTATTGGCCGTGCCTCATGGCCCAACAATGCAGCGAGAGCACCTTTCACGCGAAAGCCAATCTCATCGCTCCATCTTCGCGGGGGATTTATTCCTGGGCACTGTTTCCTGCTTTTGGTTGCTTCTGGGTTATTTTTGCCCACTGGCCATAATCTCTTGGAGTGAGCTGTCCCGCTCAAGCCCACTCTTACCTTTCCGAACAGCTCAGAATCATAATCTTTATTCTGGAGGAATCCAGCGAGCGATAAAGCTCTTTTTCACACACGGTCCAGTTGATGTACAAATCGTTCGCTCTGAGTAATGTACATACATCACGAGCAAAATATATAACAATGTTGCTGGCAGACTCTCATAAACATAGCACAATAACACAAATACAGTAACGTTTTTTATGTGCTATTAAGAAGGGCCATTTCCCAAAACGTTACCTATTATATATTTACTGTTAAGGCAAAAGTGTTTTGACGAATGTGGAGTGAGCTTGTGCACCACTGTCAAAGCAACATCACCACATAATTAGTAAATGTTCACGTACCAGTGTTAATTACTGGAATTAACATTGAGCAATTCATTTCAATGATGCTATGAATTTTGGGATTAAACTCCCGATGATTGCACACTGCGTGTTTAAAAGTTTGAATTTTGATAACCAAACTGTTTCTGTAAAATGGTTTTCCAACATCACGTAGTATTTAAAAATATCTATTTTTAATGTATTATCAACACAATAATTGACATTTATATTGCCATCACAAGGTGCATGCAACGTTTATTGTTTAAGCACAAATGTACGTTGAGTTCGCCTTTGTAATTTACAGCTATTTAAGGTAGGAATTGCTGAACGTGCTTTTTATGGTTTTAGGAAACTAACCACTACCCTTTTAATTTATAAAGCTTTCTTAATATAACAACATTCTAACAATGCACAGTCTCCATGACAGGCTCCTCCCTCTCGTCTATGACCTTAATGTTACGTTAAGAAATCCTATGTATGTAAAATGCACAATTTTAAAAGACACTAAGAATATGAGACACACCTGGATGAAGGTTTTAAGTGCAGCGCGCTAACCGCCGTACCACCGCTCTCCCCATACATTACAAGTTAAAGGTGAAGCCCTGCAATTGCTCGCTCACTCCACTGCTGGTGGAAGGGCATCCACTTAATTGGAGCACTGGAGAGCGCCTCTAGATGGTATTTGGCCTACTCTTCCACGTTGGCCAAACGTCTTAGAAGAGGTGGGAGTACCCACATTAAACCACACCAACACGCGAGTGACAATCACTAACAACCACCACGGTGACAGCATCGAACGTGTTCGTATCGGGTGTTACACGACATTAATGCATATCTGTTGAAATGACCAACTGAATAATGTGCGAATTAACCAACGTGTGTCATTCATTCAAACATAATTCCCACATTATCTCTGTTATTAACATCGCCAGCAATACGTGAGTACGGGTAGGTTACATACGGTACGGTAATACGCAAGCAGTTATAATTTTCTACATACGTCACTTTACCGAAAAAAACGAGTATAGTAATTTATGCAGTCACGAAAGCTTCAATTCTATATCAGTTATAATTTGTTAAGTGAAGAGCGGTGTGGGGCTGGTGGTGGTGGTTGGGGCTGGTGGTGGTGGGGCTGGTGGTGGGGCAGGTGGTGGTTGGGGCTGGTGGTGGTGGTTGGGGCTGGTGGTGGTGGGGCTGGGCTGGTGGTGGGGGTGGTGGTTGGGGCTGGTGGTGGTGGTTGGGGATGGTGGTGGGGGATGGTGGTGGGGGCTGGTGATGGGGCCTGGTGGTGGGGCTGAGCTGGGCTGGTGGTGGTGGTGGGGGCTGGTGGTGGTTGGGGGCTCCGCAGCACGGTTTAGAAACAGCGGCTTCTGTGCGGCGCGCGACAGAGGAGACCGCCGTAGGGGGTGGCTGGGGTGAACCTCTTCTCCATTGAAACCCCCGACCACCGCCACCACCCCCCCAGCGTTAAAAAGCCCCGCGTCTGTCTGCGGAGTTCCCACAGACCGCAGTGCGCAGCGAGGCGCCCTTCACGCACCCCCCTCCTCCATATCCCCACGCGGGCGAGCGAGTGAGCGAGCGCCTCTCAGTTTTTTGGGGGGGGGAATACAATCATAAAGCGCGCTTCTTGTAAAGTGACCCAGGCGGTGATAGCGACGGGCGTGCGCGTTGAGGAAACTGACGCCGGGAGCTTTGGGGAGGAACGCTCGACTCTTAGCCGACCGTCGCCGACAAGAAGTCCACCCAAGTCGAGGGAAGGCCGAGACAGAACGAGTTAAACGACGACGACGCCGCGCAACAAGGACGAGCGAGTGAACTGGGGAGAGCAGAAGGAGGAGGAGGAAGGCTTGGACGAAAACAAGAAACCCCGAGCGACTCGGCACGTGTGCGGTGCCGGGGGTGGACACAAGACTCGGAGTGGGGGGGGTGGGTGGCCCCGTCCATCGTTTTGCCAAAGACCCGAGTGAGAGGGTCACCAAAAGCCGTCGTCTACGCGGTGGTCATTCGCCTCCAGCGTGGGTGAGGTGAGCGAGAGGACACACGCCGGGGGGTGGGGGGGTTGTGCCGTGGCGACCATGAGCCAAGCGGAGGTGCCCTCCTGCTCCTCATCCTCGTACCAGCACATCTTCCAAGAGGCGGTGAGTCGAGGCGACACCAGCAAGCTCCAGGCCTTGCTGCAGGACGCCACGGCCGGCGAGCAGTTCAACGTGAACTCGTTTTTTCGGCCCCGAGGGTCAGACGGCGCTGCATCGCTCGGTTATCGCGGGCAACCTGGAGCTCGTGAAGCTCCTCGTGCAGTTCGGGGCCGACCCCAGGCTCGCCACGCGGGACGGCTGGAGCGCGCTGCACATCGCCGCCTTCGGAGGCCACCAGGACATCGTCCTGTACCTCATCAACAGCGGCACGCGGCGACGGTAGCGAGGGGAGAGGGAGGGAGGGGGAGAAAGCCGTCTTCCTTCCGACCTCCTCGTCCTGTCGGTGCCCACCGCTCGTCGTTGTCTGGACAGGGCGGGGGGTGGTGGTGGAGCGACCCCCTTCAAGCGCTGCTGCTGCTGTCATGTGGACATCAACCCCGCGACTGGCGACTGAGCAGCAGCACCAGCAGCATCATCGGTGGCGGAGGCAGTAAGCGAGCTTAGCACTACGATAAGCTGAGCACCACGACCAACAAGGCACCACCACCATCTCATCATCATCGTCGTCTCACCCTGGACAATTTCATTCGAGCGCCGAGCTTTCGTTTCAACGCGTGTTGTTCTGTTGTTTGTGTTGTTGAAGTTCGGCCCTGTCTTCCCCACCACCCCTGGCTGCCAAACTGAAGTTGAAGCCGGGCAGCAGGAAGAAGGGCAAGGTAGCGGACCCACACCTGGGTAGGGGTGGTATCGAAGCGTGGTCGGGCCCGTCTCCCGTAAGAGGCCTATTATTACAAGGAAGGGGCCAGCAGCTGCAGCCGAGAGAGAATGTGCGAGGTGTATCTCTCCGTCCGTTACACACGGCCAGCAGCGTCCTGCAAGACGGCGATACAGCCAAGCTGTCAGTCGTCTGGGGGCCGCGGGGGGCCTTCGTGAACCGCCGCTACCAACCACCAAAAAAAAATACCCCGGCGGCTCATCGGTGACAGTGGCGATGGTGGTGCTCGCATTTGAGATTTATTTAAAAACGTGGTTAATGAGTCTCGGCCACGATGCGCCGATGAAAGTTGGTTGGACTTCCTCCGGTTGGCGAATAACGATTTGTTTTCTGTTTGTTTAGACCTGTTTTTGTTTTTCCGATATCTTTTGTTTTTTTTTAAAGCGGACCAGCCTCATCCCCTGCACGCTATCTTGGAAAATCTGCACGACCACATCCTTCACAAGTGGATGTATAGATGGACGCGATAGAATTATCCTGGGTCGGAATTTTAGACGCGACTCTTGGACACATGCGCGGACCAATTGCGCCACCTCTGAGAGAGAGTCCTCTTGCCTGCAACGCAGATAACACAAATAGGTGTTTAGCCTTTTAACTATTTAAAACAAAAAGTAACCTTTTCCTCCATCCCAAAAGTGTCAACGGATGGGACTTTGTAATGCGTCGGCAGTTTTGACATTTCGCGAGCATCTCTTTCCGAGCCGATTTCCCAACATCTCCCCAATTTTCCCTATTCTCCCCCCTTCCAAAAAAACCCCCTTACGATAGCTGCTATTTGTGTGCGAAAACTTAACAGAAAGACTGGCCTTAAAAACACGATCACTCTACCTCGACCCGCGTATGGTTGTGATAAGGAATTGACTGGGCAGTGTGTATGTACAATGCTTATACAAAGTGACCAAGTCACGGATGGGTGTTTGTGTGCACAGACACAATATGTTGATTGACATTGACTAAATCTCAAGTCGCGGAGGTGGTGGCGGGGGGGGGCACCTGATGTTTTGGTATTTTTTTTACATTTGTCCACTAATAACAGAAAATTTAATGTCAAACGAAAGTCTAAAACCTTTAAAACGCGCAACTTTGAATGCAGTATTTTAATTCAGCGCATAATCAAATGTAGGTTCTACCTTTCATTATTTTTTGTGTTGTTCACACGGTAAATAAACATCCGTAACATATCTACAGCGTGCCGAAGAATGTGTGTGTGTGCGTGCGTGTGAACGCCCGTGTGTTGCGGTGTTCAGGTCCATGCAGCACCGTTTTTACCGGATTATAAGACGCACTTTTCCTCCCCCCTGTATTTTAAAAACGAAACTTGAGGGATGTGTCTTATAACCCGGCAGGTGTGTGTTTAAGTGTGTGTGACCATATTTGCAGAACTTTCTATTCACACCCGGGCACGTGGTTTTTTTTGGTGCGTCTTGATTACTTTCCGGAGAATTTGGCAGAACACATCTGGGTTCATCAGTCCAGTGGACAGTGGGTTGTTTTTTTAAAATAAAGTAACCGTAACCGTTTTTTTGCAATACAGCAAAAAAATCAATGAGTTGCGGCATTTTTGTGAAATGCTCCTTATAGGAAAGGATAATTACTGTCCCGTGCCACCCCTGATTTAGTGCCCCCGTTTGAGTGAGCTCGCACGTGATGGTTTAATTTTTTTTACACACACTGCACACATTGATTTTCGTCCTGTAGATGCGAGATGCAGGATTTGCAAACCTGACGAAATTGCCGTGGTTAATGTCTCGTTGTCATTGATGCTGATTGATGTTTGCAGCGAGCACGTACCTTATAACACATTGGATAGGACTTGTTTATTTTGTTTTCCAATGCAAAGAAGTGTATAGAATTATAGAGCATTATTAAAAAAACACAAAGAAATGCGCTTTAAGCGTTGGTGCATGTGTGCCGTATCTTTTTTTTTACGCAATGCAAAAACAAATAATGTGCAAATTGCTGTAAAAGAACAACCGTATAATACATTCAATTACTGTCATATTGCCGTTAAAACACAGACACAAGTCCCAACTGTTATGGACATTGCTGTTACCACACCGACAGTGTATGTTTTACTTGCGTATTGTATAATGCTATACTGTGTATCGCTTATTGTACGACACCTTGAGTATATTACATACCGTACTTATACGTCAATTGTGTACCGGGCTGCGTGCAGATTTTGTGAGCACACGAAACAACCACAACCCCTGAAGTTTCACAAAAGTTTCACGCGCAGTTCGTTGAATGTGCAAAATGTGTCATTTTTTTGTATATGAAAGGGATGCTTTACTTTTTTTGCGTGTGTGGAAAAGGGAGAGATGGGAAAGAACCGCCGACTCCCCCCCCCCCCCGTACGGAATTATATTGAAACCTGAGACTCGTTAAAGTGTTTCATTTATATATATAAAAGGTGATTTGAGAGAGAGGAGAGAAAAAACAGTAAAGTTGACGCAACGTTGCACTGACAAGTTGAGCGGTGGTGCTTGATTACGGGAGCAGATTTTGTGTGCGTGTGTGTATCTTGTGTGTGTGTATATATACATTGTACCATCATAGTTACGCGGCCCTAACTCGTGTTTGCGTAGAGAAGAGAGGGGAGCCTTGACGGACGGCTATACGGGCAAATAAAAAAAGTTGCCTTCCAAAAACAACAACACATGCTTGAACATGGGAGGTTTTTTGTTATTTAAGAAAAAAGAGTAGTGCGTGTATCGTTTTCACATCCAAGAATGCGGTGTCACGAGTATAGTTTAGCCAAAGGCAATGACTGTGCTGCTTTGAGTTCGCATGGGGTTCAGTCGGTGCGTGGTGCACAAAGCCGCCTCCCCGTATCATACGGGGTGATCCATTTACAGAGACCCCACAAAAACATCAACCCTACTTTTCGTCCGATAGAGGAAGACGCGGAGCCAACTTGCCTTACCACCCCCCCCCCCCCCGGCTGATTTTACCGTACGAATTTAATCTGTGAACACTCTGCGAGATTACGGAGACGTCGCTTTCAGGGCGTTCAATCGCCCGTTTAAAAATAAAGATGGGGTGGGGGGTGGTCATTAGAATGACGTGGGGGATATCTTTAAATGGATCGCCATGTCTATCCACGAAGGGTGCACTTGGCAGAATTGTCTGCACACGTAAACACACACAAGGTATAGGAACAAAACAATCGGCCACGAGTATGCGTAGAATGTACAGGCACAGCCCATCTTTGTCAATCCACTGCTGGATTAGGGCCTTCCCCGTGCCAGAATGAATGCCTGGAGGGTTGTTTGATCATACTTACCGAGAGCGGGTGGTCATAGACGTCAGAGCGTCGTTCAGGACAATGGATGTTGTTGCACTAAGCATGGCTGGAAAAAGTAGACCCACAGGAGACTTAGAACGCCTGTTTCATGCATAGTGGCCACCCTTCAAAGCATTATCTCGGGTCAACCTTGCTTAGCTTTAAATATCATACGTAACATACATCGACGAAGTGGTGGCATACTCTATACCACCTTTCAAATACATTTTACATAGTTTAATAGCAATACTTAGATAAATGCAAGCTATAGTCTTTTGAGAACTTGCCCATTTTCAAAGCAATAAGGGAAATAGATCTGTGAATGGGCCGTTAACCGAAACGTTGGCGTGTTTTACACTGTGTCAAGGTAGTGATTCGGCGTCGATGGCAGTGGCAATGTATGTCTTTCAACCATATGCCAAGGCGGTTCCTTGAGTTTTAATCGAGGTTGAAAAGAACATATATAGCATTACGCTGAAAGCCTATACGTTTAAGTAATGGTCACGTGTATAGTTTCACACTTAGCGGACTTCACGTCCAATAAAAATCACGTAACCTTTAAATGCGGCTGCATTCCCACCAAACAAAAACACGTTTCTCAATTGCACAGTGCGCACAATCAATTCCCCCCCCCCCCCCCCCCCCCGAAGGAAGGCGTGCTCACAATCGCGTTTTCATCGTGTGCACCATGGCGAGGTCTCGATCTTTAGAAAGCAAAAGATGAAATTACGCGCTAATGTTCAGGAAAGGCATTAAAGAACCGTACCCCTAACATTTATATATTTAAAAAGCTAATTGTGAGTCCGGTGTAACCCTTTCTCCGGTCATTACTGTTTCGGGGAAAACGTAATTACGGTAACTAATTGTCGGTTCAGCAGAACTAGTTTCCATTCACATTCAATTAAGGGAACGCATAATTACGGGAGTATTAAGCTACACTCTTGTTTAACGCTACCTGCAGGTGCACTATTCTATCAGCCAACCAGCCAGGCTCACAGTCCGTACCGATGATGCCCATGCACGCTTACTACGTGTAATGCACCGTACACTAAAGCACGTGGCTGGCACGTCCGCGTGTGTACACCTCGATATATTAGACACCCGCTTTGGTAGGCAGGTAGGAAGGCAGTAAGCACACGTGTAGCATTTGGTCCAACTTAGTATAGAGTGGAGGCGAATATCAAGGCAACTCAAGGTAATTCATGAATTGGCAGTCCAAGCCACGGAGTTGCACAATTAACGATTTCTTTTGTTGAGAGGTACTGACTGCAGTTTGACACTGCGTGCCAACTCCAGTGTGTGTATATATCCTGATCAATTGCCAGCGTGAAGGCCACGAGCTAATACGTAAAATTGCCTTGGGGAGAGGGAAGCCCTTCCTTCCCGTGTAGCCCTATGCAAGAAGTAAGCGTGGCACGGGAGCGATGTGGAAGGAACTTCCCTTTGAAAATTTCACTCGCCCATGCTGCGCACATTGATAATAATGGACAATGCGTTATTTGTGAACACAATGCAGCATTGCCTCTTAGACGGGCAAATGATCGTGCACATCTTAAGACGTTTTAAATATCGCTGAGATTTGAGCGTTGACGTCAAACGAGTCGACATTTCAACGAAGTATGTATGTTGAACTTCTTTCGCACCGTACGTAGCCAACCGCGATAATGGGAATAATAACAACGCACACAGATGCGAGCACAATCATTCATTCACAAACTCGTGAGTGATTTGAGTCTTCTCATTTCGTTATTGGGGGGGGGGGGGGGGGGGGTGATAACAAATGTTCGTGGCGAGGTTGGCGAGTGAGCCATTGAACTGCTTCAGAAACAAGCAACATGGTGAATATCTGAAACGCTGCCGGAGAATGATCGAAGCGGTGCTTTGCGATCCATGGTTCGAGGTGGATGACTGCAAGTCGCACTGCGGGCTCTTCTTGATTGTCCTCCGGTGTAAGTCTGCCGTGCGATGTTCTGATGCCGTTCAATTTCGACTCATTGTTTACGGTGCAAGTTGAAACCCGGGGGAGTATCTTCCTTGCGTGGGGAGTTGGTAATTCCACTGGCGTGCATTTAAATTCGAAAAGTGACTTGAATCCCACGCGAGTTGACAGTGCTTTGTGAGTGACAGAGAGCGAGGAGCACGCCCTGCCCGTTGCAGTCACAGCGAAAGACAATTAATTATGACACGATGATGATGAATGTGCTCATAAGTGAGTCTTTCAGTTGATGTCGTGTAATGAACTTGAGAAGCAAGCGCCCAATGTTTTCAATTAGGACCGCGTTCATAGCCCTATTGTGACGAGCAGTAATTTCTTTTCTCACCATGAACAAGGCGTTCTTAGGTAGCCCGTGTCATTTGCTTTTGTTTACTTTTAAATTACTCGACAAAAATGCATCTGTAGTAAGTGTATAGGACTGCACTGCTGGATTGGCTGTGTATATTTTCCAAGCAAGCCCAAGACATGCGTTACGGCAGTGTCCATTTCACCCCAATGGTCATGAATGCAATACAAACCAGTTTTACCAAGTGTGCGCTCAGCCAGCAACAATATTGTATATCTAACACATTCAAATAATGTACAGCCCTATGTCAAGATACCGTCTTGGTGATGGCAATTATTTGTCCATACTTCACCACGCTGGTCAGTGGGGCTTGGGAACAATACCAGTTATATCACACAACCGGATGTTGACCGTTGCTGGGAATCGAACCCGCGGGTGCCTCGTTCATAACACCGTGTGCTAACCACTTTTCCCACCGCTCTACCAAACACGATTGCACAATGGCTTGCGTTCACATTGAAGGGAAACGGCTGCTGGTTTTCGTAGCAATAAAGAATTCATTGAACGATATTAATGCCTCAGGCCAAGTCTGTATGAAGCTTCTTGTTTCCGTAATTGCTAAATAAAAAGGAATAATGTTTATATTAACAAGGTAGTGTATTGTTCTTCATGTGTCATGTACGTGAAACGGGGATGCTGCCATGATGTAAACGGTTAGCGCACCTTACTTGCAACTCGGAAGTCGTCGGTTCAATTCAATCGCCCGGCGCGGCAGTTTCAACAATTCTGCACGTTTCTTAAATCCCCCTGCCACCTCCATCTAAACTTTTTTTTTATCTTACCAGGTAAGGCCCACTGAGCTTTCTAGCTCTTTCTCAGAAGCGACCTGGCCACAAATTATAGTTTCACAAAGTGGCTTTATCACGTGGAGATGTACAACAGCTCTAAATGCATGATGTTGATTCTCAATGTGGAGGGAAAAACCGGAGGACCCGGATACAAATCCACGCGACCACGGGGAGAGTGAAATGCAAACTCCGAATATACAGACGTCAGGTTCGAGATCGAACCCACGACCTCCTCAATACCAGGCGAGGTCGTTAACATCTCGCTACCGCGTTATGAACTGTTAATAGGTACATCACCGTTTTGCAATCGGTAGGTCACTGGTGGTGGGGTAAAATGTAGGTCCTTCCACCTTTTGCAAGAAGTCTGACCCGTGTGGAAGAGTAGACCAAAATACCTTCAAGAGGGATTCTCTCGTGCCCCCTCTAAGTGGAGGTACTTCCAACAGCGGTGGCGCGAGTAGGTCATTGCAGGGTAGCATCTTTAGAAATGTGATGATACATGCACATACACACAACTCTATGGATGGATGCTTACCGCAAGCCAACATGAAATTACGCTAGGCTATTTCATACCAATAAGTTGTGTTGTTAAAATCAATAACGTGGCACAGTTTCATATGGTTGTTGGTTTTCATATCATCTCAAACACGCTTAAACTAAGAGATAGGATACATTGAAATATTGTACAAAATGTTATGTACATATTTAGCATGATGGCAAAATTCGTATTACGCATTGTTGATAACGCGTATATCTGTGATAATGTCTGACAATATACAGGTAAATTATAATGTTGTGTGCATTGTGTGCCTTATATTCTGCGGTGGTGATTTTTAAAGTAACGTATAGTTGCTATATTTTACAACCAAGTACAAATAAATGGACGTGCATATTATGTGATATTGACACAATATTCAGTAAGACCAATAATGGAAGAAAAAATAAATTAATTTAAACGCCACAGCTCTCGTGTTCCATAATTTGATGAGTTGGTTCGTTGTGCTATAGATGTAATATATTACACTGTATTGCAGCAGTCACCTGCTAGTCACTCAAGTCACTTTCCTACCAGCAGTCAGTCGCCTCCTGATCACTCTTCGGTCGCTACCGCCACTTTTCCCATGAACTTCACTCATTTATTCCTCCATCCACATTGAGGACTCGGTCTGACCAGACTGTTTCGTCTCATTCACAGCCACCGCACTGCAGGTCACAGCGCTTACATCTGCTTCTTTCCTTGCACTCCCATTGTCTCCTTTCCCCAACTTCTTATCACCCTGCGCAATCCGAGAAACGTATTCACTATAATCCAATATATTATAAATGGTGCTGTTTGTTGCTGACCGCTTAGCGTCGTGAGCCTATGCTCAGCAACTATGATTAACAAACAAAAAAATTGTAATCAAGACTCGGAACATTGCAGCGCCACATTGAATCGTATTTCACAGTCATACAATGCTTTATCGGACCAGTGAACATGAGAATGTTGCCTATAATTTAAGGCACAAATAAAACATGTCATAACAATAATGTACCGCCCATTGTCAAGTCACGAGAGGATGAAAGCCTCCCTACGCAGTGGCGCTCGTTTTTGGCCTTAGGTCAGCACGCTGCTCAGTTGAATTTATGAAGATCAGAATAAAACTCGGGCCACGTGGTAAATAGCAGTGCGCCAAGCACTGTGCCATCAATTTGTTTCAATATCATCCCTGTTGTATATCTCAAACCACGGTTCTTCACGCAATCGCCTCTAACTCTACCATCAGAGAGATTTGACATGGTCTACGTCAATATTTGTACGTACGTACGTTGAACTTCTTTCGCACCATACGTCGCCAACCGTGCTAATTGGAGGTGCGGGGGGCGGACAGCGTTGATGAAGGAATTTAGGGTTTGAAGAAGAGCGAGGTTTGTGTGCATGTGAAGTAGTTTCGAAACAACTCGCTTTTAAAAGCTTTCTGAGCCACCGTGAAATAAATAAATATATACATTTAAAATTCAAGGTTACTGATAACCTGGGGCAGAGGCCCAAAATGCCGAACGGCCAGCAACAAACTGCACTTCTTGAGAAGGTAATAGAAAATAGTCGATGGTTTTTTTTTAACTGAGCGATGTTATTTTAAGTTGGACAAAGAGACCATAGGAGGGATTTTCAAAGTCGAGCAGTGAGAGGAAAGAAAAATATGCCTTGTCACCTGCAGTGTGATGGTTGAAAACAATTTAGGTGAGATGTGTATTATTATTTTAAAAATGAAAGGGAAAATGTTTAATTTAACTATTTCTTTTTTTCCTATCCTATCTAATAGGGCCAATTACGCACGTCTCAATGGCTGTAGAATAAATATTACTTTAATCTTTATAAAGTATGGGAGCGGTGGTGCAGTCGGTTTACGCACGATTGTGAATCTGGTGAAATTAGTTCGATTCCTAGCCAAGGGTAGCATCAGTGGCGAGTAACATCTCTCCAGGTGCTCCGATTTCATCCCACGCGAATGAACCCACTTATTATCGGCCAAACATGCCCATGTAGAAGGACGCTCACGATTATTTTGTTTTGAAACTCATTCATGTTTCGTGAGAAAACGATGTCATAGTTAATGCCCAAAACGAACAAGTCAGGGCCTGGATCACTATAACTGATACCTCCGATTAGCACGGTTGGCTACCTACGGTGGGAAAGAAGTTCAACATACGTACAGTTCCAGTTTTTCAAGATCAACATTTGGTTTGATAGACCCTCAGTATCACAGTGTGCAGTTGTTTTGACCATTGAAAAAAATGCTCAGAAACTTTTAAAACATGTAATTGTCATCAGGATCCATGGTGCGAGAGGCGCAATCTCCGACCCCTTAATCAACTGTATCTCTCTGGCCGATCTGTGTATCTCCTTTGAAGAAGGGCCATTGCGTAAAACGTCGCCGATTATATATTTCAGTAACCTTTAGGCAGCGTTGTTGGCGAGTATGTTGAGCTTATTTTCGTTGTTGTTTTTAGCCACTTATCAGCGAAACGAGAGTTCGTCAAGGGACAGATTGGCGATGGCAATTAATTGTCGCGCACGCTCTCGCCTGGCGTAAACTTTGGAGGCATTCGTAGACATGCATCAGTGGATTTATCATGCGTTTTTATCACCTCGGGACGGTCGTCCTTCGTTTGGGGGTGGGGGGGGGGCACTTCAACTGATACATGGGGCGAGCAGGGGGGGCTTCCTCTTTGCAACGTGAAACCATTCGTGCTTTGTTGAAAGGAACGGGAGTGCGAATGTCAATCGCGCGTGTGCGTGTGTGTCACAAAAATGGTCCTCCGCCGCCATCTATTGGACACACCGAGCAAAAGCCACACGTTTGGCCAGCCGAATACTTATGCAAACAAACAAAAAAAACACGCACGCGCATGTCTAAAGCAAGATTACACAACAACAACAAACGAAATACACTTCTTGCAGGCCCACGTCTCTTGTGCGTGGTTGTTCACCGTCGACTGAAAAGGGCCATCGTGCTACCCAAGCTGACACCAACAACCACACGCGCGGTGCTTCGCCATTCATTGTCCGTCTCACAAAGCCAACCTCGTCAGTTCTTCCGGGTGAGAGTTTAAAGAAGTCTCGACACCCGCCCCAATCGCGATCATCATCATCAAACGCACACACACACCATCATCATAAGCACATGGTCGTCGCAGTTTGAAAAGGGGAGAGGACGTCTTGAGACTTTGTGGTGTGATTAGGAAAGTTCGCGATGGCTCTCGAGGCCATCAAATACAGCCGGGGTGAGCTGCGCATCCTCAACCAGCTGCTGCTGCCCCATCTCACCGTGTACGAGGCGGTGAAGACCACGGATGACGGGTGGAACGCTATCAAGGCCATGAAGGTGGTTGGCCCACTGCTGATTCCCCCCCCCCCCCCCCGAGATGTTAACTACCTCGCCTGGTGTGCAGGAGGTCGTGGGCTCGATCCCAACTCTGACGCCTGCTGTTTATTTGGAGTTTGTGTCTCTCATCATCATTACGGTGGCTAGGAGATGTTAACTATCTCGTCTGGTACACAGGAGGTCGTGGGTTCGATCCCGACCCTGACGCCTGCTGCTGTTTATTTGGAGTTTGTGTCTCTCATCATCATTACGGTGGCTAGGAGATGTTAACTATCTCGCCTTGTACACAGGAGGTCGTGGGTTCGATCCCGACCCTGACGCCTGCTGCTGTATATTTGGAGTTTGCGTGTCTCTCTCCCCGTGGCCTTAAATTCGAGATATTGTGTCTATGTGTGTAGATGTGTGTGTGTGTCCTGGGCCTCCCCTAGGTCGACTCGGCATCAAATGAGTACAGTACCGGGTGCGGTGTGCAAACATCGCCACTGGGGAGACAAAGGCGGCCGGGCGTGCGGGCGTTCGTAGGTGCTCGCGAACAGAACTTCATACCTGTTAACCCCTTATTAGTGCCTACCTTATGGGGCCATCCATAAATGACGTCACGCACCTGGGGGGGGGGTCAGACATTTGTGACGATGTGTGACGAAGGGGGGGGGTTTGAGAAATGTGACGTCACATCAAAATGCGCAACTTTAAATATAGACAACACGTTATACTTAATTAAATATACTTTTTAATAAATGTTTCCTACTACAACATCAGAGTGCAGCGCCACATTAAATACGCAATACAATGGCAATAGTTTAAAGAGATTTGAAGCATGTTTTATATTTTTTTGGGGGGGGGGCAGAGCTTTGTGACGTCATATTTGAGGGGGGTCTGACTTTGTGACGCCGCGTGACGAAGGGGGGGGGGTCAAAGATCGTCCAAAATCGCGTGACGTCATTTATGGACGGCCCCATATAGCAGACCAATTCAGACCACCTTGGTCACCCCCGCGCCCTTATAAATCTCAGCGTTAATCCTACAAAGCCCGTAGTGAAACGGCTGCACACCGTATGGGCCTGAAAACTCTTACTTGCCTGTATAAGAATACGGGTAAACCGTATGGGTTGATAGCTGTATGGTACTTGCATCAAACGTTTGCTAAAGCTTTATCTTTGTCTTGTACTTGTGTATACAAGAGCATTGATTTAAATGACAATGTGATCGTGTGCAAAGGTGAGTGTGTAGGTGTGTGTTCCACGTGAACGTAATCGAGCACGTATTACTCAATAGCTACTATATTAGGTAACTCCATATGCCAGTTTAAAAACTGGTTATCAGAAAACATTTTAAAATTGTAATTATGATCAGGCCCCACGGCGTTCAGTGCGGTCTCCAAACCATTATTATTTTGTGTGTTTAGTTTGTTGTCCTTCCCCCGTCACCTCCAATGAGCACGGTTGGCTAAGTACGGCATGAAAGATGTTCAACATACATACATACATTATACTCTTAGAGCCACGTGGATGTTCAGAATAAACACCTCATTCGAGGCTCGAATAACGTAACTGCTGGCTTTGACATTCCTTGAAGACACCAGTGTCACCATCAACAGAACATCAAGCGGCCGATGCACACTTGTCTCCTTCATAAATGTAAAATTTAAGACAAAGCCACAGCAGCGCGATTGTGGCCATGCAACCCAAACTATGGACCATATAGTAAACCACTGTAGCGTGCGCTCCTTCAACGGAGGAATGGCAAAACTTACACGAAGTGTCTACTGAAGCCCTCTCGTGGCGAGCAGACCTCGACATTGGCATTAAGCTCCTGAACATATCCAAGAACAGAATTACCCACTCTTGTCTCTCTGGCCACTCTATGAGCTTTGAAGAAGAGCCGTTGCCTGAAACGTCATCTATTATTAAATGTTTTTCATTCTAGGCCACACACAGTGTTGTTGATGACTGTGTTGAGGTTTTTTTGGTTCTGAATTTGAATCGTCTCCGCGTCACATGCGGCTCTCGTTTAGCAATCATCAGAAGGGGCAGGGTGCAATGACTCAATTCATATTTTGACTTAGAAGGTTGGTAAACATGGCAAGGGGCGGACAGGAGTGCGTCTCAATAACCGCGGCTCGGCAGTGGGAAATACGTGGGTGTAATAATTCATGAGAGAAAGCGCATAATATTGTAAAGTCCTTTACCCATGCATGCATCTAAATTGATTCTCAAGACTTTTTCAGGAGGGCACTTCTTTTGGATTGCTATCTATGGCTAGCTGTTGTTATTTTACTTATGTCGTAAATTTTAAACTGGCATGCCCTTTATTTATCCTGGACAATTTCCACTGGGTCCCAATGCTCCATTTCATAAAGGTCCAGCCTGCATTGGGAGGTTTGGCCATTTCCTTTATTATTGAGTGGCGTGTTGGAGGAAAGTGGATTACCCAGAGAAAATCCACACGTAAGAAATGATTGCACTCAAAGCACTGAACAGATAGATTCAACAATCCATTACTGAATTATCATGTCCGAGGGACTTTTCTGGTGGGTATAAGCAGGAGTGAGAGACGATACCTACGTTATCCACACAACGGTAAGTAATCTACTTTCCTGACTGCTGCAGACACTGACTGACTTACCTCATCAGAAGATAAGCAGGTATGGGCCTGGATAGTGTTTGGAAGGTAGACCACCATACACAAAACAGACGTTATAGGCTGCTTTGAGGCTATCTTGTGAGCAGCAGAGGGCAGTGCAGAGGAAAAAAACACATCTATTTTGTGCTGTAATGTGCTGCCACATCTATGCACCTCGCTTTCACTGATCTGCTCTTGCCAGCGTGGTGAAGTACGGTTCACAGCGTGTGGGGTGGCCCTCATCCAGCAGTGGATTGACAAAAGGGCTGTGCGCGTACAAGAGCTCTTGTCCCAATAGCCTAGGTTTTATGAGATGTTTTCATCTTGTGTGTGCATCTGTGCTTGTCTGCAATGGATTGCCACAAGGGCTGTACGTGCAAGCACCTTGCTGCCCATGCTGCTGCCTGTTTTTATGCGGGTTATGATAATAATGTCACCTCTTCATACAGGGAAGCCTCATTAGTCTCCAATTCTGCCAGGAGGGCCCTGCATTGGGACGTTTGGGCAGTTCCTTTTTAAGGATTGTTTTTGCATGTGGGAGGTAACCGGAGTACCGAGAGAAAACCCACACACGTGTAGTGAGTGACTTCCGAGACACAGCGTGTAGAGGGCTTCTTATTTATTTCTCACATTTCAGGCACAATCACTGGGCGACTAATATACATACACGGCTACGCATAGCCGACCCATCTACACAGCCCCATCGTCGGCATCGAATTATATAGCTGGCTGACTAGCGTAGCGACCACGACGATGGGAGCCGTGCAGAGGATCGGCCACGCGGCTGCACGATGAAGAGAGATGACGGCGAAGACAGCGACGGCAGCCAGGACCCAGACCCCACGACAGCTCCGAACCTTCCGTCACGTCCCCCTTATATACTCCCCGGCATGGCCAGGCCCCGCCTCCGGCCACGCCCACTTCTAGAACCTTCGAGCAGGTTCCCGGAGCTTCAACGCAGTTACGCCCCCCTTCTGGTTGGTTATTATATAACGCACCCATACTCGTGATGACCCCTCCTGTCATTAACACGTGTACATTTGCTGCGCTGATATCAGCGGGTTGCAGAGGTTCACCAATCAGAATGTGATCCGCCAACCCTTGCCTCCAAAGTGCTGGATCGCGGGTATGCGCCAAATATTAACCCAAAAAGAGTTTAAGCAGAAATGTAGAATTAATTATTATACGACAGTAAATAAATTATTATAGTGAAGAAAATAGTGCGGAGAAGTGCGCACTTGGAATTAACACAGAGAGACGGGAAGAAGCAAAAATGCAATGATCAGGGAGCAAACGCAAGTCCGAGGCCTCTTTGTGACCGCTAATAAATTCTAAGCGGGCTTGAGCAGCACACATCATTCGCGAGAAGTGATGATGGCTGATGGACAAGGCTGGGAGACAGAGTGGTAGCCAGGGGGTCCGTCACTCTTGGAAAACGGAGACTCTCCTTGTCGCTTCGTGTCCTCGGCTGGATGAACGAGCTAAACGTGAGAGGAGGGACCACGCACCACCGAGAGGACGACCGCGCCGAGACAGAGCGAAGGAATGAGCCGGAGCGAGATGGATCGTGCCATTCGCGGGACCGCGGCGGATGGTGACGGCGTGGATAGGCGTTCATCGAGCAGTGGGTAGAACGTGGTTGATGGTGATATTTTTCTCATTTACATTTCGGGGGGGGTGGGGGGGAGAATAAGTTGTACTGTATTATAGAAACGTTAAAGTATCATCTTAATGTTCCCCCATGAGGAATGCAAAATTACAGTTAATAATATTGCAACTCTTAAAAACACATTTAGCCGTGCTGTATTTGCATGCTCTACAAATGAAAGAAGGCACAGTTATAAAGCAATTACTGTTAAGCAATTAAATAAGGTTATTTTTAAAAGTTGCAGAATCTCTGGAAAAAGCTTAAATGTTTCTCATTATCTGACGGCACACCTTGAATTGTACCCAGGACTGAGTTTATTCGTCAATATTTTCGCAGCCGTTGATAACTCCGCTTGCCCAACTCTCTGGGTGTAAATGCTGGGAGGTGGCAAGTGACCAGTAGCCACAGCCAAGAGTGAGAAGTGTGCTGTATTTGGTTTGCCAGGCGCAAACATTATTTTCACTTTCTTCGACGCGAATGGGTAAAGGTGCGGCCCTGCAATGATTTGCTCGTACCACTGCTGACAGAAAGGACTCCACCAGAGGGTACTTGAAGATCCCTAGAGGGTATTTTCACCGACTCTTTCACGTTGGCACAAGCTATCTTACAAATGGTCGGAGAAGTGCACGCACTTTAACCCACAACACGTGACCTTTCGAGTGACTTGACCCTATCCCGATCCGTGACGTGTGCAAGTTGCAGGGTGGGTCCCGTTCACCGCTGAATCTGGGAAAAGCGGTTCAGCGTTAATTTTATTTGGAAAGGCGTAGCGCCGCTGTTTTTAAAAAAATTTTACCCACCGCAGAGAACTGTAGCGACACGACCACAGTCTACGATAGCTGGCGCCTAACTCTGCCACACGCCTTCCCGCATGGCCCCGTGGGTGCCTCGGTACCAATACAGTTATTTAATATTTTTAGAAAAACTGGTGACGTACACGTACGTCATTGGAACAAGAAAGGGTTAGGTATTTATACTTCTGGGTGAACAGCGAAGGGGAGGGGAGATTTAAGAATATTGGGCAATTTTTTAAAATCTCAACTGCCACGCTGGGAGATGGTTTAAAACTGGCGACTCCTGGGATTGTAAGTCCAGTGCGCCGACCATCACATCACCGTGGCAGCATTCCCACTCGGGCAGACCCGGCTGAAATTGAGCCGTGAGTTTTAACCCGTGTCTTCTGCCACCCGCCAGGTACGCGGCGCTCCAGCGATAGCGATCGTGGGCTGCCTGAGCCTTGCCGTCGAGATCACCAAAAGCGAGTTCACCTCCGTGGAGGCGCTCGTGGAGTTCACCCGGGAGCGGCTCGCGTACCTGGTGACGGCGCGCCCCACCGCTGTCAATATGAGCAGAGCGGCGAGCGACATTGGCGCGACGCTCTGCCAGCTGGTCGCTCGGCCTGGAGCCACGATCGACAGCGTGGAGAAAGGGTGGGTGGTGGTGATGATGGTGATAATGGTGATGGTGGTGACGGCGGTGGTGGTAATGGTCGGTGCAGTAGGGGCCGCAGTTGGTGCATCTGCCAGTCAGCTCAGTCAACCCATGACACCTGGGTCAGTCCCGTGACCTGTCAGCGAGCCTTCGACACTTCACGTGGCCTCAAAGTGCACCTGGCCTGGCCCAGGTGCCGTGGTAAATGGCAGGTATTGGTATTGGTGGTGATGGTGGTTGCGGTGGTGGTTGCGGTGGTGGCGGTGTTGATAGTAGTAGTGATGGTTGTGGTGGTGGCAGTGGCGGTTCGGTCCCACCAGCTCGGCAGTTGACACTTGGTTTCCTCAGGACGTTGGTGGATAAAAAACAAATGAGGCGGCTTGATCCGTTGTACGCTTCATTTCACACTGATCAGGTCACGTAAAGGGAGGCTGGCATTGATTGGCAGAGGGGATACAGCAGCAAGAGCTCACCCCGCCCAAGACGTTCTCATGGCATCAGTTGTGGAGGATTATTATTTTACAAGACATCGACACGCCTCTTTGTTGAAAGTTATTGACATTTCCATATCCGGTGTCTCGTAAGATTGAGCCATCAATATAATCGGAGTCCTTTTTATCTATACTCTTTGGTGCTATTCGGTAAAGTCACGTAGGTAAAAATAAAATAACAAAAAATCACAACGTTTCGGCCACAACACAAGTGGCCTTCATCAGGTGAAGGGACTGGACTGTCCAGAGGACAGCGTTGGAGTGAAGACAGCAAGCCCAGGTCGCGGTAACAAAACTCGTGATTACCTTACTGCCCGCGTTTCACATCCAACACCATTGCATTTGAACCGATTATGAAGGACAAGTTAAGTATTTTGACAGAACGAAGGGACAGGATTTTAAGGCTTTACGGACAAAATGTAGCAATCTTGTCGCGTGCTCTTGCTTGCTTGGTGCCCCACCCTCTCCTGCGTCGTCCAGACTCTTGGAGGCGATAGAGGCCATGATGGCGAAGGATCTGAGTGACAACAAGAGCCTCGGCAGATTCGGGGCCGAGCACATAATGGCCAACAGCCAGAAGGACAAGGCCATTGTCCTCACCCACTGCAACACAGGATCGCTGGCCACGTCCGGCTATGGGACAGCTCTTGGTAAGCAGCCACACGTCTCAAGAATTTTAACGGTCTGCACCAGGGGGAACTTTTTTTCCCTTACTGATGGCCGAATAGGACTTTCAAATTCCTTTGGCGAGGGGAGAAGGATGGGGGGGGGGGCGCACGTGAACGCACAGACACGTACAGGCCTCCGTTACTGCGTGAGGCCCTCGTACTGACAGGAGTGGCTGAGCGTGCGGAAATGAGAAGGGCAGTGTTGTCGCGTTAAAAATATGCCCCTCCAGTGCCTGATTAGTGCGGCTGAGATGGTTGCAGTTTACGGATAAATATTGTTTTTTACGGCCGTTTTTGAATCGGAAGGCCTCATGTGACCGCAGGCCACAATTCATATGGCACGCAGGCCATGAGATTCGCACCCCTGGTTTACCCGCTGCAGATTTAAGGGTGAACAGAGCGATGTGATAGCAACTGGGGCAGTAGGGTGGCAGTGCATTGGTAGACACGTTTGCCTCGCAGCAAGAAGGCCCTGTGTTCGATTCTGTGTAGAGTTTGTACATTCTCCCCTTGTTCTGCATTGGTTTTTCTCTGGGTTCTCCTGTTTCCTACTAGAGCTAAAAAAACCTATTACCATGTAACTGGTATTGGCCAGAGATTCCAATGCTGAAAGATCGGCTGCAAGTTACTCAATTAGGATAACGTGTCGCACAAACTTAACAGCAATCTCCAGCAAGTGAGCCTAGAGACTCCTTAAGGCGTTCCTGGGTAAAGAAGTGGAATAATAATTATAACAGCAACAATGATAATTAATCATTAAAATAAACCAACAGATTCCCATTTTTTTTGTCCTCTGCACCAATCGCTTCACCAGGTGGTGAACCCCCGGTGTGCCGAGACGTTTGAGCCCCGCTCCGCTGTGTTGTTCTTCGCAGGGGTTGTCCGCTGTCTGCACGAATCCGGGTGGCTGGAGCGCGTGTACTGCACAGAAACACGGCCGTACAACCAGGGCTCGCGTCTCACGGCGTACGAGCTGGTGAGCGACGCCATCCCCGGCACACTCATCACCGACAGCATGGCAGCATTTGCCATGAAGGAGCGGGGCATCACAGGTAATCCGGAATTTTTTACACGTGTGTATATATATTTTTTACTACCACTGTTGACTTTCAGGATTAACCAGCTAGAATAGTAAATGCACGTATTAATTTCCTTGTTGTAAGGAATCACGGGCCCGCTAATAAAGTTTACTTTTGTCAGGGTGTTCACTAGAACAGGCTGAATGGCAATTTTAACTGGGCGTTTGGAGAGAAATAAAAAAACAAGACGTGATAATAAAAATTACGCATTGCCGCGTATGCGTGAAATTGGATTTGCACGGGTCTCCTGGTCAAATGCGAAATGAAAACGTTGCATATAATACGCGGAGGTACATGTGTACGGCACTTCTCTGCAAATTTGCATTTTGTTCATGATTTGTTTAAATCGTCAAAAATTTGCAGCTTCGTTTGCGGCGATCAACTCGCTCGCTCGCCAAACGTCGCCACGGTTGACTCTCAAGAGTGTGCAGCAGTCGCATCACATCTTAGCCGGTTGAACGATTGCTGGGAGCCGAACGAACGAGCATTGGGTGCTTGGCAGAGCGTACGATGACTGTACACGGGGCCGCTGATGGAACGCGATCGCTGTGTGGAGGTAGAAATCAACACGAGAAGGCGGCGTTCCTGCAGCTACGTTCGAAATAAACGGGGGTATCGTTATAAGCACGGTTCGTTTGTACCTAGGCAATGCTGTAGGTATCTATATGTTGCTATCTTGTTTCAGAATTTTTTTTATTGCAGCCGCTTGTCAATCCGCTGCTGGATGAAGGCTTCGCCCACACCATCTTAAGTCCTGGTGGGGGTTTACCTTGCCCTGTTTCACGTTGGTCAGTGCAGGCTGGTGAAAGGATAGCCCAGCACTTTTTCAGATAACATTGTCAACGTGGGGGAATAGCTGTTGCCGGGAATCGGACTGTGGTTGCTGGAATATTGGTGCGGTGGGGCAATCCCCTGCATCTGTACTCCACCCCCATTTAAATGTTTTCGTCGCACGTTAATTCTTCTTCGTGGAAATACGTGAACGAGGTGGACGAACGGGGAAGCGACTCCACACCGTGAGGGTCGTGGTCACCTCCGATTAGCACGGTTGGCTACGCAACGGCACAAAAGAAGTTCAACGTACGTACGAGCGAGCGAGCGAGCGAGCCAGCGAGCCGGTAAAAACGAGGCACGGCCAAGCGGTGAGACGAGCCAGGCCTTTGTGTCGGGATGCGCTTTGCCGCCAGCGGTGGTGGTGGGTGCCGACCGCGTGGCCGGCAACGGGGACACGGCCAACAAGGTGGGCACCTACCAGCTGGCGGTGGCCGCAAAGCACCACGGCATACCGTTCTACGTGGCGGCGCCCAGCACATCGTGCGACCTGACGCTGGAGGGCGGCGAGGGGATCGTGATCGAGGAGAGGCCTCACGCGGAGCTGACCGAGATTAACGGGACTCGCGTCGCCCCTCCAGGCAAGTCGGTTTTTATTTTTTTTATTATTTCTGCCGTTGTCGCGGTTCGCCACGCCCACGCATTTCACAAAAAAAAATTAGAAGAGCGGGAAAACGTTTGCAGAGCTGGCGCACAGCGGATGGCGAGAACGTGGAGAATTTAACGGCGCTGGGTGGCATCATCGCGGCGCGAATTTTATTTTTGCAATTGTGACCCAAACATCGTGTTCTTGTCGTGACCGTCTCATTTCGCAGGAATCGATGTTTGGAATCCGGCGTTTGACGTGACCCCTCAGGACTTGATCACGGGGGGCATCGTGACGGAGTTGGGGGTGTTCGAGCCGAGCAAGCTGAAGGAAGCTCTCCAGGCCAAAGAGAAATAAACTAGGGCCGCCTTGTGTGGACAAGTGTCCATCTGGGAAAACAAATAAAAGCTGTCCCCAACAGAAATAATCCTGAGGCTCTCGCAGGGTATAGAGGAACGAAAGAAAAAAAAACATTCCGCCTGAATAATTGTTACATTTGTGTATGTAGTTCATTAACATGAACAAAAATTACATTGCAATGCTTAATTTTAGCGTGTAAATATACGGTGCATTCTTGTAACATTTCTGATCTGGAGCACAAACAGAAGTGGTTTACGTGTTATTAACAGAAAGAGTTCACGTTGACAAAAGTCTTTATTGATTATATATGATTTACACAGCTAAAGATACTGTAACCCACAGACAGTCTGTAATCACTGCTGCTTCAATCACTGGTGTAACATTTGCTTAACTGTGTAACTCTTTGCCAGCAGGCCATGAACATAATACAAACAGTCAAACAATATACATGTACTGTGTCTCTATAATCAGCGTTTCAGCATATTTTTACTTTTAAAGCTATGCCAGCATTACATTAAAAGCACTTCTAGAATTGAAGGCATTTCGACTGATTTTTAAGTGTGAATAAAAAATGTCTTCACGACCACAAGGACCACAAAGCTCCGTCGAGTCGTTCGCGATAAACGCACAGCCACGTCCACAGGCTCGCGACGAGCGAGTGTTCAAAACAATAAACTACTACGGCAAAGTAAACGTCAGTTGTGAAATAAAGCGGCCCCTTGCACACAAACCAACGGGTTGAGAAAATTGCTGAGTTGGTAACCTTGGGCCACAGAAACGGCAAGGCCCTCACTTACGCACCGTGTCCATGGCTCTTATGAGCCATGGACGGCGAAAGTCGTGAGTGCGGATTTTTGCTGTGAAAAGTTCCCCGCAGCCGACAGAAGCGACAACGGTGGTGCCGCCGCGATCAGCTTCCCCACCTCCCTGGTGGCTCCAGGATGGCCAAAAGTAGTAGGGGTACAACTGTAGCGGACGAGGGTGACCGTGCACACACCGCGTGCTTGCCAAAACTATTGGCACCCGAGGTCGCATAGAGGCAACGTTTTTCCTCTCAATCGGTCACCTCACATTTGTGCAACATTTTACAATGCCATTTTTTTTTAGATTTTCCCTCCCCTGTGCCTTTGTCAGCCGCATGCAGATTTGGCATGAATGCTAAACTCGCCGCTCCAGGAGTAGAGTCTTTAACATGAGACACTCGACCATTAAATCGGTACACGCTCCAAAAGCAATACTGCTGCTGCTGTGCCTGACAAGTTCCATGTGAGCACGAAGGGCATGCGATGACATACTGTGCGCTATGATGGCATGAAACTTTCCCCAATACTCAACCTTCAAATGGGTTTTGCAACAAACAATCGGCTCATTCTGCTCAACATCTAAAACAACTATGATGCGCTCTGCGGAAGCCCACAAGCATTTTTGCACAATCTCCTATTTTTGTTCTTTGCTCCAGAAAAAAAAAAGACAACCCCTCCGATTCCATGCTCCCTGCCGATACAACATCACACACTCGGGCTAATGCAATCCCAGCTACGTCAAATCTCTACTGTGGCGTGCACCAGCCATCAAGCGTCTTGCTCAGGCCGACGCCGCAAACGAAACGAAGCGGCGTTAAGCGTGACAGATGAGCCAAGGTCAAACAATATAAATGGGGGGGGGCTCCCGACAAAGCCGTCAATACACGGCGGACAGAGAGAGATGGTGGAGGGGGGGCAGAGAGCGTGCGAAGCGTGCACGACTTCTTAGCCGGACGTGTTGATGTACAGCTGGTGTTGCAGGATGTAGTCGATGACCGGCTGAGATAGGTATTCGCTCACTCGGCCGTCTCCCTTCTGCAACGCTAGCCTGCGGGGGCGGGGGGGGAGGTTGGCAGAGTTCAGAGCGATAGAAGACGCTCAATGCCAAAAGCAACGGATGTATATTCTTTGGGGCTTTCGGTAAAGTCACGTAGAAAGGTTCAAAGAAATAACTAAAAACTACGACGTTTCGATCGCAACACAAGCGGTCGTCATCGGGAAAAGGGGGAGCTTTAAGTCAAGATTCAACGGATGTATGTTGGCACGTGTCCCCGTATCGCGTTGTAGGAGGCAGGCTGGCTTCTTGGTTGGTTACTTGCAGTGTATTGTTTACGCCTCGACCCGTTCCTGTTTAAGCACCCGTCACTGGGCCGTTAAATTCTGCGAAGATTTGAAGAGTGGCTTGTCAAAGAAGAAACGATTAGATGTGGCAAAGATGATTCGCCCACGAACCCAAACCGACACTTGTGAGAGTTTGTAAAATCCACTGCGGTTAAATCCGTGGACTCTTACAGGGGGTGGGCAAAGTGAGGCCGACTAATCATCGCCCATGATCCGCACAGCGTGATGGGAGGGATTCCTCATCCAGCAGTGGAGTGACAAAAGGGCTTCTGTATTTCATGTGCACATGTACATGGAATACATCGGTGTGTAACTGAAAGTGTACTTTAAACAACAAAAATTCACAACACGTTGACTAAAGGGGATATTGAAAACGATATGAGTGCAATATCAATAAGAGAGCCTGGTGGCATAAGGGCCGTCCATAAATGACGTCACGCACCTAGGGGAGGGGGGGGGGTCAGACATTTGTGATGTGTGACGAGGGGGGGGGGGGGGAGAAATGTGACGTCACATCAAAATGCGCAACTTTAAATAAATACAGACAACACGTTCTACTTAATTAAATAGACTTTTTAATAAATGTTTTCTACTACATCATCATAGTGCAGCGACACATTAAATACGCACTACAATGACTATAGTTTAAAGCGATTTGAAGCATATTTTATTTTCAAAATGGAAAAGGTTTTTTTTGGGGGGGGGGGGGGGGGGGCAAAGCTTTGTGACGTCATATTTGAGGGGGGTTCAACTACTTTTTGTGACGCCGTGTGACGAGGGGGGGGAGGGTCAAAAATCGTCCAAAATCGCGTGACGTCATTTATGGACGGCCCCATAGCTCTTACCATCCCGCAAAGGGGTCACCCCCATGACAAGAGGCCATTGCAAAATGCCGCTACGGGCTCTACTTTCGTTCAACACCGTACACAGATCCGGTATCGGCTTCAATTTCAGTCTTCCATTTTAAAATGTACAGCCCTGACGTCAATCCACTGCTGGATGAGGGCCTTTCCACACCCCGGTGCCTTCCATGGAGGTTATTTGACCATACTTCACCACGCTGGGCGGTGTGGGTTGAGTTGAAGGCGTGGGAGCGTAACAGAACTGTGTAGTGCAGCTGCACTGCCCCCTGCTGCCAGCTAGCCCAGTGACACCCTGTTCGCGACAACATCCTCAACATCCTTTGGTCACAAGATCGGGCACACACTAGGGCTGAACGATTTGGGGAAAATATCTAATTGCGATTTTTCTGACATTGCGATTGCGATAAAAAATATTTTAATGTCAAGCTTCAGTTCAATATTCACTGTGATTGAGCATTAACACAGGATACTATCAAAACATGAACTGCTCTATATATTCTAATGCAAGGATGATAACTTAAAATATATTCATTGCTTCCAACATGTATTTATTAAAATGGTTGACTTGAAATAGAACAATCAAACATAGAACAATTGTTAAGTTAAATAAATAAAGTTATAATAATAAAATAAATAAACCAATTCCAATAAGAAAGTAATAGGACTTTTCAAATCGCAAAAAATTGCATCCTTTGCGATTTGCTTACCGCATTGTTTCAAATTGCGATTTCGATATGAAATCGATTAATCTTTCAGCCCCAGTACACACACACACACACTGGGTGATTTGGTCACAGGCGGGAGCATGTTACAGATTTTGCTTCATTGCCCTCTGCTTACAAAGTAGTTTCGCGCAATGTAGCCACTGACTGTTTATTTTACCAGACACGACTGGATGCTGTAGTGACAGATATTTGTGTTGGTTCTTCTTACCTGCTTTTAGTTGAGCTTATGTGCGCCGTTGGTCCATCCACTGCATCGTTGACGACGTTAATGTTTTTCTGTACAAAGCAACACGTTTTATTGTCGCCGTTTTTTTATTATTATTATGGCACAATAATTTCCGGCGTTTAAAAATAAAACCACCACTCAAGAAATAACAATCAATAGCTGAGAGAAGACTTAATTGCAAACCTTTTTTGTTTTTACGTCCTGCCTGCGAATTTTTTTTGGTAACAACGAACGCTCGGCACATTTAGTCAATTAAATATTCACGAGAGTGCCAGCCATGTGGTCTGACCCTCGACCTTGAGAGCGCCGCCGCGGTCTGACCTTGAACTTGAGGAGGTGGCGGGACCGTCGGATGATCCGTTCCGAGTCGGCGCAGTCCCGGGGCACACAAACGACACCAAACTCCGCCAGGATCACTTTCAGCTGCACCACGAGAACGGCACGGGTTTTTTGTATTTTTGTATTTTGTTTACATTAGACGCAGCATCCATTTCGGTAAATAAGGAGTCTCTAAAAGGGACAATAGGTGTTGATATTTTACTGTGACTGCCTTGGGGACCGTTAGAGGAACCAGTCAGTGTCAGTGGGGGGCCATGATGGACGGAGCACGCTTCTGTATGTCATATCAAGGCCGTATTTTTTATCATAATATATATTGGGGGGGGGGGACACATCCCCCCCCCCCCCCAATATACAAATATGCTCAAAATGTCCCCCCCCCCAATATATGGCTATAAAATAGATTTCTGTTCATATGATTGTGGTTATGGTTGTACTTTATTAATTCCTAATCTCTGCCGTTACATACAATGAAACAAGAAAAGGTAAAAAAGAAAAAACAGAGCAATGTAATACAACACTCTATTAGACATTATTGTAAAAAATAAATAAAAAGTCCATCCTATGTGTTAGTGAATGTTTTAATATTTTAGGCAGGAAATTCGTTTTCAAATTTAGATTTTTTTCTCGGGGGGGGACCCCCACACTCCTGGGAAGAGTTGGTCCCCCCCAATGTTGACTCCATGGCTACGGCCTTGTGTCATATATATGTCATATGTACACGGAAACGTGGGCGTCACGGTGGCGAGATGTTAACCACCTCGCCTGGTATGCAGAAGGTCGTGTGTTCTTAATCCCGACCCTGACGCCTGCTGTGTATTTGGAGTTTGTACGTTCTCCCCGTGGTCGTGTGAATTTTTCTCCGGTTTTTCCCTCCACATTTAGAAACACGCGTTTCGAGTATTTGGCTGCTATGCATTTCCACGTGATGAGCCACTTCGTTGAGCTATCACTTGTGGCCAGGTCGCTTCTGAAAAAGAGCTCAGTAGGCCTTACCTTGTAAAAACAAAATAGTAAATTATATGTTGAACGTCTTTCGCGCCGTACGTAGCCAACCGCGCTAATCGGAGGTACGGGCGAAGGACGACAAACTAAACACTAAAAGCGATTCTAAAGAAATGAGCTTTCAATCTATATTTAAACGTGCATAACTCCAGCGGCTCCCTTCTGCGCCGTATGAACGGAGGGGACCTAGCTGCGACACTTCTCGTGTGCAGGTTTTGAGTTGGAGTTTGAGAAGAATAAAAAAAACCTACATGGACGAAGCCGCCTCCACGTCCATTGTGTGCATGCCGATACCCAAGTCCACTGGCATACTATTGTAATGACGACTTGAGATGGCACTTTATTGAAGACACGTTCACTTGACATCAGGCGGAGACAGCCACTGCAACAGCCCCGAGTCTCCCGCGCTCCTCCCTTATATACCGACCGAGGCCACGACCCCCATCTCGATCATTCTCGCTGACTCTGTGCGCTCGCTGTACCGGCAGACTCCACCGTCCCCTTCTGTCACCTGACCACGCTCCCTTCTCGAATATTCCCGTAGCCAGCAGTCCCTTCACACTCACAACTGATACCCCGGTCATTACCTCCCGTGGCCACTCGTCCACTCACAGCGCATGTAGGCTCAACTTTCATTAGACTATCGTTAAATCAATGAAAATGTGCAGCCACCGAACGGGGCATACGTTCTCCACTTCGGAAGTGCTCACAGTGCAGTGCATCACTCTGTGTGTTAGATATCAGCCTGCAGAAGCAGAGCTTATGAGAACTGCTTATGAATATCGCTGCAGGTGATGTTGCAGAGTGGTTGCACTTTCCCACACGCGCTGTTGCAGGGAGTAATGTTCACCACATGGCAGTCAATCGGATATTTTGATCCTCGGAGCTGGAATTCATTAAAATAAAAAAAAACAAAGCTAATGTCCTTTTTTTGCGCGCAGTAATTCATGGCCAGACTGAGACAATCAACTCACTGCGCTTGAGAACCTGGTTTAATCAGAGAATCCTACCCAGATTTTAAACTAAGAATATATAAGCTGTGCAGGCGGCAAAATATATAACTGAATAAATAATTGGGGGGGGGGATTAGGGAAAAATCGGGTTTAGAGTTTGGCAGGAGCAAAATTCGCCACTCAGCTGCCTCATTCAAGGAGAAGGAGGGATGTTACTTGTTATTTTGGATCGAGTAAGGTGGAACACTACAGATCGATGAGTGAAATGAGACGAGGGTCTGGCAAGAGTGGTGTGAATGTGACTCACGTCATCGTCATTCCAGAGGCCGGGGATGCTGAAGGACTCGAGGAGGTCACTCCCACACAGCAGCATGATCCGCAGCTCTGCCCACAGACACACCCACAGGACATCTCGCTTGCCTGCTCTCCTCACTCAGGCTACCACATTTAATGGAGGCTCAACCAGGACGCATGGGGAGCTGATAGCCCTATCCCTCTGTCAGCCTCGCCTACTTGTGCATAACCACGCCCACTAAATCACCAGCACCGCCCAGTGAGTGGCCTCAATTCTGACATTGGCCTGGCATACTTTTCTGCCAGCCATGCCCAACTACTCAGGTAACACTTCCCTTGGCTGCTATAAATTTCCACGTGATAAACCACTTCGTTGAGCTAGCACTTGTGGCCCGGTCGCTTCTGAAAAGAGATATATAGCTCAGTGGGCCTTACCTGCTAAAATAAAAAGTTTAGTTTTCCTGTACTATGAGTCGAGTATGAAGTTAGAACATTTTTTAACTGAAAATTTATTTTCACAAAGCTTTGGGGCTCCAGGATGGCCTTTCTGAAAACCACTGGAATGTTCCAATCAAATAATGACATTTACCATGGGCCGACAGTGTTGAATCACTCCCCGGCAGGTATTGGTTCAGTTAGACTTTGGTCTTAATTTAAAAAAACACATTAGAATAAAGCTTTCCTATTTTTCTGAGTCAGTGTGATTAATGTTGGACGACCACATTGCTTTTTTGCAGTAAACATTAATGACCTTTGCACAATTACAAACATGTCATTATTGATTTTTTACAAATATTTAGTTGCTGCCTGCAGCCTGATTCTGGTATTTCTAATTACCATTATTCATTCCCTTTTTTTGGCCTTGCTTGTACATATCTTTGTTTAATGCCATGGTGGAAAGAGGTGGTGTTAACAATGAATAATGTAAATAATAAATAACTTACAGCCCATTGCCAATTGACTGCTGGATGAAGGTCTCCCAATTCCGTGAAGGCCAAGAGGGTTGTTTGACCGTACTTCACCAGGCTGGTGACTGCCAAATTGTGAGGAATGGTGGCATAGGACCGGTTTTGGTGTCAGCTGTGGCTGGGAATTAAAAACTGACCGGGTTCATTTCTCAGTTGCGCGAATCACTGCTCAGCCCCATGTGTGAAAAGTTAAATGGCTACACGTTTGACAAATGATCATTCGATTTCAATGTCAATCGGTGCTTAATTTCAGCCAGAGCAGATGAACACCGTGCCAGGAATTATTTTGGCACGCCTCATCCGTCTCGCCTTATTTTGTCCGAAACTTGGAACATAGGGTACAATGATGTAGAATTATTATAGAGAAGCGCGTATTGTAGTCTAGTGGCAGTGCCCTATGACAATGACCCCTACTCATAGGCCCTACGTCAATAGTTTATAGTCCATGCCAGCTTGGCAGCGGGTGAGGAATTAAGCCGTGATTTTAATGCATGTCACTCTTACGATAATGCAGAGTATAATACCTCCTTTACCACCCATACTGTGAATCACACTCACCAATCTCTTCATATCGAACACTGTTGCCAAGGTTGGCATTCTCGTCTGAAAAAAATAACAACAACAACAAATATTTGCAATTGAAACGCTTCAGCAAGTTCGGGGAGTAGTAACGATGTGTGCAAATGCTTAAGGAAAGGGCCGTTGGATTGGTCATCCTAAACTAATTCTGGTCGTGCTCATTTCCGTAAATCAATAAATATTTAGTTTTAATTTCACTCGTGCTTTTTATAGGTCAAATAACTCTAAAAGCAATGAAATCAGAGTGACTGGAATTTCATCCAAAAGGATATGTAATATATGCTCCAAGGGCGACTATCACCGCACCGCGCTGTTAGATTGCGGTCGTGAAATTTATTTTTGGTAACAATTTTCTCAGAAAGATTAAAACTTTCTTTTCATGTCCGACTATTTCATCATTGTCATTATCAGCTATGATCAATCCACTTCTGGATAAAGGCCTCCTCTATCCATCACCATCTCTTGTGATCCCTGCACTGTAACAATCCACCTAGCACCTACGCATGGCCTGATTTCATCGCTCCATCTCTCCGGTGGATGTCCTTTCAGGCGTATTTCCTTCATGTTTTAGTGAAGATATCGTTAATATTAAATACGTAAGGCTCAATTTAAATACATCTTTAGGTTTTTTTTTCGTGCGATCATCAACGATGATCGATCAAACCGCTGCTGGATCGAGGCCTTCCCATGCTGTCGCTGTCTCTCACAAATCCCGCAACGTCGTAAATCCGCCAAGCGCATGCACACGAGCGGATTTCGCCGCTCCATCTCCTCCCCAGTGGACGTTTTCCCGCCGTGCATGCTGTTGCAATTTCACTGATTTATTTCCAACATTTTGCCGCAGTTAATTTGAAGCGTATTTATGCACGGCGCGTCCACCGCGTTTCGTGTGGTACCTTTACGAGGCGGTCCAGTCCCCGCGGGAGGAGAATTTATTTCGTGAATTAGCCATTCGCAGGGGGGCTTGCAGGGGCCATTTTTCCAGACAAGAGATCTTATTGAACTGGAAATCCTATTGGGATCCTCGCCAAGACAGCCGTGATTAACGCCACACTCCTATTCAAGAGCGTCGCGGGTTCATTAAACTTTCACGTGGTTGACAGGGATCTGGGGTTTAGCATCCTATCGAGAAACACCGCACTACATTTCATCACCGCTCCTTCGTTCACCACGTTAACAACAATAACTAAAGTCATGGATCATTTACGGCCCTTTGTAAATCCACTGCCGGATGAAGGTCTCCCCATGCCGTGTCGGTTATGGGTGCTGTTTAGCCGGTATTTCATCACGTTGGGTCAGTGTGAGTTGGTGAAGTCCGTAAGAGACAAAGGACCGGTTAAGATATCGCTCGCCACCGATGTTCGCCGTGGCCGAGAATCAAACTCGAGTCGCAAGGTTCATAACCCAGTGTGCTAACCACCGTGCCACCGCCCCCCCCACTCCATCGTGTTAAAAAAGTCAGGAGCATAATTTCCCAGGCAGGAGCATTGCCCCTACTAATCATATGATGCCACTTTCACCAACTTTCTCACTATAAAGTATCGGCGTGTAAAAAAGTAACAATTCAGCCAATAAAATAATTCTTAAGCTCGCAACATTCGCATCGAATTGAGCGTACAGTATAATAATTAATTCTGTATACTTTATGCTATTTACGTGGAAATTATATTCCAGTGTGATATTAACTCCTCGAGCTAACAAACCCTGTGCAGATGAGATGCATCAACACATTGCACCGTTAGAGAATTGATTTTGAATCGATTCGTGACCACACCCCCTCCCCCTCATGTGGTAATAAATTATCGAATCGGCTTCGGGAGGGTGGATTCGCGAGTAGGTGGGGGGGCTGGCGGGGGGCGAGGCGTTTACATGCAAGGTACAAAGCTCTCGGCGCGCAACGGTCCCGTTACGAACTCGTGTGGTCAGGCAGAGAAGGCAGGCGATCGGTCGTTGCTTCGCGTGCGACTGCGGAGACAATTAGCGCGGGGGCCGTGCGAACAACGGTCCCAGCGCATCTCCACCGGGGGGAAATCGACGTGAAAAAAAACCTGGAAAACTTGCGAGTGCCGCCGTTGAACCCTGCTTACCGATGTAGGGAAAGAGATCAGCTTTGGGACGAAGGCAGCACACCTTGCCGATGCTCTCTCCAAACTTGCTGATCAGTTTTCCTTGCAGGCACGCAGGCAAAAGAGCAGACACGCGCACGCACACACACACGCACAGATGAAGGACTGGCAAATCGCCGTCTAGGCTGTTGGGGGTAGTTTTGATTTGCATGTACACACACAGCTCGTGTGTCGATCTACCGACGGATGAGGGCCTTGCCACCAAACCGATGGAGTTGGCCGAACATTGCAATGGAGGACCATCCTGAGAAAAATTGTCTTGAGTGAGGCTTTCCTGGTGGAAGCAAACGCCATTTATTGACGCAATGCAATGCTACGGCGGCAGGCGACACAAAGCAGTACAGCAAAGGTCACAACCACACCGCACCTTCTACGCTCCCACATTTACGCCCATCGCCTTCACAAACCGGCCGCGACCAGCACGGTGAAGTATGGTCAAACGACCCCCCCCCCCCCCGACGACCCACACAGCGTAAGGGGGGAGGAGGGGGGGAGGAGAGGGGAGGGCCCTCATCCAGCGGTGGATTCACAAAAGTTGTCTCTGCAACAAACAAACAAAAAAAAACGATGCAGATTTTAGCGAGCGGACTTCAAAGCGAAGGGATTTCTGGCATTACCGGGCGTCGACTTCTGGAGCGGCACCGAATTGGCGTCCTGCGTGGCTGGGCGCGTCTCGTTGTGCGGCTGCTTGATGACGGGAGACGATGGGGAGTTCACGTTGGAGAGGATGCATCCGGTCACACGCTGTGCGGGCGCACACCAGACGCGTCGTCAGCACAAATTCACCGTCGTCGTCGTCGGCCCCAATACTGCGAACCGTTCATAATTCGCCCACGTCCCAGGGATGGCTGCGGTGAAAGGGCCCTCGGGTGTTCTGGCACACCTTGAATTGTTTTTGGTTCTGCGGAGTTCGTTCGGTGCGTCCTTGGGAGACGAGCTTAGTGTTTCATCGGGCGATTGTCATTTGGCTTTCATCGTGCCCATTTAGTTTTCGTTAGGTAGTGTGATTAAAAAAAAAATACATGGACACGAGGATGTTCCCATTACCAGAAGGGTTTAAGAAGATAAACGTGCACGGGTGGACTTCATCTGTTCGTTCAAATTACGGGCCTAATGATTCGTCCCCCTCGTAATTCAATGAATTGCCCCAATTCACGGTAATTAATTAATGAATATATATTTAACATTGTGATTAATGTAGCGAACCCATTGCGTAACGAATTCACAAATCGGAAGACAATTCTTTTTACACTTTTGACTTAAAATTATTTTCTCTCCGCCTGATGAAGACCGCTTGTGTTGTGATCGAAACGTCGTGGGTTTTGTGGTTTTTTAAATTATTATTTTTTATTTTCTGTCTACGTGACTTTACCGAAATAACCAAATAATATAACTTTTTACACGCTTAGCATCAGAGGCGTGAACTGTGACCTCAATAATCAAATACAAATTTACTTCGTGGGGCTCTCTGTAATTGGTATAAAGGTGACTCCCTTTTTTGCAAATAGTTGTGCAACAATGCAGAATAAAGTTTCATGCACATAGCCGAAGATCCCCTCTGTAGCCTTTAACAGACCGTTGGGGCAAGTGCTGTTAACGAGCGCCTATGAAGGCCGGCAGGGCACACAGGGGGTGGGTGCTTATGTGTTACACATTGCAGCAGGCACTCAAATTAAGGCTCCGTTGACCTGGAGGAGGCCTAGAACCAGTGGAAATATCCGCCACTGTTATTGGTAGTGAATGGTAATCGAACTCGGGTAACCGCGTTTGTAAGCGCCCTGGACTGCCGCTTCCCATTTACATGTACAAAAGACAAAAACAAATATTCCCGTTATAGCCTTGATAGACTGTTGGGGCAAGTGCTGTTAGCACACATACACACACCGGTCAACCACCTTATTACAGACCAATTCAGACCTTATTGGTCACCCCGTACCCTTATAAATCTCAACGTTCATCCATTGTTTGTGTTTCTCCCCCAAGGGAGAAACACAAACAAATAGAAAAAAATGTTGCCCGTATTGAAACGGCTGTACGCCGTATGGACCTTAAAACTCAATTTCCCTGCACAAGAATACGGGTAAACCATCTGGGTTCACAGCTACCGTTCGAAGCCTCACACTGCAGAATCAACAAATGCCGATCTAGCGGTCTCTGCCCAAGGCCAGCCTCTTGGTTAAAGTTTCCTCCATCTTCTCTCATCTTACTGCTCCCTCTTCCTCTTGTTCTATGGATCATGGATCCCCTTTTATTCAAGTAATCGAACGGTGCCTTTCTTTTTTTATAACTATTGGCCCTTATCCCCAACAACCCGAAAGAAGCCTTCCCCTCTGCCAATACGTCTGCGAGGAAATATTGCAATCGCGCGTCTCTCCTCCCGAGCCCACTCGAGCACTTACGCGTTACTTCCATCCAGGTGGGAGGGGGGGGGGTTCCTCGTTCAACGCCAAATCCGCAATGTTAAAGATTTCCAGTCGTCTAACGTGCACGTACTGTAGTGTACAACGTCGCTGTTGTACACTACAGTTGACCCTGCTTGTGTTTCTGTGCCAGATAATGACCGTACACGATCTGTAAATACTCGGGAGTGTGTGACTCGTAATTATTTCAAACAGATTTTATATCCGTATGCTTATACGCAACTCATAGTACTATACGGGGAAGACGGTTGTGCATGATTACATTTGGCAGCGCAGTAGTTGGTGTGAGAGGATGCGATGTTCACCTACAATGCATTTGTATGAATAATTTTCTCAGGATGAAGGTGTCCTGTTATTCTTGCTGTTAACAGCCCCCACTGAAAAGTGTCATTCAACACTTGTTCGTCGTTATTTACGATTGCAGTGTTGTACAATTTATTTCTGAGGATGTTTAAATATCCTGCTTATGTTTCCGTGAATGGCATTACAGAGTGTCGGACGATACAATGAGTTCTCATTTACATGTTAAATTAATTGTTATTATTTGCATGGCATTTGTATTTGATTCATAGGCAGCATTACTTAGAATTCAAAAGTGATTTCCTGCTCAAATGAGCAATGCAGTGGACTCATCCCCGATACCATGGTGGACATTCTACATTCCTATGGCTGGGGCGAGTCTATCCAAAGGTTAACCGCTATTGACCTTCCCGACATATTTACCTTCCCGACAACAATCATGTTTACCTTCATTAACTCTCGGTGGTGTTCCAGAACGTCACAGGTCGTCTGCCATTTCTCCTGGTAACATTCCCACGGATCCACCCTGAAACGAAATATTTTTTTGCTGTTCAAAAAGTACAGAAAAATGTATTTCCTCCAGTCCTGGTTAATATACAAGCGAAAAGCACGCGGCAAGTGTGGAGGACATGATAGATGTTGCAGTATTACCTGATCCAGTCGGAGTTCTGTACTGCCAGCTGGCACATGCTTAGTCGATGTCGACTTGAAATAAGGCCCTGTAGTGAAATAAAGTCACAAATAAACGGCACTCAAAACTCCCAGCTTTACCGTAGGAAAAAATCCCACAATGCGTAGCATCACAAAAATTAATACGAAAACAATAAGTAACTGGAGGTCGATAATGCACCGATCGTATTAGTCAACTTCAGAAGTTGATGCTGATAATATTAACGTGTTTTATAATAATAAGTGTAAAATACTAATGTACATAATCACCACGTATAAGAAACAGGCCAGTCAGATTAATATTTATTTTTAAAAAACATCCTTTTTCCAGTTCTGATATTTACCCGACCAAAACACAGCAACCGAATAAACAATTTCCAAAAAGTGCTCCAATCATGCCCCGTAATTTAAGCACCGAATCCAAGAGTTTACCATATCAAATGAGTCACCCATAGTTCCAAGGTTACAGCTGCAAATAGCATTTCTGCTAATCCCAAAATGTACATGCCACTTTCCCACGACCACCGAGAAGTGACCCGGTCCAGGCGAGGCAAGCGCAGGCTCCCGCCCGGGTCACCCACAGTAGCCATTTTGTGCGAACCAGGCAGCAACAGATTTGTCTGTCTCGTGTCTAATGAGTGGCATTGACCCCCCCCCCCCTACCCTAACAGATGCCCACGTCTCTTACCCAGGCTTCTCTTAGAACCAGGCCTGACATCATGTGGTCAATTGAGAAACAGCACAAGTGGTCATTTTATAGTCCAACGTCATGGCTGGAATTCTTGGAATAGTCTACCATAATTTAGACGTAAAAAAAAAACTATATTTCAGAAATGTATTATTGCTTTCACCTTGGGCTGGGAGAGGGAGTGATGGTGGGCATGGAGTGGTAGGAGCTGCGCCCATGAATTATATTGAAGTGATGGGTCAATAAAAGAGCTGTGCCAGGCATTTTCTCAAAAGGCCGGTACAGCATGGGTCTGCTTTCCATTGACAGTAGAAACGAAGCATCGGTCATTGCACACCTTGCCCAGGCCCAGAGGCGTACGTACCTGCTTTCTGTAGCCATCGTGCACTGGCGAGATGATGCCGCCGATGACAATAAAGCGGCCGGACTTGTGCAAGTAATCCCGTGCATCCTCTGTGGGCGACACATCATTCACGAGTCTGGCCACTTAAAATGTCACTTTAAAAATAAATTAATGAAATATGTTAATTATCTACTATGGCAGAGTTTGAGCTGAAGCAGTTGAATGTCGGTGGTATTAAACAATGCGAGGCATGTACAAAGTCATAATCATTTTTAATTGTTGGTTCATTTGGTACTTAATTTGAATTTCAAATATAGTACAATACCGTAATAAGTATAAAATAACATGCACACAACAACATTGTTTAATATCATTGATGTGCCGTGGGGGGGGGGAGGGGAGCGGGAGGTTACAAAATGCAATGGTTAAATGTTATCAGGAACATTAAAATCATCTGGGAAATGTGGAACAGAAATGTTTCCACACGTTTGAATATCGTCACTCCGCGTAAGGCTCAATGCTCGATGTCCGGCGGCTTGCAAAAACCGTTTGTGTCACCATCAGAGATGTTGAACGAGGCGTTATATTCCATACCTCTAACCCGCTTCACTGTGGCACCCAGAATACCGTTAATCTGACACCGTTTTTGCCCTAAGCTGCGAGAATTAAACCTGGTATGAGAGAGATCAGCCGGGCGTAATAAGAGGATGAGTCACCAAGGCAGCTTGCGCATTCGCCTGGGGGGGGGGCCCTGCACAGCAGTGGTTTGGTGGATGCACAGGTGGCTTTTAATAACTGGAGTGTTATGTTAGCACAATCGTTCTATGTCTATAGTTGCCAGCCGCGGCTGAGACTGTCGAAAAGTGCACAATGTATATCATCAATATTCACGTGAGAAAAAAAGAACGATAAGGTTAATGAATTGAGCGCACACATTTTATGTGAATAAATGACACATTTCTGAAATGAATCAACGAGAAAAGCACGTCAGAGAGGATATCCGCCGCAGAGATGGAGCGATTAAATCGCCTTGTGTGTCGGAGCCCAATGGATTGTTGCGTGACGTGGCCATGAAGAACGGCAACAGCTTTGGGAAGCTTTAATCCAGTCGTGGCTAGATCATGGCCGCTGATGATGATGATGATGGATTTACTGAAGGCCTATCGTCGCTGTAATTAAGTCTGCACATGAACTTAGATTAACAAAAAATCTGCATAATTGGTTTCTTAAGGATCGCCATAAATTTTCAGAGTTCTCTTTCAACTGTGCACTTGTACATCTCCAAACGCAGTCAAATCATTCCTGTAAATGTCAGGCCATACGTTTCAGTATGGGAATTGTCTTCAAGAGGCACACAGCTCAAAGAGCACTATGCCACGCCGTGTCCAGTGCTGTCTGGTGAACCGTACTCGCACCACCGTCTTAGGTACGTTCAGCGGTGGAGCTATCGAGTGTGCAGTCGGTGCAACTGCACCAGGGCGCGTGTGTGTGGGACCAGCCCAGGTGCCAAGGTATTGAAGAGAAGGTCGGCAGATGGTGGGCCCTATTTAATTCCTTACGCAAAGGGCCCATGCCAACGACACTCGGCGACTGGGTACTGAGCTCCCAACTGCGTGCGTAAGGGCTCCTGTCGTGGATAACAAATCGCCTGTCCATGACATATTGGTGCATGTGATTGCACTGTCCGTTCTGCAGAGACATATACCCAAGGTTACGTCTCACACTCTGGGAGCTGACACCCAGTTTTTTGCTCCTTCACCCATTACCGTAGGGATAAAAAAAACACCACCACTAGTAATAATAACGACATGTATTTGTCAAGGAAAGCGCCGTTAAGTCTCAAGCCTGTTTTAGGAGGGTCCTGCATTTGGATGTTTGGCCAGTTCCTTTACGAGGAGTGATTTGAATGTAGAAGGAAAGCAGTATGCACAGAGAAACCCCACTTACAAATCTTAATCTCCCTTTGAATAGTTATATTTTTTGGTTCTTTAGGTAAAGTCACGTAGATAGAAAACGTATAATAAAAAATAAAGTAAGTAAATAAATAAATAGTTGCCTATAAAGAAAGAAATAGAACACACATTTGTAATCTGCACCTCATATCTCTCCCTACAAAGGAAAACAGAGATCCTGCAATTTGCTCCGTTCACTTCATCGTATTTGGTTACGCTTGGCACGGAGTATAGAAAACAAAGCCTGTTGCAGATCCATTGACTCTTCTCCAAAACAAAACCTTAGGATGTCCACAACACTGACATTGGATATGTGACAAATAGCACCATTAGACAGACACTAATCACTGGAAATCATGGCTTGCTAGGCAATGGAAATGTTGAGCCTACACCATTTATTTTCACTATTAATAAGGCTAGGGGATTTGACTTAATTGGTTGCAACACGTATTTTCTATTGTTCGTTTCCTACAAGGATAATTCAGATTTAGTGCCGTCCGTGGCAACCACAGTGCAGATGCTGCTAAGTGCACTAATCAGTTCCCCTCCAGCCAAGAAGTAAATTGCATAATAGCAGTGAATTACCAACCTGTTTTTATTGCAGAGCAATAGCTCACATGACTGCAGGGAAGCCGAGTGCTCCACTGCACCTCATTTCTCAGATTCTGGTACACAGGTGCCTTTAGTCCAAGGACGTGCACGCATTGAGAGGCAACGAGTCGCGTTCTCAAGCCTTTTGACGAGCCAATCCTGGCATTATTAGGTTGCCATGGGAGACATGCGTCAGCTCCAACAACATGCAATTTCCTGTAACATTGGCGTCGATCTTAGCGATGTGTGCCTTCACCAGGATTCATATAGAAAGGGTAATAAATCACGTAGCAAAGGCCACTTAGCTGAGCAGTTTAAATAGGATTTTCTGGAAATAGTACCGTGCGACCTCTGGTTGTATGAGGGCAACCTCTTTCCTCCCTCTTCAACAGGCTTCCATTTTGAATATTCTTTTCTACAGTTGTAGGTAAATCATTCAATTAGACCCGTTAACTTTATTCAGTATTCGTTTCCAAATCTGCGAAGCAGCTCTTTGCCAGATTGTACATTACGGTCGGATGTTTAATAATTTCAGACATTACTGCACTTAATTTTAATGTACAAAAGTCACTGGAACATAATGCTCTGTATTTGACTCATTTTCACTCCTCCACATTCTCTAGCTTTGATCAAGGCCGTTTGATCAAGGCAAATATGATCGCTATCAGAAGACCCTGCCTGAATTTGTATTTATTTTAATAATGTATATGTTTAATTAACAAACCAGTGTAGGTTGGACCAAGAAAGCACATTTTCTATGGTCACTTACATATTAATATAAATGTTACAAAATAACTATATTTTTTGCAACTATTGGTTCGATTACTGCACATTTTTTGCTATATTGTTGAGAAACGGCTTATACGTTAAACCACGCAATCAATATCATCATCAGCCATGGTCAATCCGCCAGTAATTTAAAAAAAACCTGGTAACGTATTCACATTTATATTCAATTTCATCTCCGTTGTGAAACATAAAATAAACATTTCTCTGCTGTGAAACTGCTGCACATTAATGCCCGTATTTATTAGCGACTGAGAAGAACAATCGCACACACATTAACACACACACATGTGTATTTACATCATCATAATCATTTGTAAAGCACTCGAAGACGACAATAGAACACACGTCTCCCGCGCGTTGCGATAACACCAGTGTAGAGAAAACGTAAATATCTTATAAATGACCATACCATGCACACGTACGTACGTACACAAACGCACACGGAGCATTAAAATCACCGTTGCCATTGCTTTACCGCAAACATTATTTCAGCACCGCGGTCGGTGGACAGCTCCCGCGGATGCCACACGCACACACACTGCATGCGTTCAATTTGCCGTTCGAAAATACATAAGCCGAACGGTATTATTTCATGGGCGCCTATCTATCTATCTATTCCGCATTTGATCTATCAGGAAGCAGTCCAAACTCGGGTCACATTATTAAACAGCACGAGGCCACGCGTTCTACAACAGCTCAAACCATATTATTGGTTCTTTCGGTAAAGTCACGTAGAAGGGAAACAATAAAATAATAAAAATATAAAACAATAAAATTCTCACGACGTTTCGACTGCAACACAAGCAATCATCATCAGGTGTGAAAACCACAACAAGAAATTTTGAAAAAGCTCAAACCAAACAGCCCTGGGTGGAGCGATACAACTAAACAGACACGGCAAAATCTGTCGGCGACCACAAATATGCGAGGAAAATTTCGAAGCACATTTTAAACAAAAGTGAATCGCTTACTACACGACACATCAGCATTACTCGGATTTAAAACGAGTGAAGGTGTACGATTGATACTTATTTTAAACCACGTGTGTATACTTCACGATACCCCAGCACACAAAGCGCCGAATTAAACGTGTAAAATGAGTTGCATCATTCATCCGAGCACAATCATAACCGTAAACCGCGGTGATGGGGTGTTAGTGTTGTACGATCGGTAATTATAAAACTGAATATCGGCTCCTACCGAACATCTGTAGATGGCCTTTGGTGACTGGGTTGAAGCTCCCGCAAGCCAGCAAGATCACGTGAGTTTTCGTCTGCTCGGACATGATGATGTTTATGATAGGCCTTGGATACCGACCGCACAAAGACGGCCACTCCTCCGGGTCCACCCAAAACCAACAACCGAGAAAACACTGCAGGAATCTAGCCGCTACTGTAAATCCTGCTTACACGCCCCGCTCGTCCTATTCTGCAGACAGGCGGCGGAATTCCTCCGACTGCTATCGTAGCATTCAATCCTTTATGACAGAGCACGGGCGCGAGCAGTAGCAGCAGTCGCCGTCGCTGACAGGCTGTAATAACGAAGCCCACCACCAGCCCTCCTCGCCCGACTGCGATGGGGGATGATGGTGCACAGCTCCTGACGCGAACAGTGGCCGACCCTGGCACAGCAGCTATTCCACGTCTGTGGACGGGGCGGGTCTGCGTGCGCCAGTTAAAGGGACCTCACGCACCCTCGCGCATGCATTCGGCTATTCATGTATTTGTCTAATTCGCCCGCATGTAATAATTATCGCACGTGAGCAACCCCACCGGCATGCGGTGGCCAACACCCAGCGGTTATTGTCAGCGTGCAATGTAACAGGACGGGCGAATGGGTCAGGTCTATCGAGACACGTCACAGGAATGCTCGCTGCAGAGACAGAAGTGCCAAGAGGACGTGTGAGCGTGTGTGTGTGTGTTGGTTGAGAAGGGTGGGGCTGATCACGAGCTGCCACAGTTGGGTCTCGATGTGTGTGTTTTTTTTGTTTTAAACCTGTCCTGGGTTCAATCACTTGCAGAGTTGCAAGTGATTGAGGAGAGAGAGTTTTAAGAGAGGTAGGCACCGGGCAGGACACGTCTCTTGAAGGGATGATGAGGATGATGATGGCCTGTGGTCAAGATTAACGTTGGTATGGCAGCCAAATTAGGGTCAGCTTCAGAATCAGAATCTTTAAATTTCTTGTAAAAATCCCATGAGCTATGAAGCAATTTTTCACAGAAGTCCCCCCCATGAAGACGTCGGTCATGGAGATGGAGCGGTAGAATCTACTCGTGTTCAAGTGCTAGATGTATTGCTACATCGCAAAACCACGAGGACTTGCGGAGGCATGCATCCAGCAGTGGATTGATAATGGCTGACGATGGTGATGGAGTCCACTGTGATTGGAAATTGCTATTTCAAGGGAGACTGAGTCAAATAATTAGAACATATCGTAGAAACAATACGAATTCCAATTTTTATGCGAAATCAAATACGAACATGAAATGATCACTATCACTGATTACGATGTCCTGGAGCTCAAAACAAGGTCCAGAGATGGGCCCCTCGCGCACTCATTCCGAGTTTGATTCCCGTGATTTACAGCCAGCTCTACCCCCTGAGTGTGTTCCACCATCTCTGCCAACCAATCCGAAACACCCAGCCCAGGCAAGCTGTCACTGTAGCACTCCCTAGCCACATGCAAATGCATGCTGAATATTCAATTTGCCTGCATAATTAGTCAAGAAAAAAAACATATAATTAAACCTTGTGAGCTATTCTGCCCATGTTTTGACGAATGCACTTTTCATTTGTCTGCAAATTTGAATTACGCTATTGGCAGGCGGATCAACATTTATGCCAGGCACACTTTAATTTACGAGCGCAAAATCCCTCTCGAAAGACAGGAACTACTACAACTACACATATGCACCATATCCCATTCCTCTGTGCGAGTGTGCCCTCTCTTTAAGGAAGTCATGTCAACAGTATTTGTTTAGCCTTCAGTTGCGATGCCTGTGGTTGTTGTAACACATTGAAAGCTTTAATGTGCACATGTAGAGTCCTTTGCAAATCCAATATGCTGGATCCGAATCAGAATTTTTAATATATATCCTCGATAAATCCGATGAGCTATGAAGATCTTTTCCACGGATGTCCAGTAGGGGCGGATCAGGTCATTCTCAAGGCAAATGAGTCATTGGTGTTATTTGACCATACTTCACCACGCCGTTTAGTGCGGTTGGTGAAGGAAGGGAGGATTTACGTGGGGAGCCCTCTAATGCCCCATAGCTCTCTGACAACCGGTGTGTGCATGGTGGTCACCAAGCATTATCCAGGCTCTATGTTGTTTAGCTTCCAAAATCGGACAGGAATTGGCGCATTCTGGGTGCACGGCAAAGGCGCGAGCTTTTATTCTTGCCAATTTCGAAATTGTGTCGCTGTGGAAAACTATTTCCGAATACACGCTATGGTTGAACGATAATGACTTAAACGGCTGATGCGAATTTAAGAAAGCATTCCTCAGAATTACGCTTGAATGAAGAATGCAGGCATTTGGTACAGTTGGTGCTCCATCTGAGTGCTTAATGTGTCGTAAATCATAACCCATTCAGTCAATTATCGCCATTACCACCATATGAAACACCCTTTCGTGTTCCCGTTACCATGGGTATTAATGCACGTTATCGTTTCCCCCAGATATGTGCATTCCTGACAATTACCAGTGAATAATTCCACATACATCCCTGCGACATTCACAGCGACGCTGAAGAGTGACACTTTCAACAGTGACTCCATCGTGATACCAGCAGTGACAATGCCAATCGTGACCTTTGTTATGCTTCATATTTACATATTCTTATATTCACAGCGAAATGTTAAAATATATAATAATTATATTGGGAAGATAAAGGCATGAATACAAATGGAAAAAGGTAATAACCTTCTTAGAATTGCTGGTGCCAGAGTCATTGTAACAACCAATGAAAAAATTACAGGTAAAGTTTGGTGCAATATAAATGTGACCACAAAATGCAATTTGCAAATCTTGTAGAAGTTAATTGCCATCGTAGCATATGAATACAATTCAACTTATAATGAGCTTAACAAAACAATGAAATACGCTATGTTTAGAAACTGTCGGTCGCTGTAAGTTGCCCAAGCCACAGTGGGCCATGTTCACGATCCTCACAATTCAGTGGGAGTACCAAGGGCTCCCACAGCCAGACCGAAGCAAGCTACTGAAGACCCTAAGAGTAGCGGGAGAAACGCCATTGGCCTGCCAATTATGTACATGTGATCTGTCTGTGATGTACAAGTGATGTGTCTGTGATGTACAAGTGATGTGTCTGTAATGTGCAAGTGATGTGTCTGTAATGAAGCTGCCATTTGTCTGTGATGTATGGATGTATGTTGAACTTCTTTCTCACCGTACGTAGCCTAGCGTGCTAATCGGAGGTACCTTGTGACAGGCTTGGCTCCAACTCCTCTTGGATGGGGGAGCAGGTGAGCTGTTATTTTGGGGGCAACCAAAACAGTGATTGATTACCAAGGAGAGTGAACTTAGGTGAGTGGCCAAATGAATATTTGGTGGTGCAGGGCCCACCCCAGCACCCGCCTCGTGCCGGCCCTGTTCTGTGATGTGCTTGTGACGAAAACTGCCATGAGTTGTGATGTGCCAGTGATGTTATCTGTCATTTCATGAACTTGGCGAGGTCAAAAGCGCCCAGGTGATGGACGGCAAAGTCTCACAAGGCTTCAGTTCACTCAGACAATGCAATTTCATTAATTATTGAAGTCACATTTTTTTTTTAAAAAAAGGGATTTACCCATCTGGAGGCTGGGCTGGGACTAGATTGTTCTTTATAAACATTTAATTAATTAAATTGGATGTCATTCTTTAGCTACTAATACCCATCATCAAACCATACCAGTTATACATGTATAGAATGAAGAGAACATCTAACATTGCAGACTGTAATTTAACCCATTTTCAGAAGCAATGGTAATTTAATTATGCTTCGATTCGTAGCTTTCACAATCAATGTGTTACAACAACAGAATAAACGACAGTATATTCCAGCCATCCCATATGCCATGTCGGTCGTGGGGGGTTGTTGGACCACGCTAATCTTGTGCCAGTTTGGTGAAGGGGGGGGGGGGCTCACTTGAGATCGCTTGCCCTGCCCAGTGCCAGCCGTGGCAGGGTTGCTGGGTTCAAGGCGCGGCGCACCGAATCTGTTTTTTTTTATGCATTTTACTTATTAAAGACCAGTCGTACATTGCACTCCGCATTCTCGTACATTTGGGTAAGGGCAGGCAATGCGCTGAGTTCGCGATGCACGTAAAAAAAACGGGCACCCCGCATTACTTTTTAAATATTAATTCGTGGCAGCGCAACTCAAGGACTGGGACGATAACGATGTTTGGGAGGAGCTTTATGGAGGGGTAATGCAGACTCCGCCATCTGCCATGGAATCAGAGAGGGGGGAAACGGTAATGTCTGCAATACGCACCGAGCATTTCATATCTTCTCTGGTGCTGGACTGGACATTGAGCCGCCGGGTACAGAAATTATCGAGGATGTAATGGAAGCTTAAATGATTTAAGAATGTGTCGAGAAAGAAAGAAACCAGATGCGATTGAAATAGCCGTGGAGATGCCACCGGTGCGGTGCAGGGCAGAAGAAGCAGAGAGGGGAGACGGAGGGGGGTGAGGTGGGGGGAGGATCCTGTGGAACGAGTAACGAGGAAAGGGGATGAGACTGGAGTAGAGGGACGGAATATAAAGTGCATGGAGAGAGATATTTTGAATAGCCGACCCCATGCATATAGCGGGACTTTTGGATTTCAAAATGTTACGTGTATATTAGCCAATGGATATGTATGTCAGTCTATGGATCATGTAAGTGTACGCGATCCTGGGAGTTTGTAAGTCTATAGATAATGTAAGTGTGTGTGTTTATATAGGTATGTGTGTGTAAGTGTTATGATTCTCAATATGAGCAGAGTGGAAGTGATGAGGGAGGAAACACAGAATGAAGCATATGGATAAAGTCCAAGCATATGATCCCATGTGATAATGGGATTTTTAGTTCAGATGAGGAGGTATTGGGCCAGAGGGCTTATGAAGCTATACAGTGCCTCTATTTATTGCTCCTGCGAGTACCATCCACGACCATTAGAGTTTAAATTGTTAATGCCCCCGTGCTGTACACTGCATATCGTATTCAGCAGCTGCCTCGTAATTCCTGAGATGGTTGGCACGATGGGTATGAATCAAAGGGTATAGCACAATTTACGTGGCAAACCCTGCAATGTCATGCATAATGAATGAAGAAAATGTACAGAGATTTCTTTGCATTACATTTAATCATTACATTTTAAACAAATGTAACCAAAAAAGAAACCTAAATTCTCAATGCATGTGCATATTGATGATTGAAGGCGTTGCTGCTTCAGCATAAACAAACATATATATTCACTGATATTACACTTGGTTACATTTTAAAGCTGATAGACGTCCATAATATAATGCATTTCATTGCATATAGTCATTGAATGTCTGAATTGCTCATCGGGTTACAGATGCTAATAACAACTCTTATGTCTTTCATAAGCTCAGTTGATATAGTTGCAGTGGTATACATTTATGAACATGGTAGATATGTTAAAACACAATTCGGTAGTTAACTCAAATGGCACAGTGTTAGTTTTGAGCACTTCCATTAGATGTATGTTGATATTTCATAGCCGAATTAAAATTTGCATACAAACATCGAACCAATTAAATACAGTCAACATGAGCGGTCACGACATGACATTTGATATTCTTTGGGTCTTTCGTTAAAGTCACGTAGATAGGTTCAAAGAAAATAACAAAAATCTACGACGTTTCGATCGCAACACAAGCGGTCGTCTTTTCTTTGAACCTATCTACGCGACTTTACCGAAAGACCCAAATAATATGAATTCCTGCAGTCACGAAAGCTTTAAGTCATGACATTTTATTTTCAGACATAAACCAACACGTCTTATGTGCACACTGTATTAACTTTTCCTCAATAAATCAACCTAACTCTCTGAGAAAATAAACTACGTGTTCTCCGGTGTGATGTTGTTGTTGCTTGGGCGCGATGTCAGACGTTTCGCCCCACGTGCTGGGTAGCTTCTACAGCAACCTTCGTGAGATAAAAAATGGAAGCTCCCAGCACCATGGCGCGAAACGTCGGACGTGGCGCCGACACACACGCGCGCGAGCGCTGCACGAGCACCCGACGACACACCGGAAAGTCGTGCACCACAGCCGCAAAACACCTACGCAAGTTAAAAGTGTTTTTTTTCTCTCTCTCTCTCTCTCCATTGGACGCGATGCAAATATCTCAAACATCCGCTAAGAAAGTGGCACCACAGTGTTACCGCGAGATATGTTATCGAATGACAATTCGCACAGCGGCAAATCACAATACCCTGGTCCGCAGCCCTGTAAAATGTCCAAATGCACTGCTTGTCGTGCTGGCATTTTGAGGAAATAATTTAAAACAAATTTCCCTGCAAGTCGTCGCTATGCCCCCACGCGCGCCCCCACGTCGTCAGCAGGCTGATACTCGAACGTCCGGCTTTAACGCCACTGCTCGTAGAAGCTTCTCAAACGACGCTGAGCTGCGGTTCCTCGTCTTGCATGGTTTCACCTCTTGGCTCACCGCCACGCAGACGCCTCACGAAGCTTGTTGGGAAGATCCCTACGTTCCCACGGCAACGTCCCTCCAACCAATTAGCGTTGACTGCGTGAACAAAGACACACACGCGCGAATGGGGCACGACGTTAAGTGGCATGACCGGTAACGCGACACGAAAAATGTACTTTCAAACATACTACAGTATATATATATTTTCTTCAACAGCGAGAACATGTGTCGTGTCGCACACGTGCCTCATTTGTGCCGAGCTACGGGGCATTTTTATAAATGTTGCCCTGCCAACGCCCTACAACTGCCATTTTATGCATGAAATTCACTGTCTTGTTCAAAATGCGACCTTAAAACATTGATTTTGCGCACCATGCCTTCTGCATCTAATCTCATTCTTGACACATTCATTTTGATGTAGCCATACAACATTTCAGTCTGTGTGTGCGTGCATGTGACTTGGGGTGCGATGATGAAACGTTCCGCTGATTATGATCGACTCCGAAACTCACAGTATTTGGATCGAATAGTGTGCTATAGAGACCATTGTGTGTCAATTCGCGCGTCGTATCTGATGGGTCACATAACCCCAGCAGCTGCTAGAGGCGCCATCATTCACCGCAAATGTTAAAGGGATTCATTCGTGAATCAAATCATGACCTGAATTGTGATAATTCATTAATTTACAGTGGGAAGGACCGGTTAAGATATCGTTCCAACCCTGTCTATTATGTGTGACTACCATTTTTTTCTATTTATTTACTATTATTTTATGAACGGAAATGAGGAATTAAATGTAAAATATATTGACTCCAAATTAAATGACGTGTTTTTTGGGGGGGAAAATCCTCTGTCAATCAACAGATGTATGAGAGCCTCTCGACGCAATGTCAATCGTGGGGGCTTGCTTGGCCACACATCATCAGGCTGGTCGGTACGAGTGGTGCCCAGAACCAGTTTAGATATCACTCGCCACAGATGTTAGCCGTGACCGGGACTCAATGTCAGTTCGCTGGAACTGCTCCAGCCCACTCCAAATTAATAACCTAAATATTTGTTTCAAAACACTCAAGTGCATGTGATGACCTGTGGCCAAATCAATAGCCGGGAATGCATCCGGCCAGCTCGGATCTCGGAAGCTCAGCAGGATTATCGGCCTGGATAGTGCCTAGATGGGTGACCTCCGTGCACGCCAGGTTGTCATAAGCCACTACGCTGTGAGCATCAGGCGGCAGTGGAACAACATCCATACTCTCCTCTTTCACCATCTCACACTGACCAGCACGATGAAGTATTGTCAAACAACCCACAACAGCGTTGGCAGACCCTCACCCAGCAGTGGATTGACAAAGAGGGCTGCGCATGCGCACACGTTTATACATTTTTACCCGATCCTGTTATACGTATCCCCGCACCTTGTGGGATTGGGTTAAGGGATAGGAAAACAGGGTTGTCAGGTCACCTTCTGAGATGACGCGAATGATGTCGCCCTCTCGGAAACCGAGGTCCCCGGGCTCCTTGGCGTCGTAATCGCAGAGCGCCACGACTCGCCTCAGCACGCGTTCGTCCGCAGCGGCCTCCCCCGGCTCCACAACAATCAGGGCACAGCGACAGCACCACAGTCTCACATCACGGTTGCAGGGCTCTGGGATTTTTTTTATATTTTTTTGTTCCCTCTTCTATCAACGTGGAAATATCAAAGCTATCAAAAAAGATAAGCCGAGGCGATCAAATGTCACGGTCTGGCCAGGGGCAGGGCAGTCCTGGTGATTGCAGATGGCTGTCCCGGTATCCCTCCAAAGCTTTTGTGAAAATCGGCGTTTTGTCCCGGTGAACATTGTTCAGGCTTCACGCTCGACTCATGATACGGGCAAAGGGAGACATTGCCTGAGAAGTGTGTGGCGGTTGGCAGGGGAGTAAACGGGGCTCGTGGCTGAGTGGGCATCGCGATGTAAAACTGGGCAAGGCTTGGCAGAGGGATGGGCCGCCAACTTAACTATGTGTCCCCGTTGAGCCTTCCAGGAATGTGGCAGCCAGGTTTTATGTAATTGGAGTGCGCGGCAGGTGCTGTGTAGTTGCGCTGTGCGCTGGGCTCACCCGCAGCTGCTGACAGCACAGAGTGAGCTTCCCGTTGCGGGCTCTGTCCCACAGCCTCTGCATCTGAACGTCTCCAGTCATGGGAATGGAATCACCGCTCCCCTCCATCCTGTAGCTGCGAGAGGGGGAGTGGGTGTACCGCGAGAGATAGACGCGTGACTTTATGCCATGCTGTAGGAACACTGGTGCTGTACAGCCACATTTTGAGCATACTTCACCATGCCAGTCAGTGCGGGTAGATGAAAGTGGGTTCGGGTGTGGGGGGAAGAGGGAAAGACTGGTTATGATATCACTTGATGCTTATGTTAGCCGTGGCAAGGAATACAAAATATGGTCACCAGGTTCATCGCGCATCATAACAACTATTCTACTGCTCCACCGCAAACGACTCTTATATGAAGGAAATGAAAGATAGTTTTGTATGTAAATAGAAATAAGTGCAGCAGAAGCTATGGTAGAGTCGTGAGTGCACTGTGCTCTGAATCCGGTCATCTGAGTTCCATTTGCGGCCACTGACCGATATGGTGAAATATGGCCATGCCCAACGTGAGTGGCGAGTGATATCTGCACCGATCCTAGGCTCCTCCTTCACCACCCGGCACTGACCGAAGTGGGGAAGTATGGTAAAACAACCCCCCATGACCGACACGGCATGGGGAGGCCTTCATCCAAGCAGTTGTATGCTAAAGCTCTGTAAATGAAAGTATTTTTTTAATATCAATGTGACCCAACATATGCTAGATTTGAAGTTTTCGTGACTGCAAGGGTTCATACTCTTTGATTTTTTCGGTAAAGTCACGTAGGTAAAAAAATTAAAATAAGTTAAATCACGACGTTTCGGGTGCAACACAAGCGTCCTTCTTCAGGTGGGAACAACGTAGCGAAAGCATACCTTAAGAAGGACGCTTGTGTTGCGCCCGAAACGTCGTGATTTAACTTATTTTAAATTTTTACCCACGTGACTTTACCGAAAAAACCAAAGAGTACCAACACATGCTGTTTCAGCAACATACCACAACTAAATTAAATAAAAATTGCTCATGAAAGCAAACAATGGTCTCAATGTTTCGACCAACTGGCCTTCTTCTGGAATAGCAGTTGACATATGTAGTACTTGCTCCCCTCCATATTCTCCATGCAAGCAGGTCACTCGACTAAAATGGTCATGTCTTTTTTTCCCCCTCGGGAGAACAACTCTCCCTGAATGTTCTGACGCAACGTGACACACGCGCCACGTGCATTCCGCTCGCCCTTCAGATGCACGTAACCAGTGCTTGCCTCTGCATTACGGTTATGATTTGCATTTTGATGATTATGCTATTTTGTTGTTGCAAACTGGGCTGTTGTTAGATTAATTACTAGCAAATGCTCTGGACTGCTCCGCTATGCTGCCCAGGGAGAGAAACAGGAAAAAACACACCGAGGCCATGCAGAGGCCACAGTCCAGTGCTCTATCACAGTTGAGAGAAACTAAATTGAAAGTGTTTCCACGAATTCATTTTCGTTTGATATTTGTATTCAAAGTACCGAGTGGGCGCGCGGAGAGGACGGGATTGAGCCCCCATTCAATCTCACTCTGGCAAATATTAATTCAATGTAAGGCATCACAATGTCTGGTACGAACAGACACTACGCTCGATCTTAGCCAAAAGGTCCTATTAGGGAGGGTGGTGTTCTGAGTATGATTCCTGGTCACGACCAACATCAGTGGTTCGTGATAACCAAACTGGTACTTTGCCCCACGATTCACAAGCCACGTTGACCAGCGTGGTTAACTATGGCCAAACAAACTCCTATGACAATAGTTTTTTTTGGGTTAGATCCTCCCCACCACGTTGCACAAGAGCGCAGAAGCGTGGTCACCACATTTACGCCTCGCTATAACGGACGAAACTGGTGGACTTCTCCACAAATCTGGCTGTCGCCTGATGAAACTAATTCTAATAACTGGTGAAACGTCGCACTCAGATTGTAAATGTTGCGGCTTGGCTCTCCAACACACCGGTGTGCTGTACTAGTGACGAATTGGCACGTTCTGTTGAGATGACAACCCTTACTAGTTGGCTGTGTCAGGTGGTGGCGGGTTTTAACAACACATTTATATATTTATGCGATCTAACCCAAAAAAAAGCTCTATTATGGATGATATTGGTCGCGAAAGCCTACGTGCTAAACAAACACCCATGGCTGAATAGTGTGGGAAGGACGGCCTTCATTCCTGCTATGGCTTGATAAGCGGCTGTAAATTATTGCTATATATTTTGGGGGAGGGCAAACTTAATGGCTTTTATAAGTATCGGCCAAGTGAATTTCTCTGCTGACTTTTGTCTCGCATTTAATCTTGAACGCATGGGGCAGCGGTTTAAAAAAAAAATCTACGATTGTTGCCAAAAGCAAAATGCTGCTCATTTGTGTGTTACGAAATGAGGGGGGGGGGGGTGTTTATGTAATTACCTGAGCTGGAGCCTCTCTTCCGGCTGCTTGACCTTTTCGCTGATTAATGCCAGGAAGTCCGCGTAGCTCATGCCAGGCCTAGCTCTCATGGTGACCGTTTGGGTGAAGTGCAGCTCCACGGTGATTGGCATCTGCAGGGACACCTCTGAACGAGGGTCCTTCCATATGTATCGGGCACACGTCGTGAGTAAATCAAAGCGGTCACTGCTTCCAAATATTGTCCACAACTCGTGGTGAGATCGAAGCAGTCCTCGCTGCCAAAAATCAAACCCCAATTTTCACAGCACGTAAATGGATTGTCCAGAGGAGGGTATTATTATGCAACTGACAAAAGCTGGGACTTTTAATGTTCCAGGAAGACTTTATTTTATTTCCTAGAACAGCGATCTCAAAAAGTGGACAGTCCTGGAGAGACCAGAACAGGTGGCAACTCAATTGTGACCAGAGAGAGCTGGTGTTTAGAAAATATATTTTTTCTAATTAATTGGTTCCATCTTTCGGTCATACAGTATACTCTGCCCCAAAACATGCCTGTTTAGCTTTTTTTAAACAATCTATATGGACATTGAAGAATCGTCCTATGAAGTATGGAAATAGAACATCAATATAATGCCCTACGCAGTTTACCATGCAGATTCCTTATTTGAGGTACGTTTTTTTGGCCTTTTTACAATTTTATTCCCAGTGCTCTGTCGGCATTCCACGTCAAGACACAAATAATCCATTCGGAAATCTCACTGAACTACGTGGCCCCGTGTATGTGTGTGTGCATGAGAATGGCTGCACTGAGAAATTTTCACAAAACCTTGTCTGAAAAACCCTTCTAAGTGGACGAATTATCCCTACACAACAGGCGGTGCCACTTGCACACACAAGCCCTGCTATGAGATTGGTCTATGAAGAATAGCAGCTGAACCAATATATTAAAATGATCACAGCTGGAATTCAGTCCAATTCCATGATACACCATTATTTGGATTATGTGCAGCTCCCAAGCTTTGGAATGCTTTGTCTTTGCTAAGAAGACAATCAGAATTGTTAGATTATTCTCGTGAATTGTATTTACGTCTGTCTTGAAAACGCACATCTTTAAATTGGTGTTTACCCCCTAGTTCTAAACCGTTTACCCTCATTCTGTTTATTTCCTGCTTTCATTTGTATGTTGAACTTCTTTCGCACCGTACGTAGCCGATCGTGCTAATCGGAGGATCTACGGATGACATGCACCTTACAAATCTAAATTAATATTATTGCAGAGTAACAACTATAATTTCGAGCCAGATAATTGCGTCAGGAGTAGTGGAGTAGCTGAGCCCATCGAATCGCTATACTGGACTGAAGAACCCCCACTCTCATCGCAAGTGCCTTGTAAGTTGAAATAGTTCTGAGAGTCACGCACCTGACTGGGGAATAGAGGCACAGGTGGAGCCCGAGCAGGTGGATTGGAAACCATCTTCTGGCGTTGTCCCTCCTCTTAATGTTGGGAGAGAAAAAAAAAACACCAGCAGCAGCAGCGGCAACAACAGCCATGAAATTAATGGGTGGCTGGCAAAATCAAAGGATGGTTCTCCACAAATTAACCCTCTCAGGCACGTGCAACACACACAAAGCCACCGCAGAATATAACACAGATCTGGAGCATCGTCCGTCCCAAGAGGCCCACACACGCATTAACATCTGCAGGTTGCTATTTTATGTTTTATTTATTTTGTACTGTGCCCCAAATGTATTCTGATTGTGCTACGGGCGTCGTGTCGTGAGATAACGAATCCCATTTGCAACTCTTGCTTGGGAAGGTGTTTTACAACGTGTTATAGAACAGTCCACGGATAGAGATATTACACAACTGCTCATGAAATCTCTTCAAGTGATCTCTAAGCTACACTTAAGAGACAACGCTTCCCCACCTCTCCGTTATAGAGGGAATCATTTGCCACACGATTGTAAAGCCAATAGTTTTAATTCTCAGAGCTGAAATTTAGCCAAAGTGCAAAACAATATTTAACATTATTGTTTTTGTGCTGTCAGACTCGGGCTGCGAGGTCACCATGAGATGGCAGCAGAGCGATGGATTCTTGAATCTATCTGTGCGGAGCTTTTACGTGCAAGTGCGCCGGCAGTTTCCCTCCCACATGCCAAACATCCAAGGGCAGGACCCTGCTGAAAACCAAATGTGGTGTGGCTTCGTGAGGCTTTCCCAGATAAATTAATGGTTGTTATCATTATGTATTTTAAATCTTTGCTGCTTTATGTTCATCCTAACCTGTGGATATTACATATGTGATATATGATACAATGGTATTAAAAGCTGAACAATCTATTTATTCCATGTACTGTGTTAAGCAAGCAGAATCCCAGGCGACAATTTATCTGGGGAAATTATCAACGGCATTGAACTTTTGTTCCCCCCACTGCTTTCCTCTGTCAAAAAAAACAGCGAAGATCTCAGGACAGAAACCGACTGATTAAATGCAGCTGCATGAACTGTATTTCATGGGAAAATATGTGCTAAAGATATTCCGGATCAATTAAATATATATATATAGCACGGTATATATATGCAGGCGCCTCTTTTATTTTGTCCACCTTGCAATCACCAAACCCTCTTCCTTCCTCACAACAGAATCTGGAGCGTATCCTTGAGAATGTTTTCCACAGAAAAGCCACGAGCAACAATGCTATCAATGACAAAGGGAAAATATTGGCTTCGCACGCGTGTGTGTGTGTGTTTATATATCACAGGTGCACCCCTACCCATGCATGGCCTTCACGGTCTGTCCTCAAGGGCCCGAGGCAAGGCCTGCATCAAAGGCAGTTCCGCCCCTTCCCTCCATCCCTCTTTCCCAAGACCAGAACAGAGACCCAACATGGCCCTCAATTCCTAAGATCCCCACACTCTCTTTGCCCCCTGTCCTCTGTGGTCCCCCCCTGCCCCCACGATGTCATCTATCCCTATCGCCACACCACCTTTCCAGCTCACTAATTTAAGATGACAACGGTTAAAGTGTTGGGACTAGAACTAGAAGTCAAGGCTACTGTTCCACAGCGGCGTTTCTCAGCTCCATTCATCACCGTCCACCAACCGTTTGCTTTTCTGTGATTGTGGAAATACCGCATAGGTTAAAAGCCGCTGCACACTGCACGCACCCGATGGTTGGTAATCATGGAAAGCTCCACTGTGAGGGGTCGTGAGGACTGGAGTTGAGGCAAAAATATTCTATAGGACCCCGATAAACTATGGGTCTCAAAGACTATGCAAATACTTTCCCCCACCATAGAAATGTGGAATGTATACATCTGGCTCGGGACAATGCTCATTTGATTGAGGAAGCACTTTGATCATTCTTGGGGGGTTTATCGAAGTTGACGCCAAAGTTCCTAAGAAATTGGTTGCGCCCTTTCTATCCCAAGTGAAAGTCTCTTTTTACTGCGCAGAAAGCGTCCTATGCCTTGTTTATTAACACCCCCCCCCCCCCCCGCTTTGTAAACCATGAGAATGTTTGTTTGTTATTGTCACACGCACAACAAAATCCAGTGTTTTGAGACCAAAAGGTACTTGAAGAAAAGATAGGTGTAGGTCTGCCGACACAGTCAGTCATGAGATTATGTTTAGAATCTAATTTTGCGGCATGTTTGTCCCCTGGCAGGGTTAAAAAAATATATATAATGTTAACATCACATGAAAGTACCGGACGCGTGGGGTCTGGGTGGAGGCTCCTTGGCAGGTGGTGCAGGAATTTTCAGATTTCTTTTTTTCCCGCCCTGCAACCACCACCACAACAACAACAACAGCCACGGAAACGTTGAGACAACACCCAGTGACAGGCCGCCTCTTACAGCCGCCACCGACAGCACGCAGCAGCAGCAGCAGCCTCCTCACTCACAAGGAAACAGTGGCGAGGACAGCCACAGCAGTGCTGCTACTGTACTCTCAAAAGACACGGCACACAACATCGGTTACGATGGACAGAAACCAATTAATAACAGGAGAGCCTACTTTCTAACCTGAATGTCGGCGCAAAGGGCTGCATGAATTATGCAGGTGAGAGTTACAAAGGCACCACGAAAATTCACAAAACGCGATTACATCGGCAACAAACGCGAATTTGCAATGCAGGAGCGAATTCCTCCGACGCGCACATTTTTTTGTTACCTTTTATAAATCCACACACAAAAAAATCATCCAACGACGGGGGTAATAATATACCTTCAAGGAATTCATCACAACTTCGCTCTTTGGTTGGGGTACTTTCAACTCGGGACTTGCCGCCCTGATGTATTTTTTTGTTGTTGCGTTGTGTGTGTGTGTGTTTCGAACCACACCCCTTGCAAGTCGTGTGCATGCGCACATGGAGCGCACGCGCGCTCGCGCGCGTTGCATCGCGGACACAGAGTCAGGCGGGGGGCTACAAAGAGAGGAATTGAAAAAAAAACCCATTCCCATTGAGAGCCAGACGGCGCTCGCGTGGCGCGCAATAATCATCGGAGCGCGGATCGTCGTGCAGGGAGAGAGCGATGTCGGTGGTGGCCTAGGGGGATGCTCCAGTGGTGGTGGTGGGGGGGCTCTTTGGAGGGCGTGCGGGATGAAGGGGTGTGTGTGGCTCATTGTTCTCCACGATTTGTGGAATCCCCCGTCATCGGGTCCTTTCGGGATTCTGAGTCTCTTCTAGATTTGAAGCTTTCGTGACTGCAAGGATCCATACTCTTTGGTTCTATTCGGTAAAGTCACGTCGTGATTTTTGTTGTTTTATTTTTTTACCTACGTAACTTAGGATAAAAAAAGTCTGATTAGGTAACTCTGCAACGATAATTATTCGCTTTTTATTATAGTTCTTCGTTTTATTGGAATTTCGAGAGGAGTCATTGACAGTGTCATTATCGGCTTTCGCTTCGATTGTATCTACACTTGTGAGCACCAGCTGTATTTGCTTATATGTACAGCGCTTTGAGATACTTCAATATGAAAGGCGCTGTATAAAACAGAGGTTATTATTATTATTACTGCACCTACTACCACCACCACCAGCAGCCCAGTGAGTGACCCAGCGCCGGTTGAGCCCTGAGAGAAAGCGGGCGACATTGCAGCAGCGGGCGGGGAGAGAGCGGCCGAGCATTTGCATGCGAGTGGCATGCGCGGCGTGATGCGCTTTCAGTAACGGCAGAGGCTGCCCATCCCTCCCATCTCTGCCACAGCACAGGTATCCCCATCAGAGAACACGCAACGATTATTGATTGCTACTGGCAGCGTGCCAGCGTCGTTTTGAAAAAAATCGCTAAAATTTTTCCGGCGCTCCTCCCGCTTGCTAGATTCATTGCCCGTTGTAATTTTTGTTTGTTTGTTAAATATATATTTTCTTGCTCACCCCACGGTAAGCATTGCTCGCGTACACATGTAGGCAATGCTGGTAACAGCTTAAGGCATTCGTTTTGATAAATTGGGCAATTATTGTGAACAGGCAATGACAACACTTTCACCTAGTACCCATTACCAAGATGTTTATTGCTATATGCAGTGGTGGGATATAATGTTATGGCATTGCAATTCATTTTTTTGCAAGCGTAAACAAGGCAACATGTGATAAACTAGACATCACAAACAATTTTTGGTCTATTTTTCTTTAAACGTAGACGCTGCATGAAATGCTCTGTCCTGCCGAGGAATAATTTTTTATTGGAGACGCGCACACATTGGAGACATTAGAGACACACACATTTTGAGACGCACACACATTTGAGACACACATTGGAGACACATTTGAGACGCACACACATTGGAGACACACACATTTGAGACACACACATTGAAGACACACATTGGAGACACACATTGGAGACACACACATTGGAGACACACATTGGAGACACACATTTGAGACACACACATTGGAGTCGCACACACATTGGAGTCACACACACATTGGAGAAGCACACACATTGGAGACACACACATTTGAGACACACACATTCCGGCAGGGGAATGAGTGATTTCCTGCCAAGCGATGCTGAATTCTTCATGAACCCAGACATGCTGTGAAATGACACAGGCACGACTGCCAAATTATACACAATGTGCTTTTATTTTTTCTGCAAAAAGATGTTATGAAAGAGCAACTGAAAACTGTCACCTGTGTATACAAAATTAAAACATCTGTTTTCAAAGATCATTGCATTGTGCATTGTTTGGGTGATACGGTGGTGCGATTTGCTACTGCACTGCACTACGAACCTGGCGAATTACATTTTAAGATTCCTAAGCATAGTGCTACCGTCAGTGGCAACCCACACTGACCAGCGTGGTGAAGCATAGTCAAGCATGGTCATCAAACCCACTTGCCTGACATGGCATAGGGGATCCTTCATCCAGCAGTGGATTGGCAAACAGCGACACATTGTGACTAAGTATTATTGTACACGACACGTATAAAGGATTACGCCTACCAACAGAAATCTGCCGTATGGAAGTGGAATATTTTTTGCGGTCAAATATGAATTATGTAGAGGAGCTTTTAAACAATTCATTGGGCCTTTTGCAGCAGGACTACAAAAAGTGGTGTGGGCCACGCATGATTGGCAGCAATGGCTTTTGGGACGAGACTCTCTGAACCGTGCAAGCGTGCGTGTTACACTGCGGCTGTATCTATGCTGCCTGCCTTCACTAAGTCGCACTGAGCAGGGTGGTGAAGTATGGTCGAGCATCACCAAAGGCCTGCACAGCGTAGCAAGGCCCTCATCCTGCAGCAGATGGACAAAAAGGGTCCGGCCACGGACATTTTGTGTAAGGCACGGGGAGAGAGAGGCCTATTAGCCTCGTGCACATTGATTTAATTATGTCCACACACATGCACACTATGCCTCAGTCAAGTGGCTGCATCCGTGGAGTTTGTTGGCTCGTAGGGGATTGAAGGTACCTGGGGCTGCTGGGAGGTGATCTCCGGGAGGTCTTCGTTCATAGACAGTGAGGCCACCACCTGCAAATGCAACGAGGAAATAACAAAAGACCACAAAACTATGATCACTTTCATAATATTGGCATATACCTTGTTCGTTATTACAGGAACAAGGGCAGAAGGATACGAGTGTCAACGTTCAATCAGTGGGAAGCCACTGATTGAAGGCTGACTGGGGGGTCTCACCGTGGCTTTGCCCAGGTAGTCCTTCTTGCCCAGCTGCTCCACCTGCTGCTTTTGGGGGCGGAACATGACTCCGCAGGGCACGGCGCACACCTCCCACACCTCCTGCCTCTGTAAGAACACACAAGGGGGGGGGGGGGTGGAAATTCCATGAAGGCATTAGCAGGGAACTACACGAGGAGTGTGCGTGTGTGTGACACCAACTCATAGGCCACATATTGGACAGAAACACAATATGGCAGATTCGCGTAACGCGGAAACTGCTCAAATTCCACGACTCTTGAGAGGTGATCGTTTGCAACAAATACTTCGAACGGGCCAATTATTTGTACAATCAATAGAACGTGACATGGCAACCACTCAGACTTTTAAATGGCACTCTAAACTGGCGTAACTGTATGCCACGAAAAATACGAAGGATTTGTATTGTACATTAAAAAATATTTTAAGAACAATCAATATAACGATCAAAGTGTGCACACTCAAGTGACCCTTATTCTGTATTTGGAAGAAAGAAAAATTTCACGTGATTGAATTTCCAGAGCCAAGCTTAATGCAATTTAAAATGTAAATAAATCTCCCGAGATGCATTTAGCACGAGGTCACCTTTACTGCCTCCAAGGCTCGATCCACGTAGGTCTGATGCGGCTGCAACTCGGCCTCCTTCGCTTTCTGCGCCATTTCCTGTGCCTTGACCCACTGGCCGAGAGAGGCATGGGCCAGTGACACATTGTGTAGCACCTGGATGGTGAACAACGTCGGAAATCATTGCACATTCGCTCGCACTCCCCCCACTGTGGGGATGGAGCAAAGACATCGGCTTGTCTGCAGGTGGCAGACATCGCTGCAAGGCCAGGATCGTGAGAGATGGTGACGGTAAAGTCACGTAGGTAAAACAACAAAAATCACGACGTTTTGGCCACAACACAAGCGGCCTTCATCAGGTGAAGGGACCAGACTGTCTCGAGCGCTGTCCTCGAGACAGCCTGGTCCCTTCACCTGATGAAGGCCGCTTGTGTTGTGGCCAAAACGTCGTGATTTTTGTTGTTTTACCTACGTGACTTTACCGAATAGAACCAAAGAGTATGGATCCTTGCAGTCACGAAAGCTTCAAATCTAGAATAGATGGTGACGGCTTGGAGACGCCTTCATCCAGCAGTGGACTGATAACGGCTGCTGATGATCATGATCCATGTAAATATTCTTGGGTCTTTCGGTAAAGTCATGTACCAAAAGACCCAAGAATATGAACTCCTGCAGTCACGAAAGCTTTAAGTCAAGATTTATGATGCATGTAAGTTTACGTATTGCATAATAATAATAATGCCTGTTATTTAGTAACCAGAGTTCAATTGCCGGCAATGGCTAACATCGGTAACGAGTGGTATCTGAACTGGTCCGAATCACTGCAGTCCCTTTACCCTCCAATGCTGACCAGTGTGGTGAAATATGGTCAACTAACCCTCATGACTGACATGGCATGGGGAGGCCTCCATCCAACAGGATTGACAAAGGGCTGTAAATTATTATTACTATTATCATCATTATGCTGATTTTTAATTCAAAAGAAAAGGGCAATGTTTATGGAAATGTCCATGGGGTACATATTAACCTTGAAGGTTGACGAAATGCTGATTTCAGATTGGTGGTTGAACCAAGCATATTGCGTTGATTTTTTTTTAATTACCCAATATTTGTAAAAGTCGAAAAAAACATTTAACTGAGTTTTAGATTCAAGTAGACAGGAAATAGATAACAGAAACCAAGTGGCAACCCTAATACGAAAAGTTGTATTAAAATCCAAACACTGTGGCATGGGCAGGCTTTAGGACTCCGTGTTTGTTCTCTGCAATGTTTAAGTTTTTGTTGCGTCGCTGATGCTGCGCTCACACGCCACGGCTCTCCTGTGTGACATAGCCGGGGAAACTGGCTTAACAGGATCATCCGTGGAACAAATCACAATTTAATAGAAACTTAAAACTGGAGAAATTTATCTTCTAAGCACTGGGTGTGGGATTTTTTTTAATCAAATGCATTGTGGTAATGAAGCAGAGTAATTTATGCATTAAATAAGTTTTCTTAAAATAATCCCATTTGGAGTTTGTGTTTTTTTTACGGATTTTTTAAATTGCATTTTAGCTAGGTTGGTTATGCAAATGAGATACAGGAAATGAATGCAATTATGAAACTGCACGATATATTGTCACACTGTACCCAACCACCCATCCGTTGTATTGAACAAAACGCAGAAGTTGAAGCTGCTGCTGCATTTTCTGCGGTGTACAATCACAAATAATACAAACTCAAACACATTCACCAATAACACTGCCGGAAACACGCAATAAAATGCTGAATGAAAGAAGGGCCACTGCTTAGAAAGTCAAATACGACATATTTTTTTCCTTACAGGGTTGGTGTTGTTGACATATGTGGTGGGTTATATAATTACATTAACCGCGTGTTGCACGGTAAAAAAAAATATTACTTTATAAATGTCGAACCATTTGTCAATCCATTTCTGGATGAAGGCCTTCCCGTGCTGTGTCAGCCGTCGAGGCTGTTTTGACCATACTTCACCACATTGATGAGTGCAGCTTGGTGACGTTCAGGGGGTTCAGGGCAGGTTCGGATATCACTCGCCAACGATGTTAGCTGTGGCCGGGCATCGAACTCGGGTCACCAGGCTCACCGTGCCACCACTAACCCCACTCTCCAGTAAGATAAGGTACAAAAAAATGCAATTTGCAATGGTATTGTGTAGTACGCGATATCAATTCTGAATGCGCCATTAAAAATGCAGGTGTATTGATCGTTACGTTTCTGTAAGCTCGATCTTGGGCAGCCACCCTGCTGCTTTACTTCTACTCCACTATTGTCAACCGTCCAGCCCTACACATTAAACTAAATATTTTATTTTACCTTGTAAAACCCACTGAACTATACCGCTTTTTTTCAGAAGCGACCTGCGCCACAAATGATAGCCCAACGAAGTGCCAATTTATAGCAGCCAAATACTCCAAACGTATGTTTGATTCTAAAAGTCGTGTTAAAAACCGGAGGGCCCGTGAGGAAAATCCACGCGACCACAGGGAGAACATGCAAACTCTAAACGTACAGGTGTCAGGGTCGAAATCGAACCCATGATCTCCTGGACATCAGGCGAGGTAGTTAACATCTCGCCACATACACGATATGAGGCCGGCTCACACACGGAGGAACTGCTCAGCATTGGGTGGCGTTCCGCCAGCAAGCCCCGGTGAGACAAGGAGGCCTTTGATTTTTTTTTCCCCACGCGGCCCGGAATGTGAGTAATAACCGCGACCCTCAAAATTGCATTGCAGACACGGAACACACAATCTTTGTTGTGGAGAATTCCACTTTACCATCCGCTGCTTGCATAAAACATTTCGTACCCGCGGACCACTTCGCGATCTCACCAACCACATCATCGTCATATTAAAAGCAAACAAAAAGTGAGAATTGTTCAGGTTAGATTAGAGGTTAATTTGAATATTATTCCCCTATGGGAACTGAAGATAGGTAGCTGAATAGATGTAATGATAGAGGGCAGTCGATAGAGAGGGTGCATAGTTTTGGTGTATATAAATTAATCAATTATTGGGTCAGAATTAAATTCAAATATTTTAAAAACTGACCTAAAAATCCATGGTGCTACACAACGTCTGGGACACACACGAAGTTGGCATCCTACTAAATTTCCAGTCAGTAGGAAAGCAATGATTGTTTGACCCCTTGCGCAAGTAAAACAAAAGCGCCTCAGATTTTCGACGGAAATTCGTTTTTTTTTGTCAATCAATGTTCTGCTTTTGTCCTTGATTGAATGAGAAAGCTGGCAACGCTGATGGACGGAGTGGAATTTAATGGCTGTCTTAAACCCCACCCCCAACAAAAAGCACTCATCTTATCTTACACATTGCATCGACCTTGATTTGCATCGCTTTGCAAAATTTAAACCAGGGGCGTCGGCAGCATGCGACTCTTAATGAACTGCTTTGTGACGTAAGGCACGCATTGTGTATTCACATTGCATTGTGGCTCTTAATGAACTTCTTCGTGACGTAAGGCACGCATTGTGTATTCACATTGCATTGTGGCTCTTAATGAACTTCTTCGTGACGTAAGGCACGCATTGTGTATTCACATTGCATTGTGGCTCTTAATGAACTGCTTTGTGACGTAAGGCACGCATTGTGTATTCACATTGCATTGTGGCTCTTTAAGGACTGCTTCGTGACGTTACTTATTATATCAGGACCACCGTCTCACATTGCATGGTGGCTCTTGAATTCTTGAGTTTTGTACCGAATTCGAAAAAGAATGTCTACTTCTTGTTATTTTTAGTTGTCGGCCCCTGATTAAAAAAAAAAAACTCACACGGCAGACCCAAAGACACCCCCACAATATCGGAAGGAAGATCGTTTCATAGGACCGCAGAAGCGCATCCGAAAACGCGCGATGCGGTGACCGTCTTTGTTCGATGGCTCGCCAAAAATGATGACGAAGATCGTGATGATAACGCGTGGTGTGGCATGGATGGCATGGGCTGTGGTGCAAGGAATTGAATGTTGCCCACCCTGTACAGTACTGGTTTTCCCAGGATCGCCCTCTCGTTGAGGACATTGTCCTGGGAGAAAAAAAAAATCTACATAAGTCTTCCCTGGGACGTCAGGGCCCGTATTTTGTTTAGTCAGGCTCAATTGAGCCAGCTCTGGGCACGGTCCCAGCCACGCTCAGCATTTCCATGAGCGGAGCCTGAGCCCAGCCAAGGCTGAGCCACTCGTGTGTCTTTGGAAGCAACTTGAGCGACTCAAGCCTGAGCTGAGCCCTGAGTGCTAAGAGCCAGAGACCAGCCGTGGCTATGAAAACGGCCTGAAGAGTCCTGGTTCTTGTTGGAGCACAATAATACACCACTCCAGACGCTGCATTCGCATGCAGTTCTCCCCTCTTCCAGTATATTGACGTCATCTTCTTCCCACGAATTTTCTCAGTTTTTATTTCACCCCAGGAGATGGAAAACCGAATCTCCCTCTAAAATTCCCCCCCCCCCCCGCCGTCCCCTCTTTGCAGCCCGGCGGCGGCTGGGCCCCTCTAGCGACGCGTCGTCAGCGAATACAAAAATATACAAATACAATTGTCCACCTGTGCAACGGTAGAATAAAATCGGCAGCGTTGGTATCTGCATGGGCACTCACGACACACAAGTGCAGCTTGTAGGCCAGCCCAAGCTGCTCGTAGTCGATGGTCGTGTTGCCTCTGAGCCTCTTGTGCGCCTCCTGGAAATCCCGCAGTGCCTCCTCATACCTGGCGACACGGCCAGACACCACCGGCAATCAGCGCCCACTGCCCCGATCCCTGAACCCCACTCGGCCCGGCCTTGCACGAAAGTGCCACTCTTTAGAATGTCAGTTGTTTCGTTGATACTCTTGCAGCACGCCACGGTGGCGGGTCGTTAATTACATCGCCCGGTATACAGGAAGCCGTGGGTTCGATACCGGCCCTGACGCCTGTTTATTTGCGGGGGTTTGCATGTTCTGCCCCGTGATCGCGTGGATTTATTTCTATCTGGGTCCTCCGATTTTCGCTTACACGTTTAAATTCAACTTGCGCATTTCGCTGCTCTAAATTGCCACGTGATCAGAGGTCCTCGTCACACGGCGTTACAAAAAGTCAGACCCCCCCCCCTCAAATATGACGTCACAAAGCTCTGCCCCCCCCCCCCCCAAAACCATATTTCCATTTTGAAAATATAACATGCTTCAAATCGTATTGCGTATTTAATGCGGCGCTGCACTCTGATAAAGAAAGCTGTCTGGTGTAGGCCAATCAGTTTCAAAGACAATGAAAGTAAATTACTACCAGAGCCATGTATAATCACCCAGGAATGTCTGTCCTTAACCCTCGTGACGTCACTCCACATCGACCAGCCCCCCTTATTAATATTCATGAGCAGGTGACGTCACTCCACATCGAACAGCCCCTCATTAATAATCATGAGCAGGTGACGTCCTCCAAATGGACTCCCCCTCCATTATTATGTAAACTTTGACTTTAACATAGCTACTTCCGTGACCAGTTACATGCTAATTCCTCACATTAACATCATGCTAATCTCCCAGTTACATGCTAATTTCTGACTTTAATATCCTTGTAATCTCTCACATTAACATAGCTACTTCAATGCTAAAGTCTTTTGTTGATATGTAAACTCCTTTGTCAAGGCGCTCTGCTCCTGAGGAAGGCTACTTGTGTTGCGGCCGAAACGTCGTGAGAATTTTATTTTTTATTATGTTTTATTTGTATTATTTTATTATTTCCCTACTACGTGACTTTACCGAAAGAACCAAGAATATGAATCCTTGCAGTCACGAAAGCTTTAAATCGAAATTTGTTTAATCTCCCAACTGTAGTAATGGTCCCAACAAAACACACTCTTTACACTATTTATTGCAAAGGAATATCCTGTCTCATTGATTAATCGTTGCAGCCTATCACATTCCAGTAGAAAATTTGCACAAGTTCTAAACTAAACTGTAGACATATTTCATCCTGATAATGAACCTTTTAATAACCAGTTAGTGACAGTTACAGATTGGAAAACGGCCAAGAGTATATCGAGTACAGAGATGGAGTGGATTTTATCTGCTCGTGTGTAGGTGCTGGGTGCGTTGTTGGGGAGGCCTTCATAAGCCTATGGGAAGAGCAGTTATATTGGCATTTAATGGAATTGTATTTATTCATTAAAATAAAACTCTCCATTGGAATAAAACAATTACCAGTACATATACAGCCCTGAACCAAGGACGAGGGCCTCTCGATGCCTAGTGCGTCATCGCTATTTTATTTAACCATACTTCACCACGCCAGTCAACGTGGACTGGTGGAGGTCGGGAGCATAGAAATACAGTACAACAATGGATTTAGCCGCAGTGCCCTTTTGCTGCCCAACCGCAAAGCCCCACCGACCTCCAACAATAACCTGTTGTTATTTTTTTGCATGGTGGTCACCCAATCCAGGCAGTGAGCTCACAGGTTCTAAACCGCTGCTCGGCTTCCGAGATCGAACAAGAACGGGCGCGCGTTTTTTTTCCCGGTGCCTCGATCACAGCAGGCAAGCCGCGCCCGGCGTTAAAGCCCTTCGACGTCGTTCCACTGCCAACCGTGCTGGAAGCCCCGCGTGCCGCCTGAACCGTGAGCTGCGTGCGTGGCTTTTGCGTGGCTGCGGACGCACAGTTGGTTTCGTAGGAAGGCCGCTCCTCTCTGGAAAAAAGCCACGGCCAGATGCTCGTCCTTGGCGATGGTTCGGTCAAAGGCCTGCGGAAGGAAGGTCCAAACAAAAAAAAGCACCGCACACCGCCGGGGGGGGGGGGGGGGGGGGGGTGTGTGCACCCGAGTCACTTTGACACTTTGACACCGAAAGCCGACCGCCGCTCGCACAAAATGCGGAGCCGTCGTTTTAACATTGGGCCCGAGCATTGCAGCCACGCTTTGGCGATAGACACGGCAATTCGTGGGGAGGCAAATCATGCGACAGTTTTGCAGCGCTCCGTGTGCGCATTTTTAACTGCCTCGCCCACTTACGCAAAGAGTGACAAGCGCGCGTGCGCACTCTTTCATTAACACAACACCACAGGGCGCTGCGTACATTTGAGCTAATTTCTCAACGATACAAGTGTCATCGCCGTCAAAGAAGTCAGGGAGAAGTGCAGCGTAAAAAAACAGTCCGTCAAATTAAACCGTCCGTAGCAATGACAAAAAATAAAATGGAGAATGTGGAAGTTCCCACACAGCCGACTTCTGCTTGGCGCCCATGAATTTAATCTGCGCTGAATTAATCGCGAAAACGCGTGTCAACTTCTCCTCCGGCACAAGTAAACATCGCGGGTGTTCGCCGGGGATGGGCGAACTCACTCTCACGGCGTCCCCGAGTCTGTCCAGCGTCATGCTGATGCAGCCAATGTTGAAGTAAATCTTGGAACTCGGCTCCATGATCTCCTCGAACTTGGCGAACGCAACGCGAAAGTCCTTTCTGTCGGCTGCCTCCACGCCCTCCGCCCACAGACGGATGGTGTCAACCAGAGGCATGTCGCGCCAAGGCCACCGACTACCGCTGTCTTCGCCGTCAACAAAAAAAATCTTGCACGCGGGCAACGCCAGCGAAGGGAGGTGTGCGTCACAACGGTGGCTTGCAGCGAGTGGTGCAAGGTCTGGGGACCCGACTGGTGGTGCCACACGTGCACCGTGGACTTGTGTAGAGGAGACACGCCTCGATAGGAGGAGCGCTATGGAGAGGTGGAGGGGGGGACGTACTGTGGCGGAGGGGGAAATCATTTGGCGAAATCGTTGCCATCTGTAAACTCGAGAATCCTTCGGCGTGCCTCACTTCATCAAAAAAAAGGGACCCAAACATTTTAGGGGATTTTGTTTTTTGGGGGGGGGAGGGGGGGTGGGGATAATTCATAAATCGGCCGTAAAGCGCGAACCGACGCAGCCGTCATCTGCGCGTTTCGTAAAAGAGAAAGCGGAATCAAAGCAAATGAGGTTGAAGTAATCCCGTCTTGTGACTCAAGTTCAATGCCAACTTCGCGTGGTGAAGGCAACTCGGTTGTCGGCAGACGTGTACATCAGCACATCCTCCCCCCCACCAAGTTGTTTCACGATAGCATTGCACAAACCAAAGTTTCCCCCCTGGTCACTTCTTGTTATAAAGCTCATTCTGAAAGCATCATTGTGAGTATTACAAAAAAAACTAATAACAAAGTCTCCTTCGCGAACCGCAGTGGCGTTGAGTGGTGGCACAGCCGTTGGCACCCTGCACTGTAAACCCAGCAGCTTGACTGAGATTCCAGGCCGTGGCTAACGACAGTGGCACGTGCGATCGAGCCCTTGCACTCCCATCCCTCGTCCACCTGCACTAATCTACACTGACCAGCGTGGTGAAGTATGGTTAGACAGCCTTCCATGACCGACACGGCATGGGGAGGCCTTCACCGGGCAATTGACATGCGGCTGTGAATTATTTTTCATGTTAATTATAACCTGAACTCCAGAAAGATGTCATAAATCCATGCCAGACAAACGCTATTTTTCGTGACTTTTTATTTTTATTTGGAACGATGTGACATGATTACAATGGTGGAAATACAATAAGAAATCTAAAATTGTCTTACAAAATCGAGCGGTACAATTCAAGACGCAGCTAACTTGATTTTTTGCCTTATTTAAATCATATCTAAATTTTAAAAAGCTACATTGAGGTATTTGCAAGAATAACGTGTAGCGTACGAGAAAAGAGAAACATTGGGAGAATAGCGGGAGTGTGTTTTCAAGATCGGGTCACAAATACAAAACACAAGACAGGGCAGCAGGCGACTCGACGCAGGGCCTAACACTGCGCAAGTTGGTTGGGTATCACAATCTCACCTCCCCCCACCCCCCCCCCCCCCCCCCCCCCCCCCCCCACTGCTTACGCCTGGCAAATAATCACAACTCTGTAATGAATCCACCTTCGCTTAAAACATTTATTTAGACACATTCACATCCCTGTAAGTCAACAAACTAGGGTATAAAGCCAGTGGGGGCACGGTTTGCTCGTGTTTTCCAGATATACACCGCCATCCGTTGGAAACAAAACGCATTCGCCACCACGCGGAACGATGGACATTGCTAAAAAAAAAACGGCTCTGCGTGGGAATTTGGTTATCTCAAACGCCAGTCAGGGTTGGGAGAGTCATCTGATAAGGGTGGATTATCTATTTTCGGTTTTGTCCAGAGCAGAGGGGGTTTCATGTGCGGCCTTGTGACCGCAAACGGAGATGTCGTATTAGACACGGCCTCATCCGCTCCCTGTCATCACCCTAAATGTGTTATTTCAAACCTGTCGCTCGTTCCAGAAACCAAAGGCTCTTATAATTTGAAGCCATGTAAAGTTACTGCAATACAATTTTGTTTTCACCGGCGTCTTGACACGTGATTGCGTTTAAATGCTACGTAAAACCAAAGTATTACATTATTAGAGTAATTAACTGCAAATCAAGTACTGTATATTCCAGTCAACAAAATTATTGTGTGCCGCAGCTGTTGGATATTGCCACACGTTCAAATTACCGAAAATACAAATCACTGATGTATACGAACAAAAAATATAATGATGCGATTGTGATGAGGTGACGTGTTAGCAGAGAGAATACGTGAATACTCTAGGAACCGCTGCATGAGACGCACAGACGCGAGAACACTGCTGTAAGCCACCCAGTCAGGGAGTCACGTTAGGAAACGCCATCTCATTGTTCAAGATGCTTTGGCTGCAAGGAATCCCCAGCGCAAGTTCCTTTGCGCTGCTCTTTATTTATTCATGGCAGTGCATTAGGTCTCAATGACCCACGTGCGAGTTGTCCGCTGATAGTCGAGGACAACTCCAAATAGTAGAAAACCCAATCAATGCCTTGCCTCAGCCTAATGTTTTTTTGGATGCAGTCAAAACAGTGTTATGGTGTACATTGCACTCGCTGTTTTCAAGCCCTAATCTCGAGTTTTAAAACGATCACGTTTCCATTGAAGCGTTGGGGCGAAACAGTGCAGGATTATTCTGCTGAAACCATACCGACAGGTCTGTTAATGTGCAATGTACACATTGTGTGTGTCCCCCCCCCCCGCCCCATAAGACATATAAAGGCAGAAACTACGTATATCACTAAACCAAGCCTCTGATAATAGAGCGCGCAATCACATGCCACTATAATGACGCAATATATTCGATGCCTCTGCGCAGTTAGATACAAATAGGTGGGCCATATGTTCTAACCAACACCGCATAATAACCAGAAGGACCTCGCAAAGCACTAGGCGTGTTACTTGGTCACAGAGTCACACCGTTGACTTAAACGGAGAGATGTGGAGATGCGTTTCAAGGGGATGGAGCGGTGGCGCAGTGGTCGACACGAAACCTGCGCCTTGCGTTCGCTTCCCGACCCACGGCTAAACACGAATGTCGATCGAGATCCGATCCAGTTCTGGTTACCCTCCCCCGCATCGCCACCCCCACCTTCACCAACCCGCACAGACCAGCGTGGTGAAGTATGGTCAAATAAGCTCCATGACCACCAACACAGCATAGGGAGGCATTGGACTGCCGTAGGGCTGGGGAGTGCAGTATTACGTTTATATAATGATTATAGGCACACTCACTCGGCGATAGTTCCACACGAGAACACTCACTGGTCGCGCGACCCCGTAATGTGTGCGCGTCACTGCATGGTTGTACTTTGTATTGCGTTTTAAGGCGGTGGATGGCCAATTGCTATACAGTGTCACTTTAAAATTGGAGGCTTAGGTTACATGTGAAGGGTGTTCCATTATGTAAACTTTTACCACCACAAAATAAAATGTACCGCCCCCCCCCCCAAGCCCCGCAAATAAAGACGAGGGAATATTTGCTTTTAATTAATAAATCAACAACGGTAAGATTACACAGGGATCATCCGAACATAATATTTACACGGCAAACTACACTACTTTTTTTATTTAATGAAATGCAACAATAATTACGGATAAACATAACAAAATATAGCATTTATTTGTATCATACGAAATTAGCACCAGAATATCAGTTTGGTCTGCTAGGCAATTTACAAAGGTTTACAGGCTCACTGGTTAATAAATGATATCAATTGGCGCACTAGAGTCACTGAAGCGGCCAGGTATGCGGCAGGGTTTGTACAAAACGTCCAATAGCAAATCTGTCACAGAACGAGACCGTCCAACGTGATGTTTACAACAAACCTTTGACATGTGGAAAGCACACTAATGATTTTTTTAGGTTTTTTCTAACACATTTTTCACATATATTTATATATATAAGACTCGATAAACGAAACCCTTCCTTTACCTGCATAGTAATATTTCTAATCGATTTTAAAAAAAAGGTAGCACATCGGCTGGGGCAATGTTTGCAGGGATAATTGAACGGCGCCTCTGCGGCGGGGAAAACGCGAGCCTCTTGCTGGCGCCGGCGGACTGTGAGCCGACTCGCCAAGGCCACAACGCCAGCGTCGAAGCACGGGCACGCGCACGAACCGCGACGCCGCGCTTGCCCTCGGCAGACAGACGAATTCGGGCTCGCAAGAAGGAGAGCGCGGCTCTTCCGGTGCGCGTTTTCCCTCGGGTCGCGCCACGGCGTCGCTCGGCACGATGCCCGGCGGACGTTTCGCACCGCGGTTGCTGGGGAGAGCGCGCGCGTCTCGAGAGGCCGAATCGAGCGGCGGGCTCATGGGCTCCCAGCGCGCACGGAGCGAAACGTCTTTCGGGACAGAAGCTCCCGATATTAGGGTGCGAGCGAAACGCCGGACAACGCGCTCGACGACACGCGCGACGACCCGAAGGCGCATCGGAGCGCTCGAGCGATGGCTCGGATGCCGTTCAAAGAAGGCACCAAAAGAGCACGCCAAGTTCCTGCCCGTGGGGAAGTCCCTGCGTGCCGCTCAGATGTGCCCCGATGAAAGTCAACGCTGCGACACACAGGCCCCCCCCCCCACCTCATGCTGCCGCCACCGTTTTGGATTGTTATTAAACGCTACACGTTGTAACGGGTGCAACAACAAACCCGCAGTGACAATAATCCGGCATCTGTGTCGTATCTGAAAAGAGGTGTTGGGTGAAGCAGATGCCTGCCAAAAGGAGAGGCACACCAATTTTCGTTACGCAACATCTGTGTGTGTGTGTGTCAGACTGTAACAGCCTTTGTTAATAAGCAAAAACTTAGTTCTGCTTGAAAAATGGGATGAAAAAAATACAAGATAAAAAGTAAAACAGTAATTATGAAACTAAACTTTCCACTTTTTTGTTTACTCAAACAATCTGCCTCGTTGTTACACAGCAAGATTTGTGAACATCTCAAAAGTGCGTAACAATCTACAAAAAAATATTCCCTTCACAGGCCTGATTTTTTTTCAGCTTTTCTCGATGGCTTTTATTTTATGAATGAACAAGTGTACAAAAAGATACACAGATAAATACTGAACACATTGTAAGTTACACTGAAATAGTGAAGTACATTTATAGTATGCGATAATACTCTTGACTGTTTGCTGCCGACCTAAGTAACGCTAAAATGACGGTGAAAAATGCTTACATTTTTTTTTTACAAAAAAGGCACTCGTTTTTTTTTTCTCTAAGGCACAATGAAAGTGGAAATGTGAAAAAAATCTGCATTGTGCATAAATATGTAGGAATTGACATTTCAATCGAGGGAAATTAGTGTGTATGTTAACACCAAGATGTATTTTATTACACGTATGGGGGCCCTATTGGGAGCTGCTGCTTTTGCAACTCTGGGTCACAATAAAAAAAACCCACCCCATCTTGCCAGTTTGTCAGCTGTCGGCGTCCCTATTTGAACGCACACACGTGCACAAATTAAGCCACAATCGGACCTTGTTTCTCCTGTGTCCCATGAGCACATACAGGGAATGTTTTGAACATGTTTACTTAAAAAAAAACTGTTGTGTAAAAAAAGCCATTTTCTATAACATTTAATTTCTTTTTCCTTCAGGGGCAAACATGTACAGTTTTTCCCTTATATAATCATTTAAAAATTTAAATAACTTGAAAAATGGCAAAAGATTGTGGGGGGGGGAGGGGGGGGAACTCCGTGTGAAAGACCAGTTACAAACTAGTTTAGGTACAGAGTTGTTGTTGGGCCTTATCTACTGCTACTGAGATTGTCATTCTTCTGCAAAAGACACCAAAGCGTTGCTCCGAAAAACGCCGTTACATTTAACGGCAAACGTAGCTCTCTTTCATCAAATAACCGATCAAAAACTCCGCTTTAAATTGCAGAGGTCCCATCGAAAGATCCTCCTCTAAATTCACAGGACTGTCTATTGTAATCCACGTTCAAAAGCCTGAGTGATTTTGCTTCGAATTTTGGTAACGGTACAATAATGCCTCGACTCAAAACATACACTCGGAAGCAAAAACCTAGATGCACTGATTCTCATCCATCGACCACCTCAAGTAAAACGGGGGGGGGGGGGGAACTTAAATCTGAAAATATAAATTGGCTAAATAAAACCCACCGGGTTTCCATCTCGGCTCCCACGGGTGTGGTATTAATGTGGTCGCCCCACGGACCTGGCAAGAAGAGCAATCACAGAGCCTACGGAGGAGCCTCCCGTGGCACTGTGAACACAGCGCCCTGGGGATGTCTACCTGGTATGCATGCGAGGCATTGTTTCTTTGCCTGCCTGCCGCTCTACAATTTTCATTCGACTTCACCTAAAAAAAAAAACGACGCGCGCAATTCGTTTTTTTACTTCCCATCATTTTTTAAAGAATAAATAAATGTGTACGGTCAGAAAAACAATTAAAGGTGGAGATGGCCGAGCGGCTGTTTTAGTAAAATTGGGCATCGCGAGACTAGCCCTTTTAGTCAGCGGCCCCGCTGTCGTTTTGAAACAGCAGGAGGATGCGCACGCTACACCCCACTGTCATCATTCACCACAGTGGAATATAACCTTTTAAAACATTTTTTTTTACGAAGACCTTGGCAGCAATAACTTTAAAACAAAGTACAGTCTAAAAAAATGTGGCCGGCAGACGTTGCTATGCTGGCCACAGTGCTACACACAACATTCCTCAAGCAGACGCTCAGGGGAATCCGACATAGCATTGCTTTATTATTATTATTCTGTTGAGCACCAATTCTGCGGCTGGCAAGTATATTATAAAAGTTATTCGGATAAGCAGCCCTTCGCAGATAATGGACGTAACAATAAACACGGGAGATCACTTACATATGTGGGACGGGGGTGGAGGGTTGGGGCAAGGGCATAGAGGGCAGTTAATGGGACGCCAAGGTGTGGATGGGGACCATTATTACCGTAGTGATTTATTGTTAAAATAAACAAAAAAAAAGGGCGCCCCCTCCCCGCAAACCCCGATTTTCCCGGCAGCACACACTGCCACCTTCCTGTCCTGCTCGAGAGAGTGGAGGTTTACGGGTTCTCAATACTGGCAGCGTTGAAGCATCCCTGCGGCAGGGCGTCCCGGATGTCCTCCAGGTTTTTGATGTCGGCCAGGATGGTGCCGATGTCTCGCTCGTAGTTCTGCAGGGCGCGATCCTGCTGCGCGCCCGCATCCTCCAGCTGCTTGATCTTGTCGGCGAGCTCCTCATTCGCCATGCGGTCCTGGTTGGCCTTCAGCTCTTTCTCCAGCTCCGCCAGCTTCTCTCCGTCGATGTCTTGCAGGGTGTCTGCAGAAAATAACCGGCATTGCGCACGCATTTACATTGGAGAGCTTGAGACTTTTCCCCCTCGTGCCATTGTTGGTAACCGACACGTGTGCCAAGGTACACCTTGAAGGCCAAGTGCTCCCAAGTGAAAAAAAACCTGGGTTAACTTCAGATACCACGTGCCACTGATGTGTTTCATGTGCAGCCTTTTTGGCAATTCACTGCTAGATAAAGGATATTCCCCCCCACGCCATGTCTGATGTAGGGAGTAATTTGACCATAATTCACCATGCTGGGTAGTGCAGGTTCAAGGGGTGGTGGACGCCAAGGACTGCTTCACAGATCACTTGCCACTGATATCAGCGCCATGGCCAGGAATAGAGAACTCAAGTCAAGAGGCTTGCGGGCATTAGCACAATATGGTGGATTTTGCTTCACTGCACTCTGCTGCCCACAACAAATCCGTGGGTGAAACCTGCATATAAAGGGTGCTTTAAAAAAATGTTAATACTTACATGGGACTATCGGTATTCATATTCTTAGCTCTTTCAGTAAAGTCACGTTGAAGGGAAACAATAAAATAATAAAATATATAAAACAATAAAAATTCTCACGACGTTTCGACCATGACACGACCATAACACCGTTTGTGTTATGGTCGAAACGTCATGAGAATTGGCACAAGAGGGAAGAAGTGTTAACATTTTTTTGAAGCGCCCTGCATTATGGTGTTTTCTCGTCAAGCGGCTGTTTGGCGGGCAGCGTTACGAACCGAGCTGCTCCAGGAGCTGTTTGATGCGTTTGAGCGTCTCCCGCACGGTGTTGCGCGCTTTGCGAGCTTTGTCCTCCGCGCTCTGCGCTTGTATTGTGACCTAGAGTCCAGCACACGCGCACACACACACCAGCATTACAGCACACGCACACACAAAGACAAAGATCCCCCGTATAGCCTTTAACAGACTGTTGGGACAAGTGCTGTTAGCGAGTGCCTATGAAGGCCCGCACGGCACATGAGGGGGCGGGTGGCCAGAACCATGCCCGACCACCTTTGTCTCCCCAGTGGTGATGGTTACACAATCGTACCATGTATTCATTTGAAGCTTAATCGACTTAGGAGAGGCCCAGGACAGGTTCAGGTAATTGTCACTGGTGTTGTTGTGAGAGTTTGTAGCGCAGCGCACTAATCACTGTGCCACCACTGCCCACTCCACCATGTGCACAAAAGCCAGTGAACGCCTAAGTCACAAAAATCTTGAAATTCCAAATTTTCTTCACGAACGAGACTTTTGTCTTAAATGGCAAATAAAAGTTTCAACATGTGCATCTGTAAGCAACCTGCAGCTTTGTAACACAATTTGCCTTTTTTACCAATGAAAGTGTTTGTGAAAGCATGTCTCAAAAATAAAAGCCTTGCGACAACAGGAAAAAAACTGGCATTGTAAAATGTGGGTGAGTGTGTAGGTGAGAGGTAAGTGAGTGGATATGTGAGTGGGGGAGTGGATATGTCAGTGGGTATGCGAGTGGGTATGCGAGTGGGTATGCGAGTGGGTGAATGAGTGGATGTGTAACCTGCCTATGATCCATCCTGGGTTTAACCAGGCTGGATTGTGAGAGGAGCTCACAAATCCTCAAAAGATCTGTACACATTCCTATCACTGAACTCCTCCAGCAGGCAAGGCTGTGTTGGCAGGGACATGTAGCCTGCATGCCCATCCACCGTATGCCCAAGCAGCTTCTGTTTGGCCGGATAGAGGGGGCTAAATGGGTGTGGCACGGTTCGGAGAAGAGATGGACTGATGCAGTACAGGAGGATGGCGAGCTGAGTAGACTTGCCGAAGACTGGTACCAGCGGTGTCAAGATCGGCCTCTATGGAGGAGGCTCCTGAAGGTCGCTACTGGGCAGTTGGAGGCAGTCGCCCTCCAACAAAAGTGGAGGGCAGAGGAGCGACGCTCACAACAACGAGCGGAGCACCGGGTGGCTAAAATACAGCAAGTTGGCACAGTGGGGGGGGCCCACAGGCGGTGCGCATCTGCCACTCATCTCAGTCAGGTCAACCCGTGGCACCTGGATCTGTCCCTGTGACCTCCTGTCAGCAAGCCTTCCGACACTTCAAGTGGCCTCGGAGTGCGCCTGGCCTGGCACAAGCGCCGTGGTGATGTCACCGTCACTAAGTGGCGAATGGTGGCGGTTATTGTTGTTGTTGTGTGGCTGAATGGGTAAGCGAGTGTGTGAGTGTAGTGGGGGGGTGGCGGCTCACGTTTGTAGCCATGTCCATGTCTCGCATTGCGTCCGCCTGCTTCGCGGCGAGCATCTCCTCGCCGGCTAACAGCTCTTCCTGCATCTTGGCCATGTTGTCGTTCAGGGCCATCGACTCGCTGAAGAGGCGGCCGGCCTCCTCCTTCACCGCCGCCGAATCCTGCAAACATCGGGGACAGCGACGACGGTGACGCACGTGCACACCCTACCGTGGGGCATCAGCTCATCATCATCGTTGCCGTTGGTCGTTTATAGTCATCATCGTCATGTCGCCCTTGACCACAGCGGTCTTTGGGGGGCGACACCACTTTCGCCTACCCTTTCGCAGTCTTTGTCAGGTGGTGTGTTGCCTGATCAGTCCATGTTATCACATTTGATGTCCAATTCATCTGGGATCACCGCTCCCCATCTTTTTCTTTCTGTCGTGGCCCATTTATGATGTTGGATTGTTGAAATTCACAGTTTGACTTAACAAAAAAGTGTTAACTGCAACTTCAGAGGAGAAGCAGCAATCGTGGCACAACATTATCCTCCTTAGCTGAAATTCTTGAAATTACCAAGTAAGTATTGCCTAACATTTATAAATGTTAACACAAATTTGGGTGAAATAAATCAATAAACGATCGGGAATTTGCCTCTGGGCGACTGCGTCCGAGAAAACGTGGATCGATCCAATCGGCTCGGAATGCCGTTCGGGCTTCACGCGACTGGGTCACTACGCGGGAATGTACGCATGCATGCATGTAGAACTTCTTTCACGCCGTACGTAGCCAACCTTGCTCATCGGAGGTGCGGGGGGGGGGGGGGGGTCGGAGGAGGCCACTAAATAAATAAAAATGAGCCAACTTGCTGGAGTGTGCGGTCCCCCCCCCCATCACGTGCTTGAGGCACGAGTTCCCGGTGCAAGCAGTGAAGCTCGGCACCCCGCACTGCTGTCATTTCCCTGCACCTCCGTGAGCGCGGTTGACTACATAACTTCAACATTACAAACTTTTATTCATTCTCTCTTCATAGCCTGGGCGTCTGGGCCCCTCGTGACCCGTGTGACCCCGGGTGTAGTTTCTTATCCTTCCCCCCCCCTCCCACTCCCGCGCACCTGCAATTAGCGCGATTTGCTACGTATCGGTGGGAAAGAACTTCAACGTACGTACAAACGAGCACGCGCGCACGCTACGCCACGCCCGTGGCGACAGAGAGAGAGAGAGAGAGATGGAAGTTGCCGGACGATGGCGGTGGCCGTACCGCCTGGGTCTGGTTGGCTATCTTCTCGGCGTCCTGCGCGATGCGGCGCGCCTGCTTCGCGTCGCGCTCCGCCGAGCCGAGCGCCGCCGTCGTCGCCTGCGTCTTGTTCCGCGCGGCTGCCACCTTGGCCTCGATCTTCGGGATCTTCTTGATGGCCTCCTCCGCCGCCGTCTTGTTGTCGGCCACGCGGCGGTCGAAATCTGTACCCCGGGGAAGAACGTCAAGTTATTATGTATATTTAAAGGTCAATGAAAACGTCGTCGTCGTTGTTATCAGCAGCACGAGCATCACCAGCAGTGGCAATGAGGTATTGCTATGCAAGCCTGTAACATATTGGCATTGGCATCATCATCATCATTTACCGCACTTCTGATTAGCACAGTTGGCTACGTACGATGCAAAATAATTTCAACGCACATTTACATGACGTCACTGCACGTCGGCCAGCCCCCCTCATTAATAATCATGAACAGGTGACGTCCTCCACATGGACCCCCCCTCATTAATAATCATGAGCGAGTGACGTCACTCCACATGTAGCACCCCCCCCCCCCCATTAATAATCATGAACAGGTGATGTCACTCCACATAGAACAGCCCCCCTCATTAATAATCATGAGCATGTGATGTCACTCCGCATGGAGAACCCCCCCTCATTAATAACCATGAACAGGTTATGTCCTCCAAATGGAAACCCCCCCTCCCATTAATAATAATGAGCAGCTGACGTCACTCCACATGGGGGGCCAAGGCGCCTCCTCCCCCCTCATCAGCGTCAACTTACAACCCTCACTACAAAGGCAGAACCCTCACGTCACGCGATCTCCGTAACACTATTGAGACATAAAAGTAATAACGACGTCATGATGAACAAGGGATTATATAACCTTAAATTGAAATAGGTCTGTGTCTCCGCGGCCTTACAAATTGCACACGAATGGATGCAATGAATATGTCACGTCACGGTTCCCTTTTCGCTTGCAAGTTTCAGATTTACTGAAATACACTCATCGTTGGACGGGCAAAAGGCTAGTCCATAATAAACATCACTGTCATTCACACATCAGGTATTGCAATAATAACTAACCAATGGCATCATCATTATCACCCATCATCAACATCACGGAAAGCTGGACCACAGAGGGTAGGGGGGGGGGGGGGTTAGGAGGGAGGGGTCGTCTCTTCCTGCGAGATCAGCGCGAGCGGCGGGAATGCACCTTTGATGTAATCGAGGATCTCCTTGGCCTCGGCGAGGGTTCGATTCCCGGCGGTGGCCGCCTCGTTGGCCGTGGCGTACGCGGCGTCGGCGCGTGCCAGCAGCTGGTCGGCCGTCTGTGGGGGAGCAAGGAAAGAAGGAAAAAAAGAAAAGCAGAGGGCGCAGCCCCGGAGGGAGGCGTTAAGCGACGGGGTGGCGGTGACGGTGCAAAGGGCGGCCGGGCGGGCGCAACTTCCGCCCCGTCCTATTCGCCCCGAGGAAATTCGCCTCGATCGATGCGAAGCCTCGCCTCTGCCGGACAAGGATATTTACTTGGTGCTTGGCAAGCAAAGCCGTGGCCATGTTTCTCCTGCGCGTGTTGTGGAATACTATCTACGGCCCTTTGTCAAATCACCGTTGGCCACAGCGCGCGGCCGCACTCCTACGACACCTGGCAAGCCCCCGGGGTGCATCACCAATCCTGGTACCACTTGACCAGGCCCAAAATCCCTGCTTAGCGTCTTGAGAGCTGACGAGGCCCGGTGGCGCATTCGGAGGGAGTGATTTGACCATGCCATTCCACTTCTGGATGACGGCCTAATCATGTCATGTCATGCAGGTCGTGGGAATTGCTTGAACATACTTCACCATGCTGACGAATTCGGGGTGGTGAAGTGGGGGGCAGGGGGAGTTAAAAACCCCCACGCCCGACAAGGCAAAGGAAGGCCTTCATCCAGCAGCCAATTGACCAAGCACTGTAAATAATATATATTTTGAAATGCTTTATATAAATCGCTAGCGTGCATATCGATGATGTCTGCTGGTTGAGCCAAAAAGCTGTTCACTGTTGTGGATGACATCACGAGAGTTTGCCATAACACTGAGCATCCTTTACAGCTTCTGCTTCAAGCATTAACAATGTTAGTTTATTGTCCATTTAGCTACTTAAACATTTAAGGCTATTTCACTTTACTTTAACAGCATCAAATTAATGTCCTTGTCCTCGTGCTTTCTTACGACTTGTAAGAAAGGACATCGCGTGGCGAAACACAAAACACAATCGCGCGTTTGCTCGCAAACAAAACCCCACCACCGTTTCACTACCGACTAAAACGTGCCTCGAAAAACCACGCAACACAACGGAAGCAAGCGAAGGATTTAGAGAGAGCGGTGGCGCAGCTCCCTGAAAGCCGCGAAGCGCACGCATGATTTGGGGCACAGAGAGAGAAAGCGCCACGCAGTTCAACCAAGCGGTGAAAGAACGCCACGCGCGGCGTCACGGCGCTGACCAAGAACACCGGCCGGCAGCCCTGCGCGGTGTGGTTCTTCAACGCGGATCGCTTGACTGGAAGAACCCAAGGCAGGAAAAGTCGACAGGAATTCAGCGACACCAAAAAAAAAAAACAACTATCAAGATGTTTCTAATGAGGAGCTCCAAGGCAAAAGGGAAATCAACGTGAAATAAAACGGAACACTTCCACCAACGCCGGCTCCCCGTTTTTTTTGTTGTGATTTCCAACAAACCAAGCAGAGCGAGGTGCCGGCAGCGAAGGGATGCCGACAGGTCGAGACGGAGCCACCAGGAAAGGCCGCAGCGCCGGTGCGACGTGGCACCGCGTCTACCTGGCCGTAGGTGCGGGCCGAGTCGAGGAGCCTGCGCGCTTGATTGTGGTGCACCTCCGAGCGCTCGATGCACATGTCGGCCATCTCGATGGTGGCGTTGCCGTGGGACGTGACCGCTCGCAGGATCTCGCCCACGCGCTTGTGCTCTTGCTGGTGGTGGTGGTGGTGGGTCGGCCGATTTTGTCATTGGATCCGGTTGGTTTATTTTTTTTCAATCCCACCCCCACGGACGATTACCCCGATCGTGATGTTGTCGTTTGTTGTCGTGACCGAAGACCGCGACACGTGCGAACGACGAAGGTGTTGGGGGGTGGGGGCGGGGTGGTAAGGGGGGCAGCCGTACGGATGGACGGGCGGACGGACGCCATCGTGGGATTTGGGGAGAGGAGGAGGAGGAGGGGGAAAAAAATCCACAACACAACGGTCGCGTTAGTCACACGGGTCTCGGTGCACGCGCGCGCGGGCGCTACCTTCTGCTCCTGCAAGCCGCGCTGGAGCAACACGGCGGCCTTCTCCTGCCTGGACCGCGTTTCGTTGAGAAGGTCGTGCAGGTTGGTCTCCTTCTCCCCCGTGCGCTGCATTACCTCCTCCGACTTGGCGCCAATATGCTCGGCCCGCGTCTGCGATTCGAGGAGATTAGCGGAGGTGGTTTCGGGGGGACGGGGGAGGGAAGTACGGTCATCGCTGCTCAAAAAAAAAAAAACAGTGGCGATAGCGGACGGACAACGCGGGCGGCCGTGGCTCCTGCGGATGGCGAGCGGAGGTTACGGTGCCCTAGGATCACGTCCGCGCCTCCGTCTCGTGAATGGGCGGGTTCAGAACTGAAGCACACGGTGCATCACTCGGCGGCACGTGGATATGATGGAGGGGTATGTGTGGATTGTTCGGTGTGGGAATATGGGAGAGCAGTGTCTGAGAATCTGTCATTTAACCTCCGGCATGTTGACTTGTGTAGCATAAGCGTATATGCAGTATATGCGTGTGTGTAGTAATTGGGTGTGTGTGTATAGAATGTGTATGCAGTATTTGTGTGTGTGTAGTACGTCAGCACAGGTGGTACATCTACCGGTCATCCAAGCAAGTCAACCCATAGCACATGGGTATATCTCGTGACCTCCTGGCCAGCGGAGCCCTTCGACACTCCACGTGACATCAAAGTGCACTTAGCTTGGCACAAGCGCCACGTTGACATCACCTAGCGGTTTTTGCCGTTGAACATGGGTCTGTGCAGTGTGTGCGCACACGTTGCGCTTTGTACGCTCGTGCGAGCTTCTGCGCATATTCTGTGCCTATGGAACAGTCACTCAACCTCCAGCGCAGAGATGTTGACTTGCGGCAAGGCCGCCTTGGCCTGCGTGTACAGGTCGAGGGCGACGTCGCCGACGTCCGTTGCGTTGCTCTGCACTTGGTTCGCGTATTTCTCGAGCTGCGACGTCAAGTTCTTGGCCTCCCTCAGCCTGCGGAATAAGCAAATAAAGAAAAGGCAAAGTAACATTGGACAGAGTTAAAGAAAAGGGAAGGCAGCTCGATTTTAACAAAAAAGCAGCTTCGAGTAGCGCTCGTGTGGGCAAGCCAGGGCCATTGCGGCCGGGTACGCACTTGGTGGTGAGGTTGAAGGCCTTCTCACCCAGCTCGTTCTCATCCACCAGGATGCGAGAAAGTAGGTCCAGCGCCGTCTGGGAGGAGTTGAGGGCCATGTTGGCCGTGCCCTCAATCTCGGAGGCGCCGTTTTTGTGTCTGCCGCACACGAGGGCAACAGCGCGTGCACGCACGCGCAGCGTTAACACACTGGACGACGCTGCGGTACGTATTTTTACGTAATAAAGTCACCGTTATGGGTGTGGTGGTGACATTTCAGCAGCATCGCTCTTGAGGAAGAATATTGCTTGCGCCGCACTCCTGTTGTGAAATTCTACTCTGTGCGCTGGGTCACAAGAATCCTTCTGGGTTCACATTCTTATTCTAATTCTCGTTTAAGCAGACGGACGAGGCCTGGGATTTGAACCTAGGATCCCAGCGGTGTGCACTCTGACCAGAGTCACTCGGCCACTTCCGGATTTTCAAGGATTATTAACAAAAGTCTCTCTTCTTATACTCACTCATCGGCAAGTTTCCTGGCTTCATCCACCAACCCCGTCAGGTTGTTTGGGTCCGAAACGTTTCTGGGATCAATCGTCTGCAACAGCAACAACAAAAAAGATTACGACGCCACATTTTAGCATCATTAGCCGTTTAGGGAGAGTGCTGATGGTGGTTGGTGAGAACTGATTAAGGATGGCACAGCACACCAAAGGGCAGTGTGGCCAGCACCATACCCAGCTGGTTTTTTCTCACATCTGCTGATATTTACACACCACAACAGGTACACATCCAAGGCCGAGTTGACCCTGGGAAGGGTCACAACGACAGGTTCAGATACCACTTTGCACACGACGTTAACTGTGCCTGGAAAGTAATGCTAGGTTGGCCAGGTTTGTTGCGGCAGTGTGCTAAGCACTGTAGCACCTTTCCCACAGGACACACATACACACGTATCCACAGCAGCAGGTGGAAAAGATAGGATGACATTGATTACTATGATTACGGTGGTGATGATGATGGATAGGATGACAGAGGAGAAAAACTAACGATGATGATGATGATGATGCTGATGAAGGCGATGATGACAAAGACGATAAAGTAACGACAAAGGCAACTCACGTAAAGTTGATTGACTATGACAACGATGGTGATGAAGTTGATGATGACAACGTTGACTAAAAAGCAACAACATGATGATGATGCTAACGATAAGCTATCGTAACAATAACGACTAAGGTAATAATGATGATCGTCATCAACACGACGTCAGGGACAACGCCATTGTTTGACTTGACAACATTGACAATGGCGACAGCATTGGTGGTGGATGTGCCAACACGCACTGGCTGGCGCTCTCGCTAACTTCTAGCTAACTGGCTTGCTGGCTCACTGGCTAGCTGGCTCACTGGGTGGCTCACTGGCTGGCTGGCTCACTGGATAACTGGCTGGCTGGCTTAGTTTCTAGCTAACTGGCTGGCTGTCTAACTGGCTATCTAACTGCCTGGTTGGCTGGCTAACTGCCTGCCTGCCTGCGTGCCTAACTGGCTGGCTATCTAACTGGCTGGCTAACTGGCTGATTGGCTGGCTAACTGCCTGCCTGCCTGCTTGCCTAACTGGCTGGCTGTCTAACTGGCTGGCTAACTGGCTGGTTGGCTGGCTAACTGCCTGCCTGGCTAACTGGCTGGCTAACTGGCTGGCTGTCTAACTGGCTGGCTAACTGCCTGCCTGCCTGCGTGCCTAACTGGATGGCTGTCTAACTGGCTGGCTAACTGGCTGGTTGGCTGGCTAACTGCCTGCCTGGCTAACTGGCTGGCTAACTGGCTGGCTGTCTAACTGGCTGGCTAACTGCCTGCCTGCCCGGCTAAGTGGCTGGTTGGTTAACTGGCTGGCTGGCTAACTGGCTGGCTGGCTAATTGCCTGCCTGCCTAACTGGCTGGCTAACTCATACTTTAGCTACCGGTGTGTTGAAGAGTGAATCCACAACATTTACAGTTTGAGTACGACGTTTCGCTGGTAATTACATCCAGCATCATCGGGCAATTCGCCAGAATGGTAAAGCCCTCTCCACTTGCTCCCGATCTTAAATAGAGCAGCAGGGTGACGTCATCATTGAACTCATTCAGGTGCAGTGATTTGAGGCGGAGGGGGGGGGGTATTGTAATTATATAATCGATTATGATGCTGGATGCAATTACCAGCGAAACGTCGTACTCAAACTGTAAATGTTGTGGATTCACTCTTCAACACACCGGTGGGCTAATGTAGTGAACTATTTGTCTTTTGTCAACGTGACCACTTTTTTGCCGATTGGCCGTGTCGGGTAGTGGAGGGTTACGACACATTTATAAATAAACGCGATCTAACCCAAAAACCTTTATTATGAATAATATCGGTCGCGACAGCCTGCTACGTGTTAAACTGGCTGGCTAACTGCCTGCCTAACCGGCCGCCTGGCCGGCAGCAGCAGGTGGTGCGCGCACCACGGTGCTCAGGGCCTTGCGCGCCCGCTCCAGCTGCTGCCGGGCGTCGGCGGCGAGGGCGTCCACGTCGTCGGCGGCGGCGCGGGAGCGGCCCAGGGCGGAGGTGGTGTCGTCCACGCCCTCCCGCACGCGCCGCAGCCGCGTCATCTCCCGCGTCAGCGTCGCGTTGATGTCGGCGAGCCGGTCCAGAAGGCTGTAGTCGGCGTCTGGGATCGAACGACGGAAGTGTGGGGGGGGGGGGGGGGGGGGGGGGGGGGGAGTGGGGTCACGATTCGTGTTGTGTGTGTTCTGTTGAGTCAAAGTCAACAATGGCATTGTGCTTGGCATCACGATGATCATCAGTATTCATAATAAAGGTTTTTTTTGGGGTTAAATCGTGTCAATATAATGTGTGACGTTAACCCACCACCACACGTGACAAACCTTACAAATTGGCTGTGTCGCGTGGTGATGGGTTAATAACATTTATATTTCTGTGATCTAACCGAAAAAGCAAACCTTTATTACGAAAAATATAGGTCGTGAAAGCAACTTGTTGAACTGATCATCATTACCTTAATCGTTATTGTTACAAATCGCTATTGTTAGTATTATCATCATCATTACGTTGTCATCGTTAACATAATTTAAGTCAACGTCATTGTCATCCTCATTGTCGTCAACATCGTCAACGTTGTCGAAGTCAAATAACATTCTCCTGAAGTTTACGTATTTGGTGCAATAGCCACCCTATAATCGGTTGAATATTTCTGCAACTTGATTTGTAGTTGTACTCTGACCAGCCGATAAATAATCTGCCAGTGCCGACACGCCACAGGAGAATTCATTCTGTAACAATGATTTGTGCTCGTGAAATATTTCAGATTTCTCACGCGACACAGTTGCTTGTGTTATGAGACCTCCTTTGGCAGTAACAAGATATAGTAATAGGTTTTACCCTTTTAATTGGCACAAAAAACTGACACCTTTATTCAAGGCATCATGTCTGCAATAACTGCAACACAAGCAGTCAAAATGCAAACAAAAAGACAACTCTGGTAATAATATGCACTGTCCTTGACTGCTTGTGTTGCGGCTATTGCAGACATGATGCCTTGAATAAAGGTGTCAGTTTTTTGTGCCAGTTTAAAAGGGTAAAACCTATTACTACAGTTGCATGTGCTTTTTTATTTTTGTTTATTTTACGATTTCGGCAGCACGCACCCTGCACGGACTGCACCTCCCACAGCAGCTGCGCGACGGCGTCGGCCACTGACTGCAGCCGCTGCTCAAAGTCGCGGTCGTTGATGGCCCCGGGGTCGCTGCCGATTCCCTCCAGGTAGCGCTCCAGCTCCCGCAGCTTCTCGCGGTGAGAGTTCACCTGGGCACGGAGCGGGCGGGGGTGGGGGGGGCAGAGTACAAGGACGACGATAAGAAGGAGGTGGGGGAGGGTGTGAGGTGATGAAGTGGCGAGGGGGTGGTGAGGAAGAGGAGGATGACATAGAAGAGGAGATGGCAGCATGAGGAGGAGGAAAGGGAGGAGGGAGAGGAGGGTGGCAGAGAAAGAGACAAAATATGGAATGTTACATGCCTCTGGGCATTACATATGGCAACGTTTTTAGAAAATTACATTGCACAATGTTTTACTCATTATTATCTTTGGCCACACTTCGCAGCCTGACTATTAAGTTCGTCTGATAATTTGTGTCGTTTCATTCCCACTGGAGATGAAGCATGGCTGATGATGATTACTCAAAGCAAGCAGAGCTATTACATTATTGTTCGTTTATGTCAGCCCCACTTAGGCTTCATCGTGTAATTGTACGTGACGTGTACGCTGGGTAAAATGATGATCAGTCCGGTTATTATGATACGAACCTCGTTTTACCAAAATGTTATATTTTGGCGATGGCAATCATGGTGACAGTGGGTGTTGATGATTACAGTGGCAGCGATGGTGGTGATGACAGTGGCGGTAGTGGCGATGGCAACAATGGAGGTGGTAATGGTGGCGGTGGTGGCGGTGGTAACAGTGGTGAGCGGTTGTGGAGGTGGTTATGCTGCGCATGGCGATTTCGGTGCAAGTAGTGGCAGTCATGGCGGTAGGAATGGCATCAATAGAAATGGCAATGGCGGTAGCGTGGCGGCGATGGTGGTGCTGATTTTAGTAGCGACTGTGCGGCTGTGGAGGCGGTTATATGGTGCCAATGGCGATTATGGTGGTAGTTGTGGCGGTCGCAGCGGTAGTGGGAACGGTAATGATGGCGGCGACGGCGGCGACGGCGGCGACGGCGGCGATGGCGGCGTGCGCCTCACCTTGCTCTCCACAAGCGAGTAGCATGGCGGGCACTGCTGGCAGCCCGGGTTGGTGCGGTTGCGGTAGAAGTTCTCCCCGCACTGGTCGCACCGCACCCCGACCGCGCCGTCCCTGCACGGGCAGTGGCCGCCCTCGTCGCACTGCATGCCCTTGGCTCCGGCAAAGTCGCAGTCGCACGCTGCGCCATTCACCGGGAGGCCGCACCAACGGTGGGGGGGGGGGGTGGGGTGGGGGAGATGACCGCACTCAATCAAAACCCCTACTACAGGCAGTGGTACCGCTTCCAGTTGAATTGCAGAGTTTGTTGACTCTCCTCGACCGTATGGCAGCAGCAATTTGTTCAGGACCGAGATGCCAATGTCGAGGTCTGCTGCTGGCCACGATGAGAGGGCTTCAGCAGACAGAGTTCGTGTCGTTTTGCTATTCCCTCCTCCGTTGAAAGAGCGCAGATCACAGTGGGTGTACTATATGGTCCATAGTTTGAGTTGCATGGCCAGTTTGTTGATGGTGTGCATACATTGCTTCATGAGCTGGAGCTTGCTTGCTGGTTAGTTAAATTCTTTAACATTAACCTGTTGGTCTCAATGGGCTCGTACCTGCTTATCTACCCATCAAATCTCCCGGAAGGTGCCCAATTTCAGAATCGAAGCTGCCACGCACAACAGGTATTATAGGCTGCTGCAAGGCTACTTGGGAGGCAGTGCAGCAAATTGCATAGTTGTACCGATCTTTTGCTCTCCCACATACGCACCCCTCACCCCCCACACGTTCACCAACCTGCACGGACCAGCTTGGTGAAAGTATGGTCGAATAACCCCTACATCCGGCGGCATAGCGGGAGAGCTCTAATCTTGCATTGGACTGACAAAAGGAGTGCGCGCGTATACTTCTAACTACATCCTCCGCTTCTAAACTACGGCCAACTTCGTACACAGAGAATTCAATTTGACTCTTCATTATGGTCCGTTGCGTAATTTCCGTTGCATCAATCAAAACAGCTGCAGGGAAGATAACAATGGCGACCGAGCGAGCGTACGTGAGCAGCCCTTGACGGAGAAGCCGAAGTGGTTGGGGGCGCAGACTTCGCAGGCGCGGCCCTCCACGCCGGGCCGGCAATCACACTGCCCCGTCGTGATGTCGCACTGCCCCGTCTGGGAGCCCACGGGGTGGCACTCGCACCTGCAGGCACGCGCAGATGCACGTACAGACACGGGACGACGCACGGAGGAATGCACGGCAAGTGAACGATGGAGAAACGCGTGTGCGAACGACCGCGTTGAGCAACACATGCAGAGAACGCACCCGGGGGGGTGGAGGGGGGGGGGGGTAAACGTGTGGCAAACCACGTGGGAACGCACGGAGGAACGAAAAAAATGAAACCATGCAGTAACACATGCACTTGAGTGCTCCAAAAAGCAATGCACGGAAGAGCGCATGCGGTAATGCACAGAGGTGCAAAAACAAACATTCCCCATATAGCCTCTAACAGACTGCTGGGGCGAGTGCTGTTAGCGAGCACCTTTGAAGGCCGGAACGGTACACGAGGCGGTGGGTGGCCAGCACCACTCCTGACCGCCTTTGTTTTCCCAGAGTCGATGTTTATACACCACACCAGATACTCATTTGTGGCCGAGTCGACCTAGGGGAGGCCCAGGACCGGTTCAGATATTCGTCACTGGTGTTTGCCGTGAGCGGGAATTGAACCTCAGGTCGCCGGGTTCGTAGCGCAGTGACCTAACCACCGAGCCATCACTCCCCACCGATCCACCACACGGAGGTGCACACACACACACACAGCAATGCATGCTGGACCACACCGCAACACGTGAGAACTCGTGCAAAAATATGCACAGCAACACGCACAGAAACACAAACGAGAAACGCACGCAGGAAAGAAAGGACCCTTAACTTCACTGTACACCGTCGGCACAGCGCGGCAATGCTTTCCTTCGGGATGAAAACAATGGCGATAATTATGGTCATAATCAAGCTTATTTGGCAACAGTGTCTCTTAATGTGCGTTTACGCAAAACTAACTCTGGGCAGCAACCCGACACTGAATGATTAACAGACGTCCCAATGAGTTGCACTGCTGAAACAGAGGCGTTTTAACCTCTCAAATCAAAATGAACACAATGCGGATTAAACCACAAACTGCAGACGTCTCTTTGCCGTTACACACTTTCAGACTGACTTCACAGAAAGGATCCAATCCTCTCTCCTAACTCTCACCCAGGAAATGAGCTCGAACCACATCCAAGCTGCCATCCACAGCAGTGAACATTGTTGATACTGATGATGATGATGATGACGAGGACAATGATGATGATGACACTCAAGATGACGACGATGATGATAATGGTAGTAATGGCAATCGTGATGACATTGCGGAAAGATGGTGAGATGTTAACTACCTCGCCAGGTATGCAGGGGGTCGTGAGTTCAATCCCGACACTGACGCCTGCTGTATATTTGGAGTTTGCATGTCTCTCTCTCCCCGTGGTTGCGTGGATTTTTCTCCGGGGACTCAGGGTTTTCCCTCCGCATTTAGAAAACAACATGACGCGTTTAGAGTATTTGGCTGCTCTAAGTTTCCACGTGGTGATGATAAGCCACTTCGATGGGCTATCATTTGTGGCCAGCTTGCTTCTGAAACAAAAGAGCTACACATAGCTCAGTGGGGCCCTTACCTGGTAAAATAAAAAAATAGTTTATAGTTTTATTTTAGGGTGGGGCGCGTGGGTAGGTGGGTCGGGGGGGGGGGGGCCTCACCGCTTGCAGCCGGTGCCGCTGGCGATGTCGTAGAAGCCAGCCTCGCACTGCCGGCAGTCTCGCTCGGCCACGTGGGGCAGGCAGTCACACTGCCCCGTCACAGGGTTGCACGTGGCCTGCCCCTTCACCGTGCCGAGACGGAAGCAAGCGCAGGCTGCACGCACGCACGCACGCACAAAAATGAAGAGACCCACCACCACCCCCCCCCCCCACGTGTAGCCCTGAACAGACTGCCGAGGCAAGTGCCGATAGCGAGTGGCACCGACGGAGGCTGGCACGGCACGCGAGGGGTTGGGGGTGGCCAGCGCACAGCCTTTGTCTCCCGAGTGGCGATGTTTGCACAGCCGCACCAGGTACCTATTTGAGGCCGTGTTGACCTAGGGTAGGCCCCAGCACTGATGTTGCCTACTTACTCGGTGCGTCGGTTACAACGACAGTTTGTGGCACGCACTGCCAGCGGCACAGCTGCGTCAACTTCCAACTGTGTTCGCCTCCGGCATTAGCCTGCCTACCTCTGGCAGTGCGGTTGAATTAAACATCCCATTTGACTGCCGCGCGACGAACACTGCACTGCATATGCAGGACAGGCGTGAGTGAGGGCGCTTCCCCCCTATTGCGTGGGCCCGAAGACAAGCGTGGTACCCACTTCCGTGGGCCACTCTCTGGCTCCTTAACGCCGCGGCATCTCGGAGCGCCTCACCGCGGGCAGCCGTCTCCCGCGCGGCGTTAATTCCGTTGGCGGGGGCGGGCGACGAGATGGCTCCGGCACCGGCCACGCGAAGGGAGAGAGAAAGAGAGAGAGGCGGGGGGGGAGGGGGGGGGGCACGGACTCACGCTTGCACTTGTCGGGCAGCGGCGAGCGGGCGTCGCCGTAGAATCCGTCGAGGCAGCGGTCGCAGTAGAAGCCGCCCGTGTTGTAGATGCACTTGAGGCACTCGCCGGTGCGCCGGTCGCAGTTCCCCACCGCGTTGGGGTCGATGTTCTCCGTGCACTCGCACTTGCGGCACGGCCGCGAGGGCCCCTCCTGGCCCGTGGGGTCGCCGAAATAGCCGTCGTCGCACAGCTCACAGCGCTTGCCTGCACCCGGGGGCGGTGACGACACGATTCGAGATTTGGTCATTAAAAAAAACAAAATCTTTGCTCGGGGTGCTTTCCATCGTCTCGATTTTACACCTTTTTTTTTCCTCTCCACACCCCCCGCCCAGCCCCACGAAATAAACGTCGAAGCGAGATGCACGAATCACGAGCCCATGCATCGTAAATACTGCACTCAATTTCTCATGCGTGTATCACGAGTGTACTAATCAATTTTAATCAATGACCCAGTGTATTGTTACACGCCTAGAGATAAGCCCCCTGCTGCTCCTTCTTCTTTCGTACGGCTGCTGATGTAGATGCAGAGCGACAACGACAATGTCACAATCAGGTGCTCGTCGTGCCAGATAAGCCCCTGCTAAATTCAATTAAGCGATGGATGTCCCAGACACAGAGAGTATGAAAGCGACAACAGAGTGTATGTGTGTACGCACCGTACGCAGCCAACCGTGCTAATCGGGAAGTGCGATCAGCATGCAGCAGAAAGCAGATCACATAATTACTCATTAACAGTCGCTTACATTCTGAGCTTCTCTAAGACCCGCTTTGGGAACGACGCTGTGCTGCACGGTTGCCTAGAGGGGGTATGGTTCCATAAACAGCCGCCGTACGACCCGAGAAGCAGGATGGAGCGGGCGACGGCAGCACGAGGTGGAGGAGGGGGCGGCGGCAGGGTGTCACACCACGTGGTGCAAAAAAATAAGAATTAACCTTTACCCTCTCCCGCAACATAAAAGGAGCCGTTCAGATGTTCAAACGCCATTGACCCCACGTACTTGTGGCAAAACATAGCAAACGAACGTGCTCTGATAATGTATGCATTGTCTTTGAAACCGACTGGCCTGTACCGGAGACAGCCTTCATCACGGACATGGAGCGACCACCGGCGGGAAGCGGTGGAGGGGGGGGGGGGGGTGCGGTGGGTGGAGAGGGGGGGGGGGGGGAAACCTCCCCACGCGTGCTCACCGGTGGTGCCCTCAGGGCAGCTGGTGCACACCACCTCGCCCGCGCGCGGCTCGATGGCGCAGGAGCTGCCCGAGGGGCAGGGGCAGACGGCACAGTCGTCGCCGCTGCCCTGCGTGGCGTCGCCGTAGAAGCCGTCCCGGCACCGCTCGCAGCTGCGGCCCGCCGTGTTGTGCTCGCAGCGGCACTCGCCTGCGCCGCACGCCGCGGGTCGCGAGCGTTAGCGATCCGTTTGGCCACAGCGGCGTTAGCGCGGTGAACGTCATAACGAGCCGTCGCTAGTCGCGAGCGAGTTGTCCTGTGAGAAGGCGAGTGGAGCGGTTGGGTGGCGGTGACCTAAACTAAGATGAGGCCCACTGAGCAATGAGGCTCTTTTTTCAGAAGTGACCTGGCCACAAATGATAGCTCAACGCAGTGGCTTACAACGTGGAAATGTATAGCAGCCAAATACTCTAAAGCAGGGGGTCGGGAACCTTTTTGGCTGAGAGAGCCATGAATGCCACATATTTTAAAATAAATTTCCGTGAGAGCCACATCATATTTTTTAACACTGAATACAACTAAAGAAATGTCAGCTAAGATTTATTCGTGAGCCAGATGCAGTCATCAAAAGAGCCACATCTGGCTCGCGAGCCATAGGTTGCCGACCCCTGCTCTAAAGGAATGATTATTTTAAATGTGGAGGGAAAAGCAGAGGACCCGGTAGAAAAATCCAAGCGACCACAAGGAGAACATGCAAACTCCAAATATACAGGCGTCAAGGTCGAGATCAAACCCACGACTTACTGCATACCAGGCGAGGCAGGAAACATCTCACCATCGCAAGATGTTATCATCTCTCTCGGTGGGCCCCCGAGTACATTGGTGGGGAAAGGCTACATCTGCACGACTGGAACCAATTTGTCCGCTGGAATGATCGTTGTAAATTTTATTGGCTGTCGGTAGCACACGGCCAGGCAGAGCCGTGCACCTGTTTGGCAAAATTACGTCAAAGAACGGAGTGAGGAGGAGTGGAGACAGATCAGTTGGGTGAAGAAGAAGAAGAAGAGCAGATAAAACAGAACTTGGAAGGCAGTGAAGTCTTGAGGAAGCAACAGTCACAAAGACAAAGGATCGTGTGAACTGCCAGCAAAGATCGGGGGGGTCCCGTCACGATTACCGGTCTCCGGGTGGCAGGTGGCACTGTGGCCGTGGCAGGCACACGGCACGCAGCTGCTGAAGGGCCCCCTGCTGGGCTCCTCCCGGGTGAAACCGGGTGCGCACGACTCGCAGAACTGGCCCTGGTACGCAGGCGGGCAAGAGCAGCGCTCCACCCACGGTGCAGGGTTCCCAGGCCCCCGCCGTGCGCTCGTCAGCGAAATGCCCTGCAGGTGGCCCGCGTCTGCGCGCCACGCGGACCGGAGAAACGGCAGCACAAGGGGGACGGTTTTTGATTTTTCTTTCGTTTCTTTTAATCCCTCCAAACCCACGATGCACCACGTGCGTGGAAGAATAACGGCGTCCACGGGCCAGTTCTTCGCCTGGGAAAATGTTCGCAGAGTCTCAAGATAAAACATTTTTTCAGGAGAGGGTCCTGCATCGGCGTCGTTTTGTATGTAGACAAAAGACAGAAAAATAATATGTACAGTAGCCAACCAAAAAAACGTACTTGCTCTACTGCACCACTTCGTTGCACAGCGGGCAGTTTCCTAACGTACACCGTAGCTCTAATCCAGGGCTTAATTACCCGCAAAAACAATTGAAGTAGGCATGTCACTCATAGCCACTGCCATAGCGATATGTATACTGGATGTGGTGTGCCTGGTCCAGAAATATAATTTTGGGTCTCTGACACAGACCCGGCTGGAATGAGGGACCATCCCTGCCACCCAATTCAAAGAATTTTGGGCACGGCCCACCAAATACAAACACATGCAAAGCATGCAAACGGAAAAGACAAAATGCCCTATTTTTGCACCGCCTTAGAGAGACAGTAAACCCTCTCTATCCGCAAGGGGTTACGTTCTTGAAAATGTTCACGAATGCAGAATTTTCCGAAAGACCAACAGACACGGGGAATGCGGCGGAGGGATTAATGTTTTTTTCACGTCAGGACTCACTCTGGGCGTTGTAGGTGCCGCGAATTTTGATGGACGTGAGATTAGACAGGAGGCGCTGGAACTCGGTGGTGGTCAGCTGTGGACGCCATGGGTACTCGGCAACCTCGTGCAGCCTGAACACACACAATATAAACACCACACACAGAGATCCCATTGGATGGCATAGCATGGCCCGCATACATAAATCACCACTCCTGTGACTTCATATCATAAAGGCCAGAAGTGCATGGCTTCTGTGTTGAAAAACAATGCACCTAATATGATGTGTTGTAATGGCCAGTAAAATATTATTCCATCAGGCAATACCATACATTGACCCTGGAGCACCACTTAGTAAGAATTTGATAGATTTAACCAAATGAGTCTTAACGAGTTTCAAGACTTATTTTTGTTATGGATTGTGTCATTTAGTTGTCAATATCTCAACTCCTTCCTCCCACATCTTCCTTAGCCCTGCCTCTTGGTCTTCTTTGCTTTGTCCACAACTCAAAAAGCACCAACCGATGCCTCATGCCACCGTCAAACTTCAGTCTCACCTGCCCTAAGCGTTTCAGCAATCGTCACTCTCGGACCACATTCCTGAAGCGGTTCTTCCTCGCCCACCTCACGTTGCTACGATCCTACGGAGATTTCCGCTTGCAATCTACTCTCCTCTCTCTCTCCCACGGGCGGGCCTTAAATCCTCGCCGAATATAATTTCTAGACCGCCGGTAGAGTGGAGCTGGTAGCGCGTGTCTGGTATGCACTGCCCATAGCGAGAGGTACGCTGGATTTGGGGTGTGCCATGCTTGCCGAAATTCTTTGGACAGATCTATCTAAAATTGAGCCCAGCCTTGCATCTCCCCCAGGATTGACGGGTCACACGCCGTCAAACAGAGATACAACCCCACAGCGTCAGGAGGGCTGAAAGGGGCTGAAAGGGGCTGAAAGGGGCTCAGCACCCCCCCCCCCCCCCCCCCCATCTAAATTATTTTGAATAAAAATGTAAAATGTTGGTACAAAACATACACCGGAGCCAAAAGCTATAGCAAAATGCATGACAAAGACAGATCGTCTCATCACTCCTACCGCGTAGGGTTTAGCATTTGCCTTAAGTTAATTTGACGTTGAATGTGGCAACATTCCCCGCCCCCCACCACACCTCGTTTAAACAAAGGTCACGACGAGGCAGGGCTGTAGGCGTGGCGATGCGGCGGCAGAGGGACTCACAGGAAGTGGTAGGTCTGGACTTCCTCGGTGGGGTAGGAGTTCCCCTGCGCGATGAGTGGAACCGACACGCGCAGCTCCGCACCCTCGAGCACTAGGTCCTCGGCCGAGAGGCGCACGTCACGGTTGTCCACGCGGAACTTGAACGTCAGGTTCTGGCCGTAGCTCAGGAGCTGGTTCCCCAGGAATTTGTCTGCAGAACAAAAATTTGGATAATGATCATGACGACGATGATGACGACGATGATAGGAAAAATTCCGACAGGGTCGTCACATTGTAAGCCATTAATTACTACAGGGACGCTAAACAAAAAACGAAAACATTGAACATCGTTGGGGCCAATGAGAAATTGAGTTTGTGTCACGTGTGGCTATTGACGAGGCGAGTTTTGAGCCACGGCAGTGAGTCGGCGGCTGTGCCTGGAACAGCCAAGGGACTGTTCTAGGCACAGGAGGCCGGCGATGTGAAAGTTGCGGTCGCAAAACATTCATTTGATGGGAACACGCAGCTCACCGGATTCATGGCAGGGTGTTGAGCAACATGAATCAGTTTACTGTGCTAGTGCATCAGTTGCCTGCCACCGATTCGAACTGCCCCTGGAAAATAACGAAGGCCTATTTTATCGGTTAGTGACAGCCAAATGTATCAAATTGTCAAGCTGTATTTTGACACAAATAAAACCAGACAGGGTGGCGCCATTGATGCTGTCGTGCAACTGCAGGCCGGGTTGCAGAGTAGCAACAACCCTTTCCTAGATGATTTTGTTCTTGAGTTGAAAACGGAATGACAGACGGACGGACATCTTTCAACACATCAATAGTAGTAGGATAAATACGATTCGAAAAGTATCACAATTTGGCCATTCATCAATAATTTTTTGCTTTTTTTGTTTCGTTGCTTTTGGTGTTTAGTTTGTTGTCCTTCCCCCCCTCGCACCTACGGACGATTAGCACGATTGGCTACGTATAGTGCGAAATAAGTTCAACATGCAAATACATAAATAGTTGTCTCTGTAGCGAGCAATCACAACCAACCAATGGTTCAATTAAACCAAGCTCTGCTAATCCGGTCACATCCTCTCAAAAAACAAACCTGCCAATTGGAAAGGAAGATTTATTTTGCATATTTTTGGTCTACTTCTGCTCATCCTTCTACTGCCGTTGGTTCCCGAGTCATAATGCAGTGTGGCAAAAAAAACATTTCTATAAAATCGCTAAGTCATCTAACGCCCAAAGCTTTCAGTTCTTTCGGGGGGGGGGGGGGGTACAGATGCACGAACGCACCGGCAGCCAGGAAGTAGATGGGATAGAAATCCTCCGAGGAGACGGAGAGCTCTCCCGTGGCGGAGTTCCACGTCAGCTGGAAGGCGTTGCCGTCGCGCTCCTCCGCAAGCCACCCGTCCTGACCTGGGCGGTAACAGAGGGCGGCCAACCGACCGACGATGACGTCAATAAAACACCAACGAAAGAACTTAATTCCATTTAGTGTTTTAAACAAAGCGCTATCCCGTCACAGCGCGTTGAGTAGCTTGCTCGATCCGACGACGCCGTTTGCACGAGACCATCCCAACGCAGCCGAGTCGGCCGATGGGGAGGGAGGGAGGGAGGTGGGGGGGTGAGGGATGGGGGAGGCGAGGGCCTACAACCCCTCGAATTACATTTTTAAGAGGAAACAATCTCGTTCCTCTAAGGTGTAACATCAACAGGAGGGGGGTTGGTAGAGAGCTTAGTAGCACGTGTTTTTAGACAGTCGACAGATGGTTATTGTTACTGAACGGGAAGGTGTTTGGTGTTGCTTCCAAAGTTGTTTCATTAAAACTAATTCATGGTTTAGTTACTTATTATCAGGAGACCATCCCGAGTGTAATGACTTTGAAACTACTTATAACAGAGGCAATAACGGTAAAATCAGCTGGTTAAAATGTGTGTATCTAATTAAATTTTATATTTATAGAGCGCTTTCACTCAAGGCGCTTGACATGACAGATCACAATGATTTTGGTGGCAGAGGCATGTAAGTATTGAGGAATGAATTGCTTTTAAACGATGAATACAACTCATTAAGTAATCAATAACTGTATAACATGACAGCTTCTTCGGTCATTATTTTCCTAAAATAATTATTTTCCAAAGATAATAATTATTTTCCTAACATAATGACATTGAGATACTCTAGAAATCAGTTACAGACTTGCACACCGGAAGACCTTTGCAGACGATCACTGATGCAGATATATTTTTTTATTAACGGCACGATAAAAAAATAAATTGACTGACATGTCACAACCGTATTTAGCATTACCAATTAGTAAAGATGACCCCCTATTATCTTCATCCCTTTGCCAAGCCACTGCTTTACTATACTGGTCAATGCGGGTTAAAATAAAAGGGTGGCCTCTGGACTGGTACAGATATCACTTGCCACCGATGGTAGGCATGACAGCGAATCAAAATCAGGCTACCGGGTTTATAATGCACATCGCGCTAAACACCGCACCACCTCTCTCCCCAAGGCTCAATTCAGAGGGCTCAAGTTACACCGATGCAACTTCCGAGAGCTCGTTACCTCCTGCTATAAGCAGGTGAAAGGTGCAGCCCTGACATTTCTTGTTTACGCCACTTGCTGGCAGAATGGCAGCCGCTCAAGGGAGCTCCAGAGAGCTCCCTTACTCGAGGGGATTTTGGGCCTACTCTTTGCAAACTGACCAGATGTCCTAACATTTACCCACACTTTACCCCACCGCGGCCAATCTGCCGATTGACTTATGAAGTATCCAATTTATGCCACCGGGTGGGCAGAGGCGAGGAAATTGAAGAAACCTGCTCCGCCGTTTCAACTGCCGCGTCGGGAGATCTAAATCCGAAACGGCGGCCTCTGGATCGCGAGACCCAGGGTGCCGACCCGTTTTCACCAAGGTGGCATCGAATCCCTCCTCCTGCCCCGCATCAGCCATGAAAGTCGTGGCACGAGGCTGGGTGTGCTCACCGGCGCGGAAGTCGGAGGAGATGGTGTGGACGGCGTGATCCTGGGCGCTGGAGCACACTGACGAGTGCCCGTAGCAGAAGCACGCCGTGCAGCCCTTGCGGTTCAGCGCGTTGAGGTTAAAGAAGCCAGGCTTGCAGCTGGGAAGGCAGGGGGGACACAAGCGTGCCGGATTGGCTCACGTTAAAAATCGCAGCTCGCCAACGGTGACATTGGTAAGCATTCTCGAATTTACTGCAGTGTAAAGTTAACGTAAACATTTCCGTGCATTGACGTTTCGTTCATTTATTAATTGTTGTAGTTGTATTATTGGGTCTTTCGGTAAAGTCACGTAGATAGGTTTGTCATTTTCCTTGAACCTATCTACATGACTTTACCGAAAGAACCAAGAATATGAATTCCTACAGTCACGAAAGCTTTAAGTCAATGTTGTAGTTGTTTTACCTCTGGCTTTTGACACTCTTCCACCAAGACTCATCAACTAATCTCTTGAGTGGTCAAATCAAGGGATTTCGGAGGACGTTTGCCATCTCATCCAATTCATTGCGACAGTTTTACTAGACACTGGCAACCAAGGAAATCCAGGAATCGAATCAAATGGGGGGCGAGGACCTTCGCCCACCAGTGAGAAGTTACAGGCTGATGGCAACAACAACAACAACAACAAACGGTGGAACAACGACGTTCGTCTGCAGCCGACACCGGCCCAGCAACCGATGCCGCTCGGAGGAGGCCGGGGACAGGCGCCGAGCGCGCGCGAGTGGTGGGCTTGCGCCCCTGCCGCTGCGCGCCGTCACCTGTCGCAGTTGTAGCCCTCCACGTTGTCCTTGCACACACAGCGCCCGGTGTCGGGCTGGCAGTCCTCCAGGGTGCCCGCCGGGTTGCACGTGCATGGCCTGCGTTGCGCGCACGAACAGCGAGCCAGCGTTCTCCCGAAAGTCCGCCGAGACGCGTCTGGTATAGGCGTACGCGTTGTGATGGCCGGGGATCACGCTTGTGACCCCCCTCAGTATCCTTCGGTTAGGCTATAAGTTCACAGTTACGTATAATTTAAGCCAACTACAAAAATACATATCAAACGTAAAAACGTATTTTTAAATATAAGGACCACCCGAATTCGTATGGTATAGTATGGCCACGTCATTACCTGCTTTAGTCAGGGACAGTTCTGGTTTTCAGAAAGGCCGGGTGTCCCCTGCATGAAGCGTTGGCCAAATTATCCGATTTTTTTTTCCCCAGCTGAAATGTTCGTGGCCAACAAAACAGGTGGGGGGTGTCCTCTATCACAGCTCCCTTTTCTTACATTCGGAAGTTGTCCCCCCCCCCCCCCACCCGTGGCGTAGCATGGCTAGCATTGGCCCTGGTGCAATTAATAAAATGGGCCCCTCCCCACCGCTGTCTCATTTACCACCCCTCCCCCCCCCCCCCCTTCTTCTTAGCCCAGCGCCTGCGCTCCTGATGCAGTAGCAGCACCACCTGCAAGCTCAACAGCAACGCGCCACTGGTCCCCCCCCACCCCTCCACGAGCAAACCGTGTGCTCCGCGTTCACCGCGTCTCACCTGCATCCGGCCTCGTCCATGGAGTGGAAGCCCGGCAAGCACTGGTCGCACCGCTCGCCCATCACGCCTTGCTTGCAGCTGCAGCGGCCCTGCTCGTCGCACTGCCGGCTGTACGAGCCTGCGGCGGCGGCAGCGACGGCGACGTGCACATTAAATGGAATCCGCTCTTCTCGCGAGTGTAAATTAAAATAGAGGACCCGGTGTGCGATCGGGGAAACGCCGACCAGGCCATCGACAACGTAGGAGTGAATCGCCGTGAAACTCGAAATATTCTACGGGAGGCACTGAGGCAATCAACCACACGTGCACCTACTAAATCATCTGGACAGACTTGTAATTCACAATTCATTGATTCTCAAAAGCCATTTTTAGTATGGTTCTGCAGTGGTATGTTTGGCCAATTCCATTCACAATCGTTTGGGTTCAAATTGGAATGATTTTCAGCCCCACTTAACGTCCGACACCAAACAAAATTGGGCACAAACGTAACATAACTTGATCACTTTGGTTAGCACCCCACTGCCTCCGTCGTTACTATTGCCACGACGATGGATGTTTCAGTTTTGCGGATGCCAACGATGATGATGCCCACGACGCCGATGAACCACCGCCTCCGTTCGCTGCCTTACCCACGGGGTTGCAGTTGCAGGGGAGGCAGTGCTCGCTGGCGCTCCTCCGGTAGAAGTTCTCGAGGCACCGCTCGCAGGTCTTTCCGTCCGTGTTGTCCCTGCAGTTGGTGCAGTGTCCGCCGTGGCCCGTGGCGCGGTACAGCTCGGGGTCGAAGTAGCACTCGTCCGCGCGGCCATTACAGTCGCACACTGCACGGGGGGGGGGGGGGGGGGGGAACCATGAGCACTCCGTCGTGAGAAGACGATACACATACGTGTCAGGATAATAATAATAATAATCGTCACCATGATAAACATAGTAAGACACAACAAAATCTACTGTGCGGATATTTCACGAATCGGACGCATTGTTCGATCGAAAGCGCAGACGCGCGGTGCCAGGGCTCAAAGTTCCTCATGCGTCAGCCTGACCAGGTGAGAGCTTGGACAGGTGAGAGATGTGAGCTGTCGCTTAAAGGTCGACGGCGCTTTGACGCTGCGAATGTGCGGCGGGAGAGAACTCCAGGGATGCTGCCACGGTGTAACGGTTAACGCGCTGGATTTGTGATCTAGAGGTCACCAGACTTCATCTCGCGGAGTGGGCAGTCGAAGCAAAAATGGGAACATTTGTTTATAAATGCCCGCGAGTCTCTGAACGCTGCACTCCCAGCGCCCTGATCCCCAATACAGAGAGAGCTCGTGCGGAAGAGCGCAGCCTGCTGAGATAAATACTGCGAGCACAATTGGGCTCCCGGCAACAAGGCCTGTGGAAATGAGGGATTATGGGCCTTTACGGAATACAAGAGGTGCGTGAACAATACCCATCGGTCACTCCGCGCAGCGACCACGCCGAAGACTGTCCCACGTCAATACGTGAGAGAGTATCAAACGTATTGCCGCTAGGGTTATGAATTATATCTTGTATCTCGTTGTGTTTTTTTATTTATAATCGGCTATCGTAAAGGACTCCGTAACAGCACTACAATCATGCGGTTTAATGGGCAACCCACATGAAGATAAACAGAAGAGACAGAAACGGAGAATTGCTGCCTGCCACATCGAGTCTTAATGGTCTCTGCTGAGCGAATGTAATAGAAAAAAACAATCTACACAAAGCATTTATGCAGGTAGGGTACCTCCTCACTCCAGGAATGCTTTCGAGTTCCCCGGTCACCCAAACCAAACCTGTTATTTACCACGGTCCCCGACGCCGCTCAACTCCGCGGCAGATGAACGACAAGTTTCAACTTAAATCTCTCTGCGGACCGGGACTCCGCACAGCGGCGTAACGCTGCGTCGCCTCGGCGAGGCAAAAAAAACGCGGAACGTTTACCTTGCCGCATTCCTCCCTCGCGGCAGATAATGCCGTCGCCCCGGCAGCGGAATGCCGAGCCGAACACGAACGCAACGAGGGCCGGGCTCAGGATCCACCCGCGTGGGCCCATGGCGGTCGTCGCGGGGCCCCGCGCTATATACCGCCCGCGTACGCCTATCGGAGGCCCGCCCGCGTACGCCTATCGGAGGTCCGCCCGCGTACGCCTATCGGAGGCCCGCCCGCGTACGCCTATCGGAGGCCCGCCCGCGTACGCCTATCGGAGGCCCGCCCGCGTACGCCTATCGGAGGCCCGCCCGCGTACGCCTATCGGAGGCCCGCCCGCGTACACCTATCGGAGGCCCGCCCGCGTACGCGTATCGGAGGCCCGCCCGCGTACGCCTATCGGAGGCCCGCCCGCGTACGCCTATCGGAGGCCCGCCCGCGTACGCGTATCGGAGGCCCGCCCGCGTACGCCTATCGGAGGCCCGCCCGCGTACGCGTATCGGAGGCTCGCGGGAGGAGAGGGGGTGGGGGAGGTGACCCCCGAGTGCGTTGGCCGCCGGTCAACGGGAGGCAGCCATGTGTGGCGTAAGCCAGTGCCTGGGAAACGCGTCGAGGCGCGCATGACCGCGCGGACGGACGCGCGCCGCCTATGCAGACGGCGGGATTAGGGCTTCGCGCGGTTCCATCCTTTATTTATTTGCCCATTCAGATAAAGCAGGAGGGCCGACGGCGCCACGGGCCGTCCCGTCCCCACAAAAACAATTTGTTTTCGCTTGTTTATGTTTTATGACTTGACCCCATAATACTGACAACAAAGAGGCAGATCTTTCAAACTCTTCCCGTTAAAACTACTTAGAGGGTGCTAAAAGCCGATCATGAGGCAATGAATGTTCAATAAATAAACCAGAAAAAAAAGGATAACATCTTTAATATGTGTATATGCGTGTGTGGGTGTGTATGTGTGGGTGCGTGTGTGTGTGTGCACAGAGAAAAACGCTCGTGACATCTGCTGCAATAGCTGGGGGGGGGGTGGAGATGTCTCAAAACAAATGTCCCAGAAATGTCTAAAATAAATAAAATAACAATTGCGACCGCTCCAGGCGAAGATGTTGCCGATACGCGAGGCAGGGGGGCCAAGGTCTCCAGAAGAAACGTACGCTCGCACGCTCGTCGTCCCAGCCGCAGCCGCATCGTCGTCACGGTTATCGTCGTCATCGTCACGGTTATCGTCGTCGTCGTCGTCACGGTTATCGTCGTCATCGTCACGGTTATCGTCGTCATCGTCACGGTTATTGTCGTCATCGTCACGGTTATCGCCTACGTCGCGGTCATCATTGTCGCCATCGTCGTCACCACCGTCACCGTCGTCGCCGCCGCCGCCGCCATTGCGAGTGGCAACGCCGGCATCGTGCGGCAAGACGCGGCCCACCACTGCTCAGGGGTCCCTCTGCTCTTACGCAATTTGAACTTGTATAGCTCATCTAGTTTGTTGTTGCACCTCCGATTAGCACGGTTGGCTACGTACGGTGCGAAAGAAGTTCAACATACACTCACCACAGTCTGGCAGCAGCAGATTGCACAGCAACAAGTTACGGTGTCCCACGACGCCCATATCCTCGGCCTGCTAAGTGTACTCAATAATTTTCAAACTCACTTTTTTATTTTACTTTGCACAAGAGCGCAGAAGTGTGGTTACCACATCTACACCTCTATATAAGGAACGAAACAGGTGGACTTCTCCACAAATTCTGTCTGTCGCCTGATGAAGCTAGTTGTAATTACTGGCAAAACGTCGTACGCAGATTGTAAATGTTGTGACTTGGCTCTCCAACACACCGGTGTTGCTGTACGAGTAACGAATTGGCATGTTCTGTTTACGTGACGACCCTTACTAGTTGGCTGTGTCGGGTGGTGGCGGGTTTTAACGACACTTTTATATATTTACGCGATCTAACCCCAAAAAAACCTCTATAATGGATTATTTTACTGTGCTATTAGCTTTTTCCAAAACAACGTGGCCATAAATGATAGCTCAACAAAGTGGTTCATCACGTGGAAATTATGTATTTTATTTGTAGTCATCGGTTTACCTTTACTATACTTTGCACTTCTATCGTTTGTGTGTGTCGTTTGTTGTTGTAGCTTTCCTGAACCGCCCTTAGTTGACATCTGTGAAAAAGGGCTTCATATAGCTCATCGGATTTCTCCAGTATAAATAAAGATTTCGCAGCTCTCCTCGCTAAAAACACACCTAAACATTAAACGCATCTATCTTCCTGATCACGCGATTATCGGTTTTAAAAAAAGAATCAAGATTCCTTGGCCCCAAAATAATCTACATTCGGTTGTTTTATATCAATTACTTGGCATCCCAAATAACAGCGATGCTAAAATGATACCACTAATGTTGAAAGCATTTCGATTTCTGCAACGCATGGGGGGCGGGGCAGCCACGCTCATACACGTGATCGAATTTGAACCAACTAGTACAGTTTGTGTTGCTATTCGGTACTTACCCTATTAAATATTGGCTAGATTAATATAAGGGTTGTGCGAAGACAGGGAGACAGGGAGACCCCGAACAAGGCCAAAAAGGATTATTTGCAAATGTGGAAACGCATTTTTTCCCCCTGACAGCCACCCGTCGGCTCACAGTCTTTCACAATCACGAGCAGCTCACCCTACGGCTGAGCCACCTGACCGGACTGAGATAATAAGCCAGCGACGTAAGGCGTGTGGGGTTTTTTGGTCATTGGTGGCCTGGGCTGAGACCATCTAACCCACTACACATTTGAGGACGTGGGTTCATCACGGATGGCTCAAACCCAAATTCAAACCCCAAAAACTCAGCAGTGCCTAAGTCAATGCTCTGATCCCTGAGCCACACACCCGACACCGTGACATCAACGTATTATTTCTCATCAGTCAAGTCTAGAACGCACACGCATGTACGTAGCCAGTGCCGAGGGGAAAACGAAAAACGAAGAGCATTCTAGACAGCCACATAAAAACACATCTGAAAGCGCGCGATGCAGTGCCCACAAAACCACCAAATAGTTTGTTATTTTGCGGAGAAGTGTGCCATTGTGAGCTTTCCGGGGCATCGTGACCCTTTAGAAATCTGTTCCCAGCAGGTGTGGCCGGGGCTGTGGCTGCGTACGGCAGCTGGGTGGGTGGGGGGTAGGGAAGAGGGGAGGGCGTCCCACTCACGCGTGCACTCGTTAGCGCTCTCTGAGGTGGCGCGGTGCCACGGCCGGTCGTTGTAGAGCGGCAGGCACTTCTCACAGTCGGCGCCCATCGTGTTGTGCCGGCACTTGCAGGCCAGCGCGCCCAGCTCGTTCTTCACGCACTCGCTGGCGTGCCCGTTGCATTTGCACCTGCCAGGCGCGGGCGGGCACGTGGTTTACTTTGCGAGCGACAATAATAATAGACGAATTGTCAAACGGAATGCTCGTTTTGTAATTCGTATATCACATTTAACAACAACAAAAAACTCGCTGAAACAAAGATCATTGCCAACAGAAGGTTTAAGCACTGGCTATTGGTGGTGACTAAACAATAAATGGAAGCAACCGAACATACAAAGAGGAGCCCCCATAACTACAACAGCCCTGGGGGCCCCTCGTCAAACTTCGCTTGGCCGTTTAGACACGACAGGATGTCCACGGAGCTAGAGAGACCTCTTTTTCAGAAGCGATCTGGCCATCACAAAACCAAGTGGCTTATCACGTGGAAATGTATAGCACCAAATACTCTGAATGCATGTCGATTCAAAATGTGGAGGGACCCACTAACCGCCCTCCCTATAACCCATCCCTATTCACCATATCACTTTTAATTACCCTAATTGTACCGCTCATAACCCTTGTAAAGCACCTTGGATAAAAGCGCTATATAAATATAAGATAAGAAAGATTGAAAACAAGAGGGCCCGGAGAAAAATCCACACGACCACCAGGGAAAGACACACGCAAACTACAAATATACAGCAGGCGTCAGGGATCGAACCCACGAGACCTCCTGCATACCAGGCGAGGTAGTTAACATTTCTCCACCGTGACGGGACAACAGCCACCTCTCGATTGGGATGGTACGAACCTGCCGCCGACAGCGAAGTCGGAGATGGCGTAGTAGTAGGATCGCAGCACCTTGTGGTCGTTGAACACCTCGTCCCCGAACGTGTTGAGGCGGTTGAGGGTCACGCGGATTTCCGTGGACGTCACCCAGTCCTGCGGCGGGCAAGACGACGAGGCGCGGTCACAAGGCCGTGTGCGATCGCACGAGCCTCGGCCGTCTATCCAGCAGCGGCATCGCACGGCTTGCCCACGTCTTGCAAGCGGCACGGCGCGATAGAATGAATGCCGGCGTGGAGAATAGGGCTGCCACCTTCTGGAGGTCCTTTACAGACCGGTCACTTATCAGTATCTCACGACGCTGGAGGAGGTGAGGAACTGAAACGTAAATGCAGCGTTGTCTTGAGCGGCGTATTATTACGCCAATCGACAGAAAAACTTAAGTTTTAAATGTGACAGGAATAATATGCTGTACAGTATTTCCCAAGATAACTGCCTCATAAAAAGATGATCCTGGGAAAACCAAAACAGGTGACAACTTCAGTAAGGGGGAGGGGGGATGTTAAAATTATAAACAGTTCAAGTTGGCAATATTTCAGTTCAGTATCCAATAAGTGTGACGAAGATACTTGTAGTGGTAGATAAATATTGTTTGAGGGCCATTTCAAAGTGGTATCAAATTAAGTATTAGGCCGTTGTTGGCCAACGGGGGACTGTAGGTTAATTACCTCTCCATTAACATTTAAAATCCTCGCATGAATATGAAAAAACGAATATAACGGATAGTCTATTAACCTATGGTCTTTCCGGAGCATGTCACGTTCAATTCGTAAATTTAAAGTAGCGTCTACACTCGTGATAAACGTGTAGAAAAAAAGAGTTAAAGAATCGATCCGTTATTATGGAAATAACAGAGTCGCAAACTTTATTTAGACTGAAGGAATCCGATGAGCTATGAAGCTCTTCTTCACACATGTCCAGTGCACGTACACGGGTATGGATCGGTCGGTCTGGCAATGACAAGTGGCCTTGGTAAGTGGCCACTATATACGTGCACGCGTTTACACCGTGCAATTAACGTGAAAGCAAAAGGTAAGAACCGATGACACCAGATAAAAATCTGTCGCTCTTACAAGAAGCGTGAATCATCGCACGCCCAACGGATAACCTCACAGCATCGACAGCGGCGCCGACACAAGCTGGCTTTCACTTTGAAGAGCCTCTTTTTTGTTTTTGGACACCAGGTGGTCACGCACCGCATCGGCCTCTAGGTGACACGGTCCACGCGTGTGAGCAATGATCTGGTGAAAGCTCCGCGCGCTCGCGCGCGCGTGTGTGTGTGTGTGTATTAAAGGTGTGAAATAAAAACAGGAAGTTGGGTTGTCCCCATCGCGGAGATCTCTTCACGTTTCACCGAGCACAGCGTGACCGATAGGTGGCAGCCCAACCCTTTGTCCGGCCAGCACGAACAATTGCGATGTTCTTCATCATCTTCGGTTTTTTTTAATGACCGTCAGAAAATGAATGGAGATGCTTTTTGTTGCCGTTGTAAAAAAATTAAAATCAATTCCTATGTACGTTTGGCTACGTACGGTGCAAAAAAAAAGTCCAAGATAAACGCAACATATTTTCACGTACACTGCAATGGAATTCGGATTTGTGCAACGTGTAAATGCAACTGCATCTCATGACGCTGTGTAAATCAGCGGACCATGTTCATCACGGGGGAAAAATGCTTATATTGTATTGTATATTTATATTTAACGTATACATTTAAGATGACAGTCATTCGGCGGAGGAGAGAAGGGGGGACAGTCTCGAGCCCTGGACTTGAACAAGGCGCAGGGGGGAGTCAAGAGCATGGACAGCTGGGGACAAATCGTTCCAAAGTACAGAGGCAGCAGAGGAGACGCGAGCTCCCAATGAGCGAGGGAAGCATCGAGGGCAAGCGAGGAAGGAGCAGAGCGAGACAAGAGAGGAGAGAGGGAGGGAGGATTCTACGCGAGATCTTGACGATTCCGAGTGCGTCCTTGAAGTTGATCCAATGGCTCTATTGGAAGCCAGTGGAGGGAATTGGAATACTGCAGGGGAGATGTGATCACGATTCTGGGTGTGGAGTCTGGCAAACTGCAAGTTGCCTTGGGAGGTGACCACTATATATTTTCATGTGTTTTACAACGTGCTGCAAATAAAGAGAAACAACGACAGGGTTCGTCTCCCTCTGGCACAAGACCATGCCAAAGGTGTCTAGCCAATGTGGATGTTACCATGTGGTTATAAAAAGGGAGTTCCACGTGCAGACTTGGAACACTGGTCTGTGGGACCCTTCACAGTGTAACATCACGATACAATTACAGGCGGGATGATCAAAGAATGACCAAAGCACTCAAGAATACAAAAAATAAAACAAAAAGGCAGATTAAAAAAAAAAAGCAAACCCTAGATTACGGGCCTTCATTCTAACGTAATTATTTTTCTGTTTCCGATGCCATAATTTTATTTTGTTATAACTGTTTATTATGAGTTTTTTTTTTCAAGGAGCCGATCAGAAACCATTAAAAAGATCTGAGGTAATTGGAAAAAAAGACTTGCGGAATGCACGTTAGTGGAAGTTAACGTGAATGAAAACCCCGACCAGGTATCGGGTTGCGCTATTAAAAAAAAATGTGCAGTCGTTGCGTTGCCAAGAGCACGCGAGCCACTTAATTCCAACGCCTGGCGATGAGCGACTCGGGTTCGTACGAGCTGCAGCGGCGACGACACTCTACCTCATATTCTAATATTCTACCTCATATTCTTTGGTTCTTTCGGCAAAGTCACGTAGATGGAAAATAACAAAATAGAAAATATAAAAAAACCTCACATTTTCTATCTACGTGACTTTACAGAAAGAACCAAAGAATATGAATTCGGCAGTCACGAAAGTTAAATCGAAATTTACACTCTACCTCGGCCTTACCGCGGTCACTGGCAGCCCACCCCCCCCCCCCCCCCCCCCCCCCCCCCCCCTTTGCTCTTATTATAGAATCCACCCATCGTGAACAAAATAACAAAGGGTGTCGGATAGGGATATCACCATCATTGTCATCATTGTCATCAGCCATGGTCAAAATCCACTGGCCAAGGTGAGATTGTGGCCATGCAACCAACATTATGGACAATATCGTAAATCACGGAAGACTGTGCGCTCCTTCAAATGGAGGGGGAGACGAGCAAAACTACAAAACAATCTCTCCTGATGATGCCCTCTTGTCATGGCGAGTAGACCTCGGCCTTGCCCTTTAGTTCCTGAGCATATTTTGCTCCTGCCACACGCAATAAGAGAGTAGAATCCACCGCTGGATGAAGGCCTCCCCAATCTGCCACCATCTCTCACGATCCTACGATGTAATAATCCACACAGCACCTGCGCACGAACCAATTTCATCATCACTCCGTAGAGGCTATCATCCATTAAATCAGATAATTAGAATTATATACAGCGGTAGTTTGAGCTACTTTGATGAAGCTGCACACACACACACTCGGTAGTAAAAATATGTTATCGTAAGAGCGTCTGCCTTCATGTTAGTGACATACATTGTATTGAAATTTGAAAGAGTCCCCCAGGTGTTCGGCAACATGTCACGTGTGATAGTTTTGAATTCTTCCGTCATGCGCTCTTGAAGATCAAACAATTTATCTTCAACATAACCCCTGACCCTGGCAGTTGCCGCTTGCTGCAGAAGTTACGGTTATAGCCGAGTGGCCGCCACGATTCATACTGTGGGCGTATTGAGCAAAATTACGCGTCCGCCTGCTTCACTTGCGGACGTTAAATATCCCGTGGTGTTATTAGAAGTTAAAAGATGCTGTGATGTTACATGCGAGAGTAGGCCGTGTGTGCCGGCTCACATTTTTTACAGACATGAAATGTTACGCGCAAGTTACTGCATTGGGTAAAACCTCCGAGCAATAACGCCCCCCCCACCTCCGCCACCCCAAGCTACCGCACACGACACTCGTCTGTGCTACGCCTTCGCGACTGCCTCGCGAGAACGGCGTGAGAATACCGAACGTCGCCGGTGACCCGACGCAGCCTAGCGAGTGAGAGAGCCGGGGGGGGGGGGGGGGGGCGGCACCTGCAGCACGGGGCTGTTGTCGAAGTTGTAGGCGCTGGGCCGCCCCTCCAGCGTGGAGAAGGCGACGTTCCCTCCCGTGAGCGGCGAGATGTCGCTGAACTCGTCGGTGCACAGCGGCGTCTGCTCGTCGTCTCCCGAGCGCAGGAAGCCGCGGTTGCGCTTGCCGTAGGTGGGCTCGCAGGAGCCGCTGTAGTACTGGTACGGCGTCCACGGGCCATCCATCGACGCGCGCTTGTAGATGGCGAAGCTCTCGGGCCGGCTCGTGTGGAACTTGAGGCGAACGTACGTGATGTCGAACGCCTTGCCTGCGCAACCGCGAGCGGAACGCCGCCATCAGTACGGAACACGGTGTGCGATGGTCGAACTCCGTGCCTTTCCCGCGCGCGAAAAACCACGTGCCACGATCAGAGAAACAAACTTCATCCCCACGAAACAAATCATGCTCCCTGAAGCGAACGTCGCGATGTCGAGCGGCTTGCCTGCGCATGGAAAACGAAACCCACGCGGGCGTGCCGAGGCGGGCGCAACGTTATCCCCGGCGAAGCCAAACGATCCTTGCGAGATCTCGGAAGCCGAGCAGGGTTGAGCCTGGCTCGTGCTTGAATGGGAGGCTGCCAAGGGGTACTTAGGTGTCGTACGGTGTAGGCCAGGAGATGGTAATGTGGTCAAAAATTGCCAAATGTCTTTTTTTTTTAAATCGTCTTAAAATTATTTAATTGGACGAAACCATATTGGCAACATTGCCCCGTATTGGAAGACTATACCCATCTGTGAAAACTAGCCCCTTCTGTATAGCCTACGAATGGCAGGAATATCAAATACTCTTTGGTTCTATTGGGTAAAGTCACGTAGGTGAAAATAAAATAACAAAAAAAATAGAACCAAAGAGTATGGATCCGAGCAGTCACGAAAGCTTTAAATCTAGAAAGGAATATCAAATGTAATACGGCAACCGATTTTTTTGTAAGCCATATATTTGGATATTTTTGTGTTATCTATCGCTTTGTATGGGTATGTTTTGTGTGACCCGGCAAGGCTTTCCTGGGTAAATAAAAACGTAAATAATGGGCGTTGGTTGTTTTCTCGTAATTTATAGATTTATAGGGGACGTGCAAAGGAAATTCTGGCAGACTCGAATAGCATTTCTTGCATTTGTATGTATGTAGAATTTATTTCGCACCTTACGTAGCCAACCGTGCTAATCGTAAGTATTTGTGCATTTTCTGTATTGAAGCAAACAACACGTGCAGTCTCTCATGGGCACTTACAACGGTGACACTTTATGGACATTTCTATTCACGGACATAAAAAATCAACTCATACCCTTTTACAGAAAACATTGTACGGCACATTGCAGAGATGTTCGAAAAAATTAAACGCAAACACCGTAAAGCAAGAGGACATTTCTGGTACTTTGAACCGAGTGTGGCAGTGTATTTTAGCAAAGTATCAATATATTTTGTCGCTTCCCCCCCAAATGCAGAGTTATTTTCCGAAGTGTACTTATTATCCTTTAAAAAGCAGAGCACAAGTCAATGTTCCCAATCAAGGAGGATGAAAACAAATCCACCCATTGTCATACGCCAGACCAGCAAAAGCCATAATGACCTGTCATTACGATCATCGCCACAGTTATCGTGGCAGGACGTCACACACCCAATCATCGCGCGTCGCTCGCATCCCTCGGCGGTGACGTCAGTGTGCATCCCCCCCCCTCCGAACCGCCGGGAATTCGATGGCAACAAACACGGAAGACGCACGGCACATTTCACTTGACGAGTTTGAGGTCATCGAGGCTTCTCACGAGTGGGGGGGGAGAGCGGATGTGTGCCACAGACTTCATGGACACGCCAGGGTTGATGGGGGGAGGGGGGGGGGAAGTGCTTTCCCTAAGGCACGGTTATTTTAAAATTATTATTCTTTATTCTGCACAAATAAACCTGATCACAAGGCTCTTTAATCCATGCACAGCGGCAGCTTCCCGGCCCTGGAGCTAACAGGATCTCTCTCGTTAATGCTCTCGGCATGCAAAGACGCCGGTGGATGAGATTCCCCCAGTGAATCCTGCGGTCCAGCCAAAGCTTCGAGAGCCAACTTCACCGTAAACCAATTCCAATACTTTTCCGTAAATGGTGAGAAAGTACCGTCGGTCCTTCGGCAGTGCCAAACTGTCCCCGCAGTGTACAAATTCACTACGTGCTGTTGAGGACCATCATGGGGAAATTGAAATATAAACATAACTCTGTCCTTAGACCGATGGACTAAAATAATATTTACATGTAAATGTGGATGGCGATGGTCACTTGTCATGCAAGGCATGATGGGAGGACTGATCCCATGGTAACAATGACGACTTCCACTATCAAAACATCCTACTTCTTGCTCTTATTTGTTTCCAGCCTGCACACCGCATCTTTGCACCCAATGAGTTTCTCATCATTGACGGAAAGCGTTCAAATAGTTTGTTAACTTCACGCTGTAATGGCCCAGCTGGGTCCGTGACCCCCCTCCTCCCCATGCCCCCCCCAGTTTCGACAGGAATAATGATAAAACAACACCTGGCAACTGCACCTGAGCTCCATTTGGTCGTGTTTTCCTTGCTGCTCTGTGTGGGAACCGTGGTGTTTATTTGTAAAACAGCGGGAGAGTACACACCACAAACATGGCTACTAATCCCTACGGTGGATTCTAAAGGATGAACGGAGTAAAATGGTGGGGTGGGTGGGAGAGAATGTGGGCGGTGATGATGGGAGAGGGCTCCAGAGAGAATGGGCGAGTATAGAGTACAAACATGGGGGGAGAGTGGCTGGGTAAAGATTAAAACACAGAGAGGTTCGACAGGAGAGTTGTGGTGGCTGATTGCAGAGATTCTTTCGCACAATGCCTTAGTCATGGACTCTGACACTGCTTTTACAATCAACTAAAACAACAACAAAAAACCCTCCCCAAGAGCAAAAAAGGAGGTTTTCGCTTAACAGAAGCCGAATTGTCAAAAACAGATGTTGCAGCACTAAACCTTTTCGAGGCTGGAAGATAAATGTCGGAAAAAAACACCAACATGCCTGCGCAATATTGTTGCGGCGTTTTATGGCCACAGTTGAAGTGAACAGAAGCTTTTGGGGGGCGGGTGGGGGGGGGGAAACTCCTCCTTCTCCATGTGTCTCCTCTGAAAAGAAAAGTTGATTCTGCATCTGGCACGGAACTCTGCTGGCCTGGCGTGGGGGGGGGGGCTTTCAATGCACAAACCCAGCACTCGAGAGATAAGTGCGTTTTAGACCCTGACATTCATCTATTTGAAACCTCTTTGAAATCGTTTTTTTCATTCATTCATTCATAAAACAAAGGTATAATTTTTTGCATTGCCAATCGACTGATGGATGGGGGACTTCCTCATACCTTGCAGGCCACAGAGGTTACGTGGTCATACTTCACCACACTGGTCAGTGCGGGTTTGTGAAGGAGGGGGAGCATATATGTGGGAGCGTGCCGTAAAACAATGTATTGTATTTTGCTGACCAGCACATATAGCACAGTGCCGCAGCAGCCTATGACAACCTGGTGTGCCATGGTGGTTATCCATCTAAGCAATATCCAGGGTCAACCTTTGCTTAGTTTTATGAGATCGGGTGCATTCTGGGTAATTTTGTCATTGGCATGCAGATAATTGCAGATCTAAAAAATCGTAATAATTCGCGTTAAAATGCAAAAAAACGCTCAGCGGAACACGGCAGTGTGCGTGACGTACGAGAATAAATTCCTTCTTGACGAAGCGAGCTTCGAGTGGGGGGGGGGGGGGATTGGAGAACCTTAACCTCACACATGCTCTCTGTGTTGATAAAACAATCCTATTTAGGGCATTCCTCTCAAGAAGCTGGAGAACCTCCAATTTGTACGGTTGGCTACATACGGTGCGAAAGAAGTTCAACGTACGTACATGCAGAGTGTCTGTATGGCGGAGGGGGGACACGATAACCGTGTAGCAGGGATAGCTAACCACTGCTAAAAAGCAGACTCCGTTTGAGAGGCCCGCAGGGCGTTATGGGGTGGCATTATGGTGTCATTTCCTGCCGTAATGATGCCACAAAGTCGCACCCAGGTGTTTGATCAACGTGACCTCTCACGCCCACCCCCCACCAAACACGAGCAAATCATAGAAGTAAATAAAGAAGCCGAGGACAAAAGCATCCCTTTTGTTTACTGGAATCCCAGGGACAAGAGTTTGGAGGAAAGGAGGGGGTGGTGGTGAGATGCCAAGGCGGGATGGGCGAGCAACTCTTTGGGTGACCGCTTTGAAGCTTTTCCCCCTAAGGCACATTTAAACCAGACGCTGCAGATTGCCTCCGCTTCAAGGGCCCTCCGATTTCAGCGCAATCACCAAAATCCACCGATAAAAGGGCCTATCGACTTCAAATCTTTTGATCCCCACCAAGAAATGTGAACTCTCCGGCAGAAGAAGCACGTAAATACGGGAACCGTAGTGAAACGCATGTCGTCGGGTTGTCAGCAGGCATATTGACCCGATATGCGCGCTCTGTTACATAACAAAGCGCCGCGCCACTCATTGACCTCACAAATTATGGATTTCTTGCAAAGAATTTTGTTTTTTGGGGGAGGTGGGGGCGGGTAGAGGAGGACCAGCGGAATGCGACAATTGGCAGCTGCCTCGTGAGTAAAAGGGGACCAACGATGGGTATTTGAAAGTGTCAAGGCACTTTCTCAGACCTTTCCCCTAATGATTTCCTTCATTTGCTTCCAGCTGTTCCGAGTCTCACACGCGCGATGAAAATTGAGGCCCTGAAGATGACCAGCTGCTAAGCGGGGGGTGTGGTGGTGGTGGAAGGAGGCTTGTAATTTTGTTCTGTGGCACAATGCCCACCAGACAACCCAGCGGGCATTGTGGAACTGGCCCAGCCTGGCCTACGTACGAGCCGAGCTTGTGAGCCGATAAACAAAGCAAAGGAGGCACGCAGGGAGGTGTTCCGTTTAAATGATGTGAACGTTTGCATTTCAGGTGTTCATGCAAATAAAAAAAAGACGCCCAAAATAATTCCATTTTGCTTTTATCCTGAGGATCAATTGAGCCGTGAAATGTTGTTACTTGTACGAACATTAAAAATAAACCGCTGATGCATTTAGGACCTAATTGTTGTAAAAATTATTGCTCTGATCGGTGTTGTCGCGCGAGTAACCATTTGCTGGGAAGGCGATGCTTTTGCTGGGTGGTGGTGGGCGGCTCAAGATCAGCAGTGCTGTGCTTCGACGGTGCAGCCTGTGAGAAGGTTTGTAATGTATTGTAGTTTCGCAT